TAGAGTATCCAAAAACTGTACTCAAGTAAAAGTACAAGTACTTATAGAAATATTTACTCAAAGTAAAAGTAATAATCTTAAAAGTTACTTGAGTAAGAGTAAAAAAGTATCCAATGAAAAAACTACTCAAGTAGTTAGTTACTAGTTACTTTACACATAGGCCTATATATATATATACTGTATATGTAACATGATATTATTTAGATTTTTTTTTTTTTTCATTTAAATGACTATTATTATCATAATTAGATAAGCTATCTTTGCAACAAAAACAGAAGAGACAAACATTATTTCTGTATATCTATAGCCTGAAAACCATTGCCTGTCCTTTGGTTTGTATAATAGTATAGTAACTTATACAACTACATTTGGATTATTAGACAATGTCGGAAAAAAGTGACTATGGAGTTTTGCATTCAAGGGATGGGAACCATTGACAGATTAGAAAGAGTTAAAACTCTGCACATGTGCTCGCAGTCATGTCATGCCCAACACAAACAACGATCAAATGCACGGATCTTCTTCTGTCTGTTCTCCAAAATGTATTTAAATGTAGGCTATATTTATGAAAGCATCTTTAAACTGGTTAACTGAGTCTAATAAGGCAGGCAAAGGCATTCGTTTTCAAGTCGAGTTCGCACGCCACTGCGCAATACACACATTGTGTGTGTACACACATTCATAAACTGGACGATGATAGCTTATTTAATGTATAAAGTAATGTATATGTCCAAAAAAAGGGTAATGCCATACTTTGTAGTAGTGCTATATGGCGCAATAATCTGTTTGGTTGTAAAATGTATTACCTTGTCCTGAATAAAATCGAATGTATCGTCGTGTGGAATAATTCATTCACAGACAGCTTACGAAGTAACATACGAAGATGTTCAAGTTCAACTAATAAAGTTCTTCATCGCTGGCAAAAAATATGATGCATTTGCAGATTTACTTTCTAGACTGTCCTGTAGACTGTGGACCGCCACTTCATACAACGCTCTTGATGTTCTTAAACCTTCCTGTTACGACTCCGAGACGAGTGCGTGCAGGAAACTGAACAGATCATTCAAACTGATTCGCGAACCGATTTAGACAGATCTGCCCAACTTGTTTGATGAAGTCTTTGAACAGATTCGACTCAAAAGAGTGATTCATTTGTGAATTGAGCATCGCTCATGCCCAGAAAAAAGAGAGAGCGCGCGCTTAGAATAAACTACACTTTTAACAACATATTGCATTAAAATAAAGTAACGAGAGGAACGTCGCCCAACGTAACGAAGTAAAAGTACAGTTTTTTCATTAGAAATCTACTCGAGTTAAAGTAAAAGTACCCACAATTAAATCTACTCTTAAAAGTACAAATTTTCCAAAAAAATACTCAAGTAAATGTACTTCGTTACTACCCACCTCTGCTCTCTGCTATTATAGTTTTTCAAGATGGCGGAACGACACGGAGCTCTCCATGGACTTACCCGTCCCATGTAAATAAAGATAAGAAATTCTCCGCTTACAAGGATAAGTCAGATCATTGGTGGAGCTAATTTTACACCAATGAGATCATATTTATGAATAAAGACATTGATTTTAGCTAATAAAATACTTTTAAAAAAACTAGTGTACCTTTAATTTCAGATGTGTAAATTACAAAACAGCATTTTTCAACCGAGAGAATCTACACAAGGGAGATCTTCAGAAGTCCTAACATGTCCATAACGATGTTTCGTAGACATAGCAGAAAGATGTTCTAAATGAAATTTGATTGGTTTAGTCTTGTTATGTATTCTCTGTTTCCCTGTTCTTTGTGTTTTTGGTTTAGTACTGTTTCCCGCTCCCCGTTATCTCTATTAGTCTTCCCAGGTGTCCCCGATTAACCACGCCCCCTTGTCATCTTGTTTAGCTTGTTTGCCCTTGTATTTTAGCCCTGTGTTTCAGTCCAGTCCTTGTGAGTTCTTGATGTTGTAGTGTTGATGCTGGTTGTTCTGTTTCTGAGTCCTGTTCCCTGTCTGAGTCCTTGTCAAGTTTGAAGTTTGTTTAATAAAGTGTGCTGCAAGTGGATCCTGCTACTTCCTTGTCTCAACCACATCGTGACAAGTCTTAAACAGTCGCATAGAAGGATTTAATTCTCTTTATGCTAGCCCATGTTTTTCATAAATTCCTATGTGAGCATGTTTGAGCACGCTCGTAGACTATAGTTTTTGCAAACTGTACAAAAACAAAAATAAACAATATGTAAACGGCGTAATCGACTAGTATATAAATTGTCAATTACAAACATTCAAAACTGATCACAAGTGGTTTTCCTGTATTTGTTTTAAATGACTCGTACCGTATTTACTTTTTTAGCAAGTTGGCCTCTAGAATTTACTTTTGCGCAATCAAAATTTTATCAGCAGGTTTATTTGTTTTTATTTATTTTATTTTATCAGCAGGTTTTACCGTAGTGTGGGGCATTGTTTAACAGCCTCAAGCTTTAATGAATATGCCCCTCTCAGTGCAATAGTCAGTTGTGATTCTGCTGTAATAGTTTAAAGGAACACTTCGACTTTTTGTGATAACCGCAGCACCTGAGCGAACTCTCTGCTCCTCACCACGGCGCGTCTCAGGTGCTGCAGTTATCACTCCGCACAAGTAGCAGTGCTTCGCCTTCATAGAATATAGTTCCCAGTATTTATACGGTTAAAATATGTCTGTGTCTCATGTGACTTTGTTTTTTGTACACTCTGTGACTATACAAATCACAACATGTAAATAGGAAAATGTTTGCGTTATTTTGTCACTTATTTGGATTAGTATGCTAGCTGCAACCATTTACATCCAGTCTTTGTGCTAAGCTAGGCTAGCGGTGGGTGCGTCAAACAGACTTATAGCACGCACGGAGATGAAAAAGGTATGTATGGACTTATCTAACTCTGGGGGATAAGGTGAATAGGCTAACGTCCCAAAAAGTCGGAGTGTTCCTTTAAGTGTAAAACAGCACCCCTTTACTTTTTGTGTTAATACTTTTTGTGATTCCACATCGTAGATAGAGGGAAAGTTGCAATTTAGTCAAACATTCTCAAACAGAAATACAATCGCTTAAATTATCAATGTTCTTATATAAAAAAACTTTCACAGATTGGCTCTACTCTTTCTGATGCTTCATAAGTTTTGGAGTTGTAAAATATTAGTGGTCAAAGTCATAAACTCCATAACAATCCTTATAATTCCCCATATTGGCGTCCTACATGGGTCACACATGATATACTGCATAAAGCAGACGAGTGTATTAAAGCCTAGTATGACCCATGTACAGTGGCGGCTCCAGACAATTTTGATTGGGGGGGCAATGGGGGGTCCTGGTCATTTCAAGGGGGGTCTCATGAAAACCAACAAAAAATACAGTGGACACAGCTAATAACTGCATATTGCTGCTACTTAACAACAAAAACAACACAGCATATCAACTACTTTGTTTTTAATTAATTAATCAATTGCAGTTTGCAAACAATATGCTCGAACTTTAATTGCCATAGCCACACCCATGACAGAAAACATATTTACAAAATAGTATCTTCCTCATCCTCCAATTCCTCGGTGTCCTCTGTTTCCAGTCTTTACTAAGAAATCCTATGAAAAATTATTTACAAAATCGTCTGCAGGACAGTTCAATTCTTTACAATAATATAATATTTTATGAAAGAAAATTAAGCTGTTACACTGAGATGGTTTAGGAAAACCATAAAGTGTTTTTGTACAGTCAATTAATTGTACAGGCAGCATTAAACCATCAAAGTTAAATGATTGTTTATAGCTTATGAATTTCCTAGCCTATATTTTCTTTAGCAGGGGGTTTCAAACTTTTTAATGGTAATGAGCCCTAAACAATACTCTTTATTTAGGCTTATAATATAATAAAATATATGCCTAATATAATATAATATAATATAATATAATATAATATAAAAAAATGAATTGAAGTATTTGAAGTGATATAATATATCAGTTTAAATGCTTCAATTTGTTTTCATATTATATTATTATAATATGAAAACAAACTGAAGCATTTACTGTAAATAGCTAGATCTAATAGCTAAATATTTTCAAGAAAAGTGAACAAGTGAACTCTTTTATAGTAGCCTAATCTAACCATGCCTGAAACTATTTAAATCTATGTAAACTAATGATGTATTTTGAGTTTGCACGCGGGTGGGTGTGTAATTGTTACCGTTCTGTGTCCATCATCCGTTATTTCCACCACTTTAATCAAACCACTCTTCTTTAAAACATGATATTGTGATTTTATTTCACATGTCTTTGCGTTTCTCGTCGCCTCTCGTATTGAGATAGGCTATTTCGTCCGCAAACACGACTCACTGCCAATCACACGCGCTCACATCATTCTCTTTCTTTGAAACCTGTTAACTGCACTCACCAGTTTGAGCACTGCAATTATTTCTCACATACAATCAAATGGATTTCCCCACACATTTCGCGTCAGTCCTCTGCGTGGCATATTATTCTTTTCTGCGCGGCCGCGGCATCAGAAGTGCACGACCGCGCACGCGCGCAGCTTAGAGGGAACGTGATTCTTATGTTTATATATTTTGTATGTCGAATAAATTATTAATTATTATTGTTCTCAATGTTCTATAAAATGTTATAAAAACATTTTTAAATATGTATCCCGGATATATATATTTTTTTAATCAGGAAGGGGATGGGGGGTCAAATGGGGGGTCAAAGCATTTTTTGGGAGGGTCTTGAGACCCCCCAAGACCCCCCCCCCCCCCTGGCGCCGCCCCTGCCCATGTAGGAGGCCGGTTTTAGGAATTATAAGGCTTATGTCACTCATTCAAGCTGAAGGTTTATTTGCAGCAGCTCAACTGTGTTTCACTCTCATATAAACCAGGAATAAATGATACAGTAACATCTCTCTTCTCCACTACTGCCACTGTAAGCTGTGATGATTGAACACACACTGCATGTCATGATCAATATGAAAATATGATGTTAATGTCCTACAGGTGATGCGTCTGAACGTTCATCTTCTGCAGCTCCAGTGGCTTCACCAACACTGACTCCAGTCAGAAGCTCAAACTCTGAGAAGACATCAAGCCGATCTACAGCAGCAGCTCCTACACAAGGTTCATGATCACATGACCACTGTCACACATCATCAGTCTCTCGCTTCAGCGGTTTGATCACACCAATAAAATCAGCCGATAGTTCATCAACTCAGTATTAAAACCTCAAAGCAAAGAAATGCAAGACTGCTAGAACCTCACCTAACATGAATATCTATGAATGAATAAAGCATCAGATATATATGTATTTTTGGTCAATGGTGATAGTCATTCTCCTCCTGACAGCTTGAGATTGAAGTAAGAAGATAATAGATGACAGACTCGTGCACATATTCCCAGAGGTGGGTGGTAACGAAGTACACTAGTAACGCTACATTTACTTGAGTATTTTTTTTGGAAAATTTTTACTTTTAAGAGTAGATTTAATTGTGGGTACTTTTACTAACTCGAGTATATTTCTAATGAAAAAACTGTACTTTTACTTTGTTACGTTTGGCGACGTTCCTCTCGTTACTTTATTTTAATGCAATATGTTGTTAAAAGCGTATTTTATTGCGCGCTCTCTCTTTTTTCTGGGCATGAGCGATGCTCAATTCACAAATGAATCACTCTTTTGAGTCGATTCTGTTCAAAGACTTCATCAAACAAGTTGGGCAGATCTGTCTAAATCGGTTCGCGAATCAGTTTGAATGATCTGTTCAGTTTCCTGCACGCACTCGTCTCGGAGTCGTAACAGGAAGGTTTAAAGTCCCCATGAATTCAAAATTGACCATACTTACTTTGTTTGCCTAAATTGATCGTTTTGTGGTGAACAATTCATCCATGCAAGTCAATCCAAACAAAAAAAAAGTTTGGCTTCGTAATCTTTAATCAAAATCTGAAATTTCCCCTCCCCTCTGCATTGGAGGACCTTCCCTGATGACGTAGGTTTCACGGTTGGGGCGTCTGCTTAACATCCGTAACCACGCCCCTCTAACGGACAGTAGACAGGCTGAATTTTTAGATCCAATCAGGTGCTGGTTGGAAAAAAAGCCACGCCCACTAGTTTGCCTCATTTAGTATTCCGTTTCTCTCGGAAATACGTCACAACACTGGAGAAAAGTCGTTTGCAACTTCCGGTTCACGAGGACTTTAAGAACATCAAGAGCGTTGCATGAAGTGGCGGTCCACAGTCTACAGTACAGTCTAGAAAGTAAATCTGCAAATGCATCATATTTTTTGCCAGCGATTAAGATCTTTATTAGTTGAACATCTTCGTATGTTACTTCGTAAGCTGCCTATGAATGAATTATTCCACACGACTATACATTCGATTTCATTCCATTCAGGTAATACATTTTACAAACAAACAGATTATTACGCCATATAGCACTACTACAAAGTATGACATTACCCTTTTTTGGACATATACATTACTTTATACATTAAATAAGCTATCATCGTCCAGTTTATGAATGTGTGTACACACACAATGTGTGTATTGCGCAGTGGCGTGCGAACTCGACTTGAAAACGAATGCTTTTGCCTGCCTTATTAGACTCAGTTAACCAGTTTAAAGATGCTTTCATAAATATAGCCTACATTTAAATACATTTTGGAGAACAGACAGAAGAAGATACGTGCATTTGATCGTTGGTTGTGTTTGGCATGACATGACTGCGAGCACATGTCAATGGTTCCCATCCCTTTACATATGAATGCAAAACTCCATAGAGTCACTTTATTACGACATTGTCTAATAATCCAAATGTAGTTGTATAAGTTACTATACTATTGTTGGAAAGGCAGAGTCATGTGCGCATGCGCTACTTACTTTCAGTCATCATCAGCACAGAGCGGGACTGTATGAGCGGGACTGTACAAGCAAGACTGTGTGTGCGAAGTGCGTCAATAAATATATGTAAGTTGACTGTGTACCTAGTTTGGTTATCAATACTTGTTAAGGAGCTGTAAAGCCTTGATGTCATACTTTCATAAAGTGATGCATGTTTAAGAGAGATGAATCCGTTAATCGCGTGAGGTTAAGGGCTCGTGAATGTGCCGTTTATGTTCGATATTACTGGCAATTTATAATATTGAGATTGCATCCAGTGTTTGATTGTGCATATGTATGTGTGATCGTTACATTAGTATTTGAAACTCTTGTTATTTCAAGTTCAATGATGCGATCTTTATGATTATGTGCCGTTCATTTAAATTACCTCAGATTTGGTTTCGGTTTTGAATGTTATGCCATTTCTGACCACCTGGTGGCGGTGTTGCATATTTTCGTTGCTTGTATTTTGATTTCTTTATTTAATATAGAATCGAACCTGATAATTCTTTATTTGAAGAATGTAGATTTGGAAGTAATGTTTGTATAATAATATTAGAGACATTTGTTAATATATATACCTTTATTTCTTTCCCTTTGTAGACCACACAAACACACACAGATAAATACTTTAAGCAACCTATGTACTGCTGTTTTGTGCATGGCCAAAACTGTCAACAATAAACCTCCTTTGCATGGAACTGATTGAATCCAGTGTGTTCTGATCGACACCCCATTGAGGAAAGCTAGAAATTACACATCATCACCTATTACAGTCCAATCCTCCTATCGAACAAATGGTCCTTCGAGCCGGATCTGGCATTTCTCATGGACAAAGAATTGATCAGTATCACTATGCAACCTGAAGAAGCATCTTCACAGATTGTCAGACCCAAACGTCAAGTTCATCTTCCTGTTTACTTTAAATATTATGATCTTACAACTGTACATCGTAGAGCAGGCAGCCAGCCGGTATCGCCTCACACAACACAGCATACACAGTGGCTTGGAGATGCTGCAGTGAACATCCCTTCACCTTCTACCAGAGTAACTAGTCCCATAAGTCAAGATCCATGGGACACAGTGGATGAATGGCCGCCCATAGTTGGGGAAAGGGATCATTTTATCCAAGGAATGGATAACATAGATCTGCAACAACCTAGCGCCAGCTACGCTCCAGTGCAGTCAGTTAATAGTCCTCAGACTTCTTCATATCATCGGCCATGGGAAGCACATCAGTCCACGCCGTTACTAAGTACATCTTTCCCTGCACAGGATAGACTCCTCCCACATCCTGGAACGGCATCCTACCATCCACACTCCATGGTGTCTACATCTTTGCCCCCACCTACCAAGTGTAAGCGTTGCCAGACAGACTACACAACAGCGCCACCTCTAAAGCCACATCAGCCCCTTCCTGCTACAATAGGTGACTCTAAAATGTTAGACATTCTGGGAACAATGATGGGTGAACTTCAGATAATGAAAGATCAGATCTTAGCGGCGGCACCTACTAAATCACACATTCAGCCAATCATGTGTAATGCACGTGCTGGCCATGAATTCCCTTCCTGGCAGCATCCTGAAAACCCAAGTCACCCTCTTTATCAGAGAATAGCTCGTCCTATGCCAGGCCTCCAAGCAGATACTCCTGTCCCTCACTGGCATTCCAGGACATTGTACAAGTCCCCGAGAGAGACTTTAGATTACCCTACACAGGTGCGTTCTCAGTCCCAGCAACCCATAAGGCCACAGTTAGTACGGAGAGATCCTTATGCCTCTAATGTGAATCCTGCAAGACAAGAAACCACCTACCGAGGTCCAGTGCCAACCATACCCAACTTTTGCACTAAGGACCCCAGTGAGTTTACTCGTTTAAAGATAGCTCTTGAGAACCTTCTACCATCAGATGCCACAGAACTGTTCCGGTACCAAATCTTGCTGGATCATTTGAAGCTAGACGAAGCTCGTCTGGTGGCAGATTCATATCTCAATTCCCCATTTCCATACTCTGCTACCATGGCTGCTCTGAATGAAAGGTTTGGCCAGCCTCACAAGTTGGCACTCAAGAAGATTGCTAAAGTGATGGATTCCCCAGATATCCGACGAGGAGATACTGAGGCCTTTGACAAATTCGCTCTACAGATTAGGGCTTTGGTGGGTATGTTGGAAACTCTTGGAGATGAAGGTGAAGCCCAGCTTCGATGTGGGTCACATGTAGAGAGATTGCTGAGTAAGTTACCTGCTGAAATGAGATCAGGATTCCGAAGACAGATGTACCACCGTCCTGGGTCTGTGTATAACCTTCGTGAATTTTCTGAGTGGCTTCAGTATGAGGCCTGGTGTCAAAGCAGTGAAACACAGATCAGTTACAAGAGCCAGAGACCAGAACGCTGGAGAGAAACCAAACCCACTGCTCGTTCGGCTACCATCCTTCATGGAGCGGATGACATTGCCACAAAGATACCCTCAGCACCGTCTCAAGTTAGACCAGTTGAAGCGGAGAAACCTAAATTCCCACCTAGAGCTTTTTGTCCTTACTGCGATAACGAGGACCATTATCTTAGTCAATGTCCCACTTTTAAGTCCTTAGATAAACGGCAAATGATTGAATGGATCCAGACCAATCATCGTTGTTGGCGCTGTGGTCGTGCACACCAAGCAGCCCAGTGCACACTCAAGAAGCCTTGTAGCATCTGCAAAGGGAAGCACTTACAAATCTTGCATGAGGTCAACACAAAGAGTACCAGAGAAGGTTCCTGCCTTGTTAGTTCAACCACTGAGACACTGTACTTGGACAGACCCACTGACTGCAGGCGTGTTCTCCTAAAGGTCATCCGGGTCTTGCTGCACTATGGAGGCAAGACGCTCGACACCTATGCTGTCATGGATGACGGGTCCGAGCGCACTATTCTTCTTCCTGATGCCGCCCATGAGCTCGGTATACAAGGTCAAGCCGAAAACATAGCCTTGCGGACTATCCGCCAAGATGTGCAGACCATCAGTGGTACCACGGTTACTTTCTACATATCTCCTGCCACTCAACCACAGAAGACCTTTAAGATCAATGCAGCATTTACTGCGAAACGTCTTGGTCTGGCCGATTACTCCTATCCTGTCAGTTTGCTGGAGAAGTACAAGCATCTTAAAGATCTCCCCCTGCAGGCCTTTGAAAGAGTGAGTCCTTTACTTCTCATCGGAGCCGATAACACACATCTAATCACACCAATTGCACCTGTCCGAATTGGTCCACTTGGTGGTCCGGCAGCCATAAAGACAAGGCTAGGATGGACACTGCAGGGACCAGCCAAGATCTTGGAGACCAAATTGCAGCCACAGCAGTGCCTTTTCCTGTCTCTCACCCCTGCGGAACTAGAACTCAAAAGAGATGTTGAAAGGCTATGGCAACTTGATGTTTTGCCTTTCCGTTGAGAAAAGCAGGTGACAAGGTCCAGGGAGGACCAGGAGGCCATTAACCTCTTAGAGACTAGGACAATTCGTGTGGAGGTGAATGGAATCTTACGCTACGCGAAACCCTTGCTGCGCAGAAAGGATTCACCCTCATTTTGTGCTCCGAAAGAGGCTGTGGTTCCAAGTCTCCGGAGTATGGAACGACGACTAACCCAAAAATCCAGAGAAAGCAGCCGTGTACAATGCTGAAATTGAAAAGCTAGAACTGAATGGAGCAGTTACCAAACTCTCAGCTGCTGCAAGCACTATGACAGGGGAGACCTGGTATATCCCGCACCACTTAGTCAGTCACAATGAGAAGGACCGTATTGTGTTCAATTCCTCTTACCAATATAAAGGACTGAACCTTAATGATTCCTTGATGCCTGGTCCAACTTTGAGCCCTTCTCTGCTAGGTGTTCTACTTCGCTTCAGGGAGCATTGTGTGGCTATCAGCGGTGATATACGTGGAATGTTCCACCAAGTTCTGCTCTTACCTGAAGACAAGCCCCTCTTGCGCTTTCGCTGGCGTGGCATGAGACGGGGCGATCCCCCTGACATCTATGAATGGCAGGTGCTGCCGTTCGGAACCACGTGCAGTCCCTGCTGTGCATCCTTCGCCCTCCAAAGACATGTCTCATCGCACAGCACAGCGGATGAAGATGTGAGACATTCCGTGGAACGCTGTTTTTATGTGGATAACTGTCTACAGAGCTTCCCATCGGCTCAAGAGGCACGGCAGTTACTAGATAAACTTCGTAAGCTGCTAGCGTCCGGAGGGTTTGATATCCGTCAATGGGCCAGCAACGCGCAAGAAGTCGTCAGTCACTTGCCACCAGAGGCCAGATCTCCCAAGCTAGAGCTGTGGCTATCACATAATAAAGAAGACCCACGTGAATCCACCTTGGGACTGAATTGGCACTGCGAGTCGGACCACCTAGGATTTAAGCATAGACCTGTTACTTACAGTGCTCTGACGATGCGGAACATATATCGTGTGTTAGCAAGTCAGTATGACCCCCTTGGTGTCATTCTTCCTTTCACCACACGAGCCAAGGTGATTGTTCAACAGCTCTGGATTAAGAACAGGAACTGGGATGATCCACACCTTCCTGATGATCTTCAGCAGGCATGGAAGGTGTGGGAAGCTGAGCTTCAGTACTTACCTCTTGTAGTACTCCCTAGGTGCTACCTTCCATCCAGCATGGACAACTCAGAGGTCACTCGGGAAATCCATATCTTCACCGATGCTTCTGAGAAGGCTTATGGGGCAGTCGCTTACCTTCGCGCAGAAGATTCATGCGGGAAGGTACACATTTCATTCCTCATGGCCCGATCACGTGTTGCCCCACGTAAGCAGTGCTCAATTCCTAGACTGGAGCTGTGTGGTGCTCTAATAGGAGCGCAGTTGGCCAAGCTGGCTGAAAATGAGCTCACCTTGAAGATCCAGAAGGTCACTTTCTGGACAGATTCAACAACTGTCCTCCACTGGTTACATTCCGAATCCTGCCGCTTCAAGGTGTTTGTGGGCACTAGGGTGGCAGAGATTCAAGAATTGACGGACCTTAAAGGGTGGAATTACATTGACTCTGTCAGGAACCCTGCAGATGATCTTACCCGTGGGAAGAGCCTGAAGGACCTTATTGAACCCAATCGGTGGACCCAAGGGCCAGAATTCCTCCTCCAACCTCAGAGTACTTGGCCAGCACCACCAGTTATGCGCAGCTTAGTGCCTGATGACGCTATGGAATTAAAGCGAAGTGCCTTCTGTGGCGTGATTAACTCAGCACCAGTGACAGCAGATGGTAGTAAGTTTAATAGCTGGAAAGACTTGGTCGAAGCAGTAGCACAGGAGTTGCATGGGGCGGCAGAACAAAGTGCCCCCCCTCCAGTCAGTGCTTACCAGAAGGCAGAACTGACCGCGCTGAGACAGGTCCAGTTGGATAGTTTTCATGAAGACTACCATCTGTTGAAAAATGGTAAGCCTGTTCGTTCTAGCAGCCGCTTACTTTGTCTCTCCCCAGAGTTTGACAGAACCAGTGAGGTAATACGGGTTGGAGGACGATTAAGGCGGGTGGAAGGATTAGACCCAAGCACAGTACACCCTATCGTGTTGGATTCCAGTCACCCTAACACTCAGCTACTCATAAAGGAATATGATGCTCGCCTTTGCCATCCAGGACCGGAGCGAGTGTTTGCAGAGCTTCGACGAAAGGTGTGGATACTGAAAGGGCGAGAGGCAGTGAGAAAGCACCAGCGAACATGTCTTGAATGCTGTAAATGGAGGTCGAAGCCAGCCTCCCAGAAAATGGTTGATCTCCCTCCACCACGACTTCGGTTGTTCAAGCCTGCTTTTCATTCAACCGGAATTGACTGCTTTGGGCCTCTTCTGGTCAAAATAGGTCGTCGGACGGAGAAGCGGTGGGGACTTTTATTTAAGTGCTTGACCACCCGGGCAGTGCACCTTGAGGTGCTGACATCTATAGATAGTGATGCCTTTCTCATGGCACTACGTCGATTTATAGGTCGCCGTGGGAAACCTGCAGAGCTATATTCGGACCAAGGCACCAACTTTCGAGGTGGTGAGAGAGAGCTTAAAGAAGCCTTCAGTCAGCTCAGTGGTGATCTGCAACAGCAGCTAGCGAAGCAACAAATTAGCTTTCATTTCAATCCTCCAGCTGCCCCACACTTTGGAGGGGTGTGGGAACGCGAGATTCGTTCAGTAAAGGCCGCACTTTATACAACCCTGGGCTCAGAATCAGTAACTGAAGAAGTGCTTCGAACTGTCCTCATAGAGATTGAGGCCATCCTCAACTCCAAACCTCTTGGTTACGTTTCAGCAGACATTGCTGATGCAGATCCGATCACCCCAAACTGTTTTCTAATGGGGCGGCCAGATGGGTCCCTACCCCAAGTCATCTATCCAGTGTCTGAGCTCCTAGGAAGACGGAGATGGAGGCATTCACAAGTATTGTCTGATAGATTCTGGACGGCCTTCATAAAGTATTACTTACCTGACATGCAGGCCAGGGGAAAGTGGCAGAATCCATCAGTAAACATTAAACCCGGAACAATCGTCATGCTTGTTGACCCTCAGTTACCCCGTTCATTCTGGCAGATCGGAAGAGTATCTAATGTCTTTCCTGGGGCTGATAATCGGGTTCGAACGGTCGAGGTGCAGATTAAGGACAAAGTCTACACAAGACCCATCTCTCGACTGATTGTTCTTCCAGAGATCCGAGATGAAGGGGATGAAAGCCACACTAGTGACTAATGGTAGTCCATATAGTGTCGGCCTTTCAATGGAGCAAATTTGTAACCAAATTTGGGGGCGGCTGTGTTGGAAAGGCCGAGTCATGTGCGCATGCGCTACTTACTTTCAGTCATCATCAGCACAGAGCGGGACTGTATGAGCGGGACTGTACAAGCAAGACTGTGTGTGCGAATTGCGTCAATAAATATATGTAAGTTGACTGTTTACCTAGTTTGGTTATCAATACTTGTTAAGGAGCTGTAAAGCCTTGATGTCATACTTTCATAAAGTGATGCATGTTTAAGAGAGATGAATCCGTTAATCGCGTGAGTTTAAGGGCTCGTGAATGTGCCGTTTATGTTCGATATTACTGGCAATTTATAATATTGAGATTGCATCCAGTGTTTGATTGTGCATATGTATGTGTGATCGTTACATTAGTATTTGAAACTCTTGTTATTTCAAGTTCAATGATGCGATCTTTATGATTATGTGCCGTTCATTTAAATTACCTCAGATTTGGTTTCGGTTTTGAATGTTATGCCATTTCTGACCACCTGGTGGCGGTGTTGCATATTTTCGTTGCTTGTATTTTGATTTCTTTATTTAATATAGAATCGAACCTGATAATTCTTTATTTGAAGAATGTAGATTTGGAAGTAATGTTTGTATAATAATATTAGAGACATTTGTTAATATATATACCTTTATTTCTTTCCCTTTGTAGACCACACAAACACACACAGATAAATACTTTAAGCAACCTATGTACTGCTGTTTTGTGCATGGCCAAAACTGTCAACAATAAACCTCCTTTGCATGGAACTGATTGAATCCAGTGTGTTCTGATCGACACCCCATTGAGGAAAGCTAGAAATTACACATCATCACCTATTACAGTCCAATCCTCCTATCGAACAACTATTATACAAACCAAAGGACAGGCAATGGTTTTCGGGCTACAGATATAATATACAGATATACAGAAATAATGTTTTTCTCTTCTGTTTTTGTTGCAAAGTAATTTAAATGAAAAAATATCTAAATAATATCATGTTATATATATATAGGCCTATGTGATCCAAAGTAACTAGTAACTAACTACTTGAGTAGTTTTTTCATTGGATACTTTTTTACTCTTACTCAAGTAACTTTTAAGATTATTACTTTTACTTTTACTTTGAGTAAATATTTCTATAAGTACTTGTACTTTTACTTGAGTACAGTTTTTGGATACTCTACCCACCTCTGCATATTCCTCATTTCTGTGATGTGAAGCTCCAGTATTATGTGATGATGATGTTGTGTATATGTGGCATTATGTGTTGAACTGAACTAACAGACGTGATCCACAGATCCAGCTGATCCAGCATCAGAAACTGCTGGATTATTATACAGAGGTACGACACGTTCATTTATACTGACAGCTTTATAACATTACACTATCAGTCAGTCTGTAAATGCTTCATCAAGAACTGTTGATAGATGAAGACCCTTGACTTCAGTCATGTCCAGTTTCTCTTCTTCCTCTCATGTTTCCTGCAGTGATTGTGAGTATTGTTGAGATCGCAGTGTTTGCTGCTCCTACTGTGATTCTTCTTCAGATCATCTGTGCAAGAAGAGCTGGTGAGTTTGAGCCGCACACAATCTGAAGATTCACACTCATCTGATCTGAACATCTGCAATCATGAGAAACACATACGAGAGGTCAGGCAATGCTTTTATTTTGCAGGGAGGAAGGACTCGAAGCGCCCGGAGGAAATAGAGATGCCCACAATATTACAATAAAACACGGATGAGTTCAGAATCTGCAGCAATATTTACAATAGCAGAAACTCAGAGGATTGTTCATTGGTTTATTTTCTTCTTCTCAGAAAACAGAGAAAAAACTCTGATCATCCTGAAGAAATAGTGACACCATCAAGTTTAGATTAAAATGTTTTTACATATAAAAGGCCAGATTTATTTTCATTTTTTATGGGTTTTATATATATTTGCCTACAGTGCTGAAAGTCATTTTCTTGTGCTTCATCTGTAAACTGCTTTAAAATATAATATTAAATACAGTAATGGACAGACTCAGACTGTATAATCATCTCTCTGTTCTGTGTGATGGAGATGATCTGAGGATTATTGCATCTTGTTCATTCCTGTTTTTAGCATGTTTTGTTCATTTTGTATGATTGATACTAATTTTCTTAATAAACCTCTGCAAATGTTTTTATTAAGTCTCCTTTCCTCAGATGTTTGTTACAAATATGATAATATCCCTTCATGAGCTTGTAATGTCTCTGTAACGAAGTCCACTGAAGCGAGTTGTAGTTGAGAACCCGTGTGCAGTTTTAGGCCCCGTTTACACGAAGGGAAAACGCAGATATTTCCCCGCGGTTTGGCCTCTCATTTACACGATTATTTCTAAAAACTCCGGCCAAAGTGGAGATTTCTGAAAACGCCGGTTATCTGTTGTCGTGTCAACTGGGAGAAACGGGGTTTTAGGTTCTCTCTTGTCGATTCTGATTGGCTTGCATGGCTTTATCCTTCTCCCTACACTGCCCCCCATAGGTTTGGCATAGATATGATGGCGCTCGCTGCGTATTTATGCGGGTGTGTGCACAAAGTTATTATTGAAAACGGAGGAGGGGGAAATATTCGTTTCTCTAAATACCCGGCCATGTGTAAATGTGGCCTTATTTAGATCCATCATATGGACAAATACAAGATAAACAAAGACCCGACTTGACTAGAAACTTAAAAAAAACTTGAATATGACCATCACAAACTCACCAACAGAGGCTACAAGTAACAAAGCTAGACAAAAGACAATGGTAACATGAGGGCATGTATACACAGAGACTAATAACTAAACAAGGGACACCTGAACACAATAAACCAATAAAAACAAGACACATGATCAGGGAATCACATGACAAGACATAATAGTAAGTGTGAGTATTAAAGGGTCAAGTGTTGATGAAATATATGTGTTTTCAGCCGTTTCTTGAAGATGGCTAAAGCCTCGTCAGCTCAGGTTGAGTTGGGCAGGTCATTCCTCCAGCAGGAACAGTCCAGGTGAAGGTCTGTGAAAGTGATTCTGTGTCTCTGTGAGATGATGCTCCACAAGACACCGTTCCCCTGCAGAACACAAGCTTCTGGAGACACATCGGTCTGGAGTAGTGAGTTTAGGTGTAGAGGAGAAGAGCCAGTGGTTGTTCTGTAGGAATACATCAGGGTCTTGAATCTGATGCGAGCGGCTGTTGGAAACCAGTGCAAGTTTGTGAGGAGAGGAGTGACGTGCGTCTCCAGAAATAACACCATTGAGACAGTGGTCAGAAGTTCAGGGAGGCGGAAGTTAAATCAGTGGTGCTTGAGAAATACATCCCAGATCCACTTCCAGAACATTTGTAGTGTTGATAAAGGAGGCTGGATCTGATCTGTTTTCCTCAGAGTAAACAGCACATTATAATCCATGTGTAGAAACACTCCCTGAGACACATTAATATCTGCTTTAGTTTTATTTCTAGAATTGAACGGCATGCAGGAAACTGCTAAAATAAGGAAGTGAAACTAGCAGTAATGCTCTCGTGTGCCAAAGAATATCCTTGTGTTCAGAGCAGATGTGTGTTGCAGTGCGCTTCACAATATACACTTCTCAGACATGTTTAACACACATGTAAAGACACTTCACTGTGGTATTGTGTCAATAAATATCAATGATTTACACACTCAGATTGTCAGGAGTGTGACAGCGCCAAAATGTGTGTTACATGGTTCATGATACTTTAACATATACACATGTAGCGCCTCTCCCTTAGGTTTAAGCGGGAGCGGCCCTGGGTTAGTTTATTGTTAGATCTCTCTAAGTAGCCTCTGAATATTATTAACTTTATTTCAATAAACCCTTATCTCAATATTGGTGTGCTTATGAACAGACTAAAATAAACACAAAGTCTTGTAAGTGAAATAGAAACCTTAAGTTGTTTACTGAAATAAAATAGTAAAATTCAAATAGCAATTGAAAATAAGATTAAAATAAAGACCACATACACATACACTGTCAAGAGTTCAGGTGAGAAAACAGACAAAACTTTCAGAGATTAATTTGGACTCTGGCTTCATACTGTCATTGTGAAATAGTACTGATCTAAGCCATTACGATCCTAAGAGTGACTTCCGACATGGGCCATAATAGGCTAAAATAGACTGTTGTTTGTGAAATGAGGACAATTTTACTCTTTTCGATCATCTCATTAAATCATAATTTTCTTAAGCAGTGAATTACCTGTCAGCTTGCACTAATTATGAGACTGCAGTCAGTGTTGCAGAAACAAAGGAGGTAATGATTAGGGATGCGAACTGTAAAATAATATGTTGGGTTCCATTAACGATTATTTTAGTTTAGTTTAACTTTAAGAAAGGAATATTTGGCCAAATGATGAGAATTTTAATAATAAATAGATTTCTCTTTACAGCGAGGTGTGTTTGGGCTGTGCTCTTAGTGTGACATTACATGATTTCCGTAGTGTTTTTATAGCTGTGATCTCACTGTTGAGGTCTGGAAACATGACTCACAGTTCGACCACAATAGAGGCGTGATCATCTCTGAACCCAGTTGATGAGTTTAAAGACTGGCTTCTGCTGGTTCTGGCATCGGTCTAGAGATCATTGAAAAACCTTTTCATTTTATGGAGTCAGATGAAACGAGTTAATACATAAGATAAAATGTATTGCATTTAATTAAAAATCCCTTTGCCATGGGAAGAGACGGAGCACGCGTGAGACCTTCACCGCTAATCGAGTGCCGCCATTGGATCGAATTAGACAGCCTTACAAATATACAGTAAAGTGTAATTTATTCCTGTGATCAAAGCTGAATGTTCAGCATCATTACTCCAGTCTTCAGTGTCACATGATCCTTCAGAAATCACTCTAATATGAGGATCTGATGCTCAAGACATATTAACATTTTATTTCTCAGGATTCTTAGATGAGCAAAGTTAAAGAGAACAGCATTTATTTGAAAGAATCTTTTGTAACATTGTAACTGTGACTATCTGAATAAAAGTATTTCCTCATGTGGAAGACACTAACGTGTGTAAATGATGATGTGAGACAGCGGGTATAAACGAAGATCTTTACTGGAGAAAAGAAAGAGTTGACAGAGGTTAAAAGCGAACAGAAACGGGTCATCTCCGAGATGATGGGGTTATATCTTGATGCGGAAGGCGGTGGCGTGCGCTCCGGCCCCGGGCTCTGCTCCTGCACTGGGGCCACTGGTGCTGCTGGGGCCGCTGGAGGACTTGAACAGGGCCCTCAGGATGGTCTGCGGATCCACCTCGGCCCCCGCGGGTCTGGAGCCCGAGCGAGACGACGACGACGAGTCCTTCTGGGCCGAGCCGACCGCACCGGGGGAGTCACTCAGCCTCCTGAAACACCATTCATCATCATCATCATCATCATCATTATTATCATCATTATCATCATCATCACTCAGCCTCCTGAAACACCACCATTATGATGATCATTATCATTATTATCATCATCAGTCACTCAGCCTCCTGAAACATCACCATTATGATGATCATTATCATTATTATCATCATCATTATCATCATCATCATCATCACTCAGCCTCCTGAAACACCACCATTATGATGATCATCATCACAGACCACAGACCCATCACAGCACAACTAAACACATCATGCTTCACATATCCTAATTATGATGTATAAAGTCGAAATAATGACATGTTGAAATTATGACGTAGATATTGAAAAAGTATAGCCGAAATTATGATATAGATAGTCTCAATTGCGGTAAAAAGTCAAAATTATGAGGTTTAAATGTCGAAATTGATATGCCAAGTCAAACTGATGACAAATTGAAATTATGATCGAAAATGACAAATTGAAATGAAGACAAAATTATGACAAATTTTAAGTTATGATGTTGAAATTATGACAGAAATTGACAAAAAAAATTACAGAAAATGAAAAATTGACAAATTGAAATTACCCCAAATTGAAATTATGACAAATTGAAATATTGACCTGTTGAAATTATGACGTAGAAACTGAAAATTATAACAAATTGAAATTATGACGTAGAAATTATGATTATTAAGAAATTGAAATTATGGCAAATTGAAAATGACAACTTGAAGTTGAAATAATGACATGTTGAAATTATGACGTAGAAACTGAAAATGGAAATTATAACAAATTGAAATGATGAAGTAGAAATTATGACTAAGAAATTGAAACTATGGCAAATTGAAAATGACAACTTGAAGTTGAAATAATGACAATTTGAAATTATGACATAGAAATTGAAAATTTAAACAAATTGAAATTGACAAATTAATGATGTTGAAACTGATTCTGTTGAAATTATGACGTATACATTGAAAAGGTATAGGTTTAAATGTGGAAATTGACATACCATGTCAAAATGATGACAAATTGAAATAATGATATAAATTGAAATTATGATATAGTTAGTCTCAATTACGATAAAAAGTCAAAATGAGGATGTTGAAATCACAAATCGAAAATGACAAATTGAAATTATGACAGAAATTGACAAAAATAAAATTATATAAATTCAATTTGGCGTAATTTAAATTTGTCAATTGCCATGTCACAATTTCAATGTGTTAATTTCAATTTATATAATTTCATTTTTATGTCAATTTCTGTCATAATTTCAATTTGTTATAATTTCAATTTTTAGTTTCTACGTCGTAATTTCAACAGGTCATTATTTCAATTTATCATAATTTCAATTTGGCGTAATTTAAATTTGTCAATTGCTGTCATAATTTCAATGTGTTAATTTCAAATTATGAGAAATTGAAATAATGACCTGTTGAAATTATGACGTAGAAATTGACAAATTGAAATTATGCCAAATTGAAATTGACAACTTGAAGTTGTGATGTTGAAATAATGACATGTTGAAATTATGGCGTCGAAATTTAACATTTTCATTATAATAAATTGAAATTATGACGTAGATATTGACAAATTGAAATTATGACAAATTAAAATGAAATTCGAAGTGAAATTTTTTTTAAAGTTAAAATTAGGACAGTCAAAATTGACAAATTGAAATGAAGACAAAATGATGACAAATTGAAATTATGACAGAAATTGACAAAAATAAAATTATATAAATTTAAATTAACACATTGAAATTATGACATAGCAATTGACACATTTAAATTACGCCAAATTGAAATTATGATAAATTGAAATAATGACCTGTTGAAATTACGACGTAGAAACTAAAAATTTAAATTATAACAAATTGAAATAATGACGTAGAAATTGACAACTTGAAGTTGTGATGTTGAAATAATGACATGTTGAAATTATGGCATTGAAATTTAACATTTTTATTATAATAAATTGAAATTATGACGTAGATATTGACAAATTGAAATTAAAAAAAATTTCACTTCGAATTTCATTTTAATTTGTCATAATTTCAATTTGTCAATATCTACGTCATAATTTCAATTTATTATAATAAAAATGTTAAATTTCAATGCCATAATTTCAACATGTCATTATTTCAACATCACAACTTCAAGTTGTCAATTTCTACGTCATTATTTCAATTTGTTATAATTTCAATTTTTAGTTTCTACGTCGTAATTTCAACAGGTCATTATTTCAATTTATCATAATTTCAATTTGGCGTAATTTAAATGTGTCAATTGCTATGTCATAATTTCAATGTGTTAATTTAAATTTATATAATTATATTTTTGTCAATTTCTGTCATAATTTCAATTTGTCATCATTTTGTCTTCATTTCAATTTGTCAATTTTGACTGTCCTAATTTTAACTTTAAAAAAAATTTCACTTCGAATTTCATTTTAATTTGTCATAATTTCAATTTGTCAATATCTACGTCATAATTTCAACTTATTATAATGAAAATGTTAAATTTCGACGCCATAATTTCAACATGTCATTATTTCAACATCACAACTTCAAGTTGTCAATTTCAATTTGGCATAATTTCAATTTGTCATCATTTTGTCTTCATTTCAATTTGTCAATTTTGACTGTCCTAATTTTAACTTTAAAAAAAATTTCACTTCGAATTTCATTTTAATTTGTCATAAAGTTAAAATTAGGACAGTCAAAATTGACAAATTGAAATGAAGACAAAATGATGACAAATTGAAATTATGCCAAATTGAAATTGACAACTTGAAGTTGTGATGTTGAAATAATGACATGTTGAAATTATGGCGTCGAAATTTAACATTTTCATTATAAGTTGAAATTATGATGTAGATATTGACAAATTGAAATTATGACAAATTAAAATGAAATTCGAAGTGAAATTTTTTTTAAAGTTAAAATTAGGACAGTCAAAATTGACAAATTGAAATGAAGACAAAATGATGACAAATTGAAATTATGACAGAAATTGACAAAAATAAAATTATATAAATTGAAATCAACACATTGAAATTATGACATAGCAATTGACACATTTAAATTACGCCAAATTGAAATTATGATAAATTGAAATAATGACCTGTTGAAATTACGACGTAGAAACTAAAAATTTAAATTATAACAAATTGAAATAATGACGTAGAAATTGACAACTTGAAGTTGTGATGTTGAAATAATGACATGTTGAAATTATGGCATCGAAATTTAACATTTTTATTATAATTAATTGAAATTATGACGTAGATATTGACTAATTGAAATTATGACAAATTAAAATGAAATTCGAAGTGAATTTTTTTTTTTTAAGTTAAAATTAGGACAGTCAAAATTGACAAATTGAAATGAAGACAAAATGATGACAAATTGAAATTATGACAGAAATTGACAAAAATAAAATTATATAAATTTAAATTAACACATTGAAATTATGACATAGCAATTGACAAATTTAAATTACGCCAAATTGAAATTATGATAAATTGAAATGACGACCTGTTGAAATTACAACATAGAAACTAAAAATTGAAATTGTAACAAATTGAAATTATGACGTAGAAATTGACAAATTGAAATTATGCCAAATTGAAAATGACAACTTGAAGTTATGATGTTGAAATAATGACATGTTGAAATTATGGCGTCGAAATGTAACATTTTTATTATAAGAAGTTGAAATTATGACGTACATATTGACTAATTGAAATTATGACAAATTAAAATGAAATTCGAAGTGAAATTTAAAAAAAAAAAAAGTTAAAATTAGGACAGTCAAAATTGACAAATTGAAATGAAGACAAAATGATGACAAATTGAAATTATGACAAAAAATTGACATAAAAATCAAATTATATAAATTGAAATTAACACATTGAAATTATGACATAGCAATTGACTAATTAAAATTACGCCAAATTTAAATTATGGTAAATTGAAAAAATGACCTGTTGAAATTACGACGAAGAAACTAAAAATTGAAATTATAACAAATTGAAATTATGACGTAGAAATTGACATTGAAATTATGCCAAATTGAAAATGACAACTTGAAGTTATGATGTTGAAATAATGGCGTCGAAATTTAACATTTTTACTATAACAAGTTGAAATTATGACGTAGATATTGACTAATTGAAATTATGACAAATTAAAATGAAATTCAAAGTGATTTTTTTAAAAAAAAAAGTTAAAATTAGGACAGTCAAAATTGACAAATTGAAAATATGACAAATTGAAAGACAAGACAAAATTATGACGTTGAAGTTATGATATGTTGAAATGATGACAAATGATCATCACGAATTTGAAATAAGTAAAAAATTATGACAAATTGAAATTAAGACGTCAACATATAAAAGTCGCAATTGACATAAAAAGTTACAATTACGAGTCAAAATTATGACAAATTGAAATGATAAAATAAATTGAAATATGACGTAATAATTACAACAACATGTTAAAATGCTGAAACTGAAGTGAAAATGATGTAGTGTGTGTGTGAGAGAGAGATGGGAACTCACAGGAGGATGGGCTGCTCTGACGTGATCACACTGCCCTGCATGTGGAGGTTACACTTCATCGGCTGACCTGAACACACACACACACACACACACACAGCATCCTCAGGGTATGTTCTTCACTTACACTTATACAAGTTATGACTGAAAATATACCGTATTGTTCAGACTATAAGGCCCTTTTCAAGATGTACCATTTGGGAAAAGAAAATGCTTTTATTTGACATTTATTTTCACTGCACATTTTTCATATTTCTTGTATGGTAAATACTGGTCAAATGCATTTAGAAAAATAAGCACTTTTTGGCATGCCATTAAATACCCAGCAGCCCATCTGAATAATATAACAACACCCAGCCGTGTAGAAGAGCAGCCTGTGATGACCAGTAGAAGTGTGTGTAGCGCATATTCGGAACAATACGGTATATAAACATATATACATAACACACAATAATATATACAATTTCATAATAATACACATAATATCACACAGTGGAACTTTAAAAATGTGTAAAGTTTGAAGAATTCATTTTTCTATTATGATTAGCTCTTTCCCTGCCCTGGAGTGAGTGTTCGCTCATGTTTATGATCATCGTTCTGAATCTGATCTGGAACAAATCTTTGACAAACACACGATTTCCTCAGATTTATGAAACTTACCCACATTCAAGTGTTGATAAAAAAAGAATAAAACAGGTTTTATTGTTTAAAAGCAGAGGCTGTTGTTCTCTTTTGATATATGGACTGAGGCCAGGAGAAGCGCTGGCGGGGAAGAGTTCAGATGTGATTAACCAATCAAAGCCATAGACGATGACGAGCTGTTCACGTCTCAGAGCACACACACACACACACACACACACACACACACACATGATTATAATGATTATAATAAGCCTCACCATCCAGGCAGCGGTTGTTGTACTTCCTGTAGGCGCTGACCGCATCATCCTTGCGCACGAACACCACCTCGGCCACGCCCACTTTCAGCAGCCGCGCACGCTTCAGCGCGCCACACACACAGAACAGCTCCTGCACACACACACACATCACTGTGACATCTGTACACACACACACGTGCTGCCCACTACACACTGCTGATCTACTGGTGTGTTCATGTAACGGCCACGTTTGGTCTCATCTGACAGCACACACACACACACACACACACTGCTGATCTACTGGTGTGTTCATGTAACGGCCACGTTTGCTCTCATCGGACAGCACACACACACACACACACACACTGCTGATCTACTGGTGTGTTCATGTAACGGCCACGTTTGCTCTCATCGGACAGCACACACACACACATCACTGTGACATCTGTACACACACACACACTGCTGATCTACTGGTGTGTTCATGTAACGGCCACGTTTGCTCTCATCTGACAGCACACACACACACACACACACATCACTGTGACATCTGTACACACACACACACTGCTGATCTACTGGTGTGTTCATGTAACGGCCACGTTTGCTCTCATCGGACAGCACACACACACACACACACACACTGCTGATCTACTGGTGTGTTCATGTAACGGCCACGTTTGCTCTCATCGGACAGCACACACACACACACACACACACACATCACTGTGACATCTGTACACACACACACACTGCTGATCTACTGGTGTGTTCATGTAACGGCCACGTTTGCTCTCATCGGACAGCACACACACACACACACACACACACTGCTGATCTACTGGTGTGTTCATGTAACGGCCACGTTTGCTCTCATCGGACAGCACACACACACACACACACACATCACTGTGACATCTGTACACACACACACACTGCTGATCTACTGGTGTGTTCATGTAACGGCCACGTTTGCTCTCATCAGACAGCACACACACACACACACACACACACTGCTGATCTACTGGTGTGTTCATGTAACGGCCACGTTTGCTCTCATCAGACAGCACACACACACACACACACACACACACACACTGCTGATCTACTGGTGTGTTCATGTAACGGCCACGTTTGCTCTCATCGGACAGCTCCTGCACTTATGAACGATTAGGCACTACTGCTGAAACACACGCTGAGGAGAACATGTTCATGTGTCCTGATCTCTGGCTCTCCTGTCAGTTTAGGTGTTAGTGATCCACTCATGCTGAAAGGCGTTAATCCTGTCACTCACACACACACACACACACACACACCAAAGCATAACCTCATATTATTATATTATTATTACAGTGGGTATAGGTCAGTTAGTTTGCCACTCATACACACCAGTGTTCTTGTTTTTGTTGCTTCCCTTGACCTGTAATTACTGTGAGTATAGTAACAGGGTGTGTAACAGTGTGTGTAACAGTGTATAGTAACAGTGTGTGTAACAGTGTATAGTAACAGGGTGTGTAACAGTGTATAGTAACAGGGTGTGTGACAGTGTATAGTAACGGGGTGTGTGACAGTGTATAGTAACAGGGTGTGTAACAGTGTATAGTAACAGGGTGTGTGACAGTGTATAGTAACAGGGTGTGTGACAGTGTATAGTAACGGGGTGTGTGACAGTGTATAGTAACAGGGTGTGTAACAGTGTATAGTCACAGGGTGTGTAACAGTGTATAGTCACAGGGTGTGTAACAGTGTATAGTCACAGGGTGTGTAACAGTGTATAGTAACAGGGTGTGTAACAGTGTATAGTAACAGTGTGTGTAACAGGGTGTGTAACAGGGTGTGTAACAGGGTGTGTAACAGGGTGTGTAACAGGGTGTGTAACAGGGTGTGTAACAGGGTGTGTAACAGGGTGTGTAACAGGGTGTGTAACAGGGTGTGTAACAGGGTGTGTAACAGGGTGTGTAACAGGGTGTGTAACAGGGTGTGTAACAGGGTGTGTAACAGTGTATAGTAACAGGGTGTGTAACAGTGTGTGTAACAGTGTATAGTAACAGGGTGTGTAACAGTGTATAGTAACAGGGTGTGTAACAGTGTGTGTAACAGTGTATAGTAACAGTGTGTGTAACAGTGTATAGTAACAGTGTGTGTAACAGTGTATAGTAACAGTGTGTGTAACAGTGTGTGTAACAGTGTATAGTAACAGTGTGTGTAACAGTGTGTGTAACAGTGTATAGTAACAGGGTGTGTAACAGTGTATAGTAACAGGGTGTGTAACAGTGTGTGTAACAGTGTATAGTAACAGTGTATAGTAACAGTGTATAGTAACAGTGTGTGTAACAGTGTGTGTAACAGTGTATAGTAACAGTGTGTGTAACAGTGTATAGTAACAGTGTATAGTAACAGTGTATAGTAACAGTGTATAGTAACAGGGTGTGTAACAGGGTGTGTAACAGTGTATAGTAACAGTGTGTGTAACAGTGTATAGTAACAGTGTATAGTAACAGTGTGTGTAACAGTGTGTGTAACAGTGTATAGTAACAGTGTGTGTAACAGTGTATAGTAACAGTGTATAGTAACAGTGTATAGTAACAGGGTGTGTAACAGGGTGTGTAACAGTGTGTGTAACAGTGTATAGTAACAGTGTATAGTAACAGTGTATAGTAACAGTGTATAGTAACAGGGTGTGTAACAGTGTGTGTAACAGTGTATAGTAACAGGGTGTGTAACAGTGTATAGTAACAGGGTGTGTAACAGTGTATAGTAACAGGGTGTGTAACAGTGTGTGTAACAGTGTGTGTAACAGTGTATAGTAACAGTGTATAGTAACAGTGTGTGTAACAGTGTATAGTAACAGGGTGTTTAACAGTGTATAGTAACAGGGTGTGTAACAGTGTATAGTAACAGGGTGTGTAACAGTGTGTGTAACAGTGTATAGTAACAGTGTGTGTAACAGTGTATAGTAACAGGGTGTGGAACAGTGTATAGTAACAACGTGTGTAACAGTGTATAGTAACAGGGTGTGTAACAGTGTATAGTAACAGTGTATAGTAACAGGGTGTGGAACAGTGTATAGTAACAAGGTGTGTAACAGTGTATAGTAACAGGGTGTGTAACAGTGTATAGTAACAGGGTGTGTAACAGTGTATAGTAACAGTGTATAGTAACAGGGTGTGTAACAGTGTATAGTAACAAGGTGTGTAACAGTGTATAGTAACAGGGTGTGTAACAGTGTATAGTAACAGGGTGTGTAACAGTGTATAGTAACAGGGTGTGTAACAGTGTATAGTAACAGGGTGTGTAACAGTGTATAGTAACAGGGTGTGTAACAGTGTATAGTAACAGGGTGTGTAACAGTGTATAGTAACAGTGTGTGTAACAGTGTATAGCAACAGGGTGTGTAACAGTGTATAGTAACAAGGTGTGTAACAGTGTATAGTAACAGGGTGTGTAACAGTGTATAGTAACAGGGTGTGGAACAGTGTATAGTAACAGGGTGTGTAACAGTGTATAGTAACAGGGTGTGTAACAGTGTATAGTAACAGGGTGTGTAACAGTGTATAGTAACAGGGTGTGTAACAGTGTATAGTAACAGGGTGTGTAACAGTGTATAGTAACAGGGTGTGTAACAGTGTATAGTAACAGTGTGTGTAACTGTACACACTCACCACTATGTCCTCCTCCGTCACTCGAGGATGAAGATTGTGGACCGTGATCTTAGTTCCCTCCAGTGGACTGATCACCGGCTGAGACACACACACACACACACACACACACACACACACACACACACACACACACAGGTTAACCCCTTCATCAACAGCACACAGGTAACAGTGCTGCAACCACACAATACTGGGGTATCCATTAATCTGAACATTATTCTTTACGTTCAACAAATATTGAAGAAAAAAAACATTTGTAATTAAAACTTTAGATTTAAACCTTAATTTAAAGGAATTCACACACCACTCTCAGCAGCTCTTCAATTTGTTCACAAGCACTGGAGTGAGTGTGTGTGAGAGAGAGAGAGAGAGAGAGAGAGAGAGAGAGAGAGAGAGAGAGAGAGAGAGAGAGAGAGAGAGAGAGAGAGAGAGAGAGAGAGAGAGAGAGAGAGAGAGAGAGAGCGTACCTGTGGGGGTGTGTGTGTGTACCTGTGGGGGTGGGTGTGTGTGTACCTGTGGGGTAGGTGTGTGTGTGTACCTGTGGGGTTGTGTGTGTGTACCTGTGGGGTTGTGTGTGTGTGTACCTGTGGGGGGGTGTGTGTGTGTACCTGTGGGTGTGTGTGTACCTGTGGGGGTGGGGGTGTGTGTACCTGTGGGGGGGGGTGGGGTGTGTGAGAGAGAGTGAGAGCGTACCTGTGGGGGTGTGTGCGTACCTGTGGGGGGGGGGTGTGTGAGAGAGAGAGAGTGCGTACCTGTGGGGGTGTGTGTGTGTGTACCTGTGGGGGGGTGGGGTGTGTGAGAGAGAGAGAGAGCGTACCTGTGGGGGGGGGGGGTGTGTGAGAGAGAGAGAGAGCGTACCTGTGGGGGTGTGTGTGTACCTGTGGGGGTGTGTGCGTACCTGTGGGGGGGGTGGGGTGTGTGAGAGAGAGAGAGAGTGTACCTGTGGGGAGTGTGGGGGGGTGAGAGCGTACCTGTGTGTGTGTGTGTGTACCTGTGGGGGTGTGTGTGTGTACCCTGTGGGGTTGTGTGTGTGTGTGTGCCTGTGGGGGTGTGTGTGTGTGTGTGTGTGTGTACCTGTGGGTGTGTGTGTGTGTACCTGTGGGGGTGTGTGCGTACCTGTGTGTGTGTGTGTGTGTGTGTACCTGTGGGTGTGTGTGTACCTGTGGGGGGTGTGTGCGTACCTGTGGGGGTGTGTGTTGTGTGTGTGTGTGTGTGGTACCTGTGGGTGTGTGTGTACCTGTGGGGGTGGGGGTGTGTGTACCTGTGGGGGGGTGGGGTGTGTGAGAGAGAGAGAGAGCGTACCTGTGGGGGGGGGGGGGGGGGGGGGGGGGTGAGAGAGAGAGAGAGCGTACCTGTGGGGGGGTGTGTGAGAGAGAGAGAGAGCGTACCTGTGGGGGGGTGTGTGAGAGAGAGAGAGAGCGTACCTGTGGGGGGGGGGGGGGGGGGGGGTGAGAGAGAGAGAGAGCGTACCTGTGGGGGGGTGTGTGAGAGAGAGAGAGAGCGTACCTGTGGGGGGGTGTGTGAGAGAGAGAGAGAGCGTACCTGTGGGGGTGTGTGCGTACCTGTGGGGGTGTGTGTGTGTACCTGTGGGGTTGTGTGTGTGTGCCCTGTGGGGTTGTGTGTTGTGTGTGTGCCTGTGGGGGTGTGTGTGTGTGTGTGTGTGTGTACCTGTGGGTGTGTGTGTGTGTACCTGTGGGGGTGTGTGCGTACCTGTGGGGGGGTGGGGTGTGTGAGAGAGAGAGAGAGCGTACCTGTGGGGGTGTGTGCGTACCTGTGGGGGTGTGTGCGTACCTGTGGGGGTGTGTGTGTGTACCTGTGGGGTTGTGTGTGTGTGTGTGCCTGTGGGGGTGTGTGTGTGTGTGTGTGTGTGTACCTGTGGGTGTGTGTGTGTGTACCTGTGGGGGTGTGTGCGTACCTGTGTGTGTGTGTGTGTGTGTGTACCTGTGGGTGTGTGTGTACCTGTGGGGGTGTGTGCGTACCTGTGTGTGTGTGTGTGTGTGTGTACCTGTGGGTGTGTGCGTACCTGTGGGGGTGTGTGTGTGTGTACCTGTGGGTGTGTGCGTACCTGTGGGGGTGTGTGTGTGTGTGTGTGTGTGTGTGTGTGTACCTGTGGGTGTGTGTGTACCTGTGGGTGTGTGTGTACCTGTGGGGGTGGGGGTGTGTGTACCTGTGGGGGGGTGGGGTGTGTGAGAGAGAGAGAGAGAGCGTACCTGTGGGGGGGGGGGGGGGTGTGTGTGAGAGAGAGAGAGAGCGTACCTGTGGGGGGGGTGTGTGAGAGAGAGAGAGAGCGTACCTGTGGGGGTGTGTGCGTACCTGTGGGGGTGTGTGCGTACCTGTGGGGGGGGGGGGTGTGTGAGAGAGAGAGAGCGTACCTGTGGGGGTGTGTGCGTACCTGTGGGGGTGTGTGTGTGTGTGTACCTGTGGGGGTGTGTGTGTGTGTACCTGTGGGGGGGGGTGGGGTGTGTGTGAGAGAGAGTGCGTACCTGTGGGGAGGGTGTGTGTGAGAGAGAGAGAGAGCGTACCTGTGGGGGTGTGTGTGTTTGTCCGCTGGCATCTCCACCCGCCTGTTGCGTGGCAACGGTTGTCCTGGAGACAGGCTGCAGGGTCTGTGTGGGGGGGCGAGCCGTCGCCGTGGAGACGGAAGGGGGCGTGTACGAGTCGTTCTTCACCACCTTAGTGAAGGGAGTCGAGAGAGAGACAGGCACCGGCTGCAGAGAGAGAGACAGACAATCAGACAGTGTGAGAGTGTGTGTGTCTGTGTGTGTGAGTGAGTGTGATTGAGTGAGAGAGAGAGTGAGTGAGTGTGTGAGAGAGTGAGTGAGTGAGAGTGAGTGAGTGTGTGAGAGAGTGAGAGAGTGTAAGAGACTGTGTGAGTAAGTGAGTGAGTGTGAGAGTGTGTGAGAGAGTGAGTGTGAGAGTGTGAGTGTGTGAGTGTGTGAGAGTGAGTGTGTGAGTGTGAGAGTGAGTGTGAATGAGAGTGTGTGAGTGTGTGAGAGTGAGTGAGAGAGTGTGAGAGTGAGTGTGTGAGTGTGAGAGTGAGTGTGAATGAGAGTGTGTGAGTGTGTGAGAGTGAGTGAGAGAGTGTGAGAGTGAGTGTGAATGAGAGTGTGAGAGTGAGTGTGTGAGTGAGTGTGAGAGTGTGAGAGTGAGTGAGTGAGTGAGAGAGTGTGAGAGTGAGTGAGAGAGTGTGAGAGTGAGTGAGAGAGTGTGAGAGTGAGTGTGTGAGTGAGTGTGAGAGTGTGAGAGTGAGTGAGTGAGTGAGTGAGTGAGTGAGTGAGTGAGTGAGTGAGTGAGTGAGTGAGTGAGTGAGTGAGTGAGTGAGTGAGTGAGTGAGTGAGTGAGAGTGAGTGTGAATGAGAGTGTGAGAGTGAGTGAGTGTGAGTGTGTGACTCACTCGTGTCTGCAGGTTGTTGGCTGTGGTGAACTTCATCTGTTTGTTGGGCATCACTGCACCACCATCCTCATCTTCATCAGCAGCAGACACACCCTACAGAGAGAGACCAGAGAGTGTGTGTTCATCACAACAGTGCTGGTTGACTGCGATCAGTGGCCGGATACAGTGTTCTTCACACGGACGCGCGCTTCAATCCGTAGCGGAGAGACTCTCTATTCGTTCCGGTGAAATCACAACACATAACGCACACAAACGTGTCCCTGCCTGATATACAACCACTGATGAGCAATCGGTTTAGATGAGGAGGAAACACTATAGTTCTTACTGCGGATTAGAACCCAGACCCTCTGCCACGCTGGGCTAAACCACTGGACCATTACAGTACATGCGCGTAACAGTCGGATATATATTACCAACAACATGTATTAGATCTCATTAAACGACAAATTATTCTGAAGGCGATGTGTGGGCGTCACACTGCGTATGGGGGATTACGCCGCTGACTCCCAGTGTCCACAACTCAAGTGCCTTTACAAACGCCGCTCAATCCTTCATCATGATTACCACTGACGGGCTGCAAACACTGGAATCTGGCTAATAAAAAATATTAATTGTGGAGGCTCCTGACTGTTGTACAGCGCAGTCTCTACGGTTGCTAAATAGCGGGACGCGTTTAATAATAAAGAGAGCTATTACAAGTCTGGGCAAGAGATGCTGTTCCCAAACACACCGCAACGAGACAAGCACATTATACTCTGGGCTTCATGTGTGTGTCTAAACGATCAAATGTACACACAATCATCAGTTTGTGTGTATAATGGACGTATGGGAATATTTGGGAGAAAAGATGTTGCGTCATTAGATCTGCCCTCGGTCTTAAAGGGGCAGCAGTCTAATAACCATGCGGATGATTGCTCCATTACTGCGAATCACACACCGAAAGGCAAAGAGAAGATCACAGTAATGTTAGTAGACCTTCCTGTAGTTAAAGCACTGTGCCTATATAATGGGTTTCTTTGCTTAATACACATATATATTCATCATAACAGTGATGCGGGAGTCATGTGACACTGACCGGAGCCGCTCGGCTGGGAACGTTGATGCGGATCCCGCTGGTCATTCCCACAGGCCTCTGCTGCACACACACACACACACACAACATCAGTTAGCTGTCAATCACAGGTCAGAGCGCTCTGATTGGCCAGCTACAGTAACAGCTGACAGATCAGCGCTGCTTAACTAAAGCTACTGGAAACCATTTCCATACATCAAGTTGAACTGAATCAGGTTTTATTTCAGTCAACATCTATTTTATTTCAAGTAACAGTACAGCTTTTGTTATGGTTTTATGAGCACTGTTCGGGGCTTTTTGGACTCCACATGACGTTTGCTGAAGAAAATAAAAAATAAATAACAGTTCTCTTTATCCAAATGGCACGAGACTTGGTACAGTCGTCCACACTTTCTGGAGCTACAAATAAAAACATGTACTGGAATGATATCTTTTATGTAAGTGTGGGAAGAAAGTTTGGGATCACAGGCAACTAAATGGAATTTTGTAACAAAATAATTTTTTTATATTCATTTAAAAAAATATAATAAATCCTCCAAAAACAGCACAAATGTGGAGTAAAAACATTAATAAACTGAGTAAAATGACATTTGTTTTAAAAAAAACTAGAGATGCACCGATACGAAAGTTTTGGCCGATCCCGATAACGATAACTCTTCCGATATATTGGCCGATAAATGTAAATCCAAATTTTATATAACTTTTGAGAGCCTGATTACAAAAACAAAAGTCTCACCATTAAAATCCACGTCCCAAACACACATTATAATTTATGTAGCCAATATTTTTCTCCAGTCATATTTCAAGCTAGTGTTGTCACGGTAACAAATATCTTTATTCGGCACCAATACCAGCGAAAATCCACGGTTCTCGGTACCAAAGCTCAATTTAGATTAAATTTACATATATTAAAGTGTATATCACGATTACAAATATGGAAACTGTAGTATCAAAACCACTTTACAATAAGATTCCATTTGTTAGATAACATTAGATGAAAATGACCTAACAATAAACAATAGCGATATATCGTGCATCTCTAAAATATATATATTTTTTTTGTTACAAATTTCCCTTTTGTTGTTGCCTGGGGTCTCTGGAGCCCGAACAGTGTAAACCGCAAACGAGCAGTGCGCAAGGGTTAACAATTACCCTGATCTGAGCCCTCTTTCGGGTCACATGATGTTAATCTTGCCTGTCATTGGCTCACCTGGATGGTTTTGGTGATCTTCAGAGCTGCTGCCAGCTGATTGGACGTCGGCGGGACGCTCCTCTTCAAGCTCAGCCTATCGCGTGCGTCGACGACTCTGGTGATCCCGCCCCCGGGCTGCAAGGCCACGCCCCCTCTGGGTCCAGCGTTGTGGATGTGTATGTGTGGGACGACGGGTTTGGCGGGTGACGGCGGGACAGAGGCGATCGCGGGCGTCAGCTGGTGTTTGCGCGAGTTGATGGTCTGCCGCGCGTCCTGAACTACTGCGCCTGCGCTGCCCCCTCTGGCCCGGATGCGGAACCGCGCGTCCTTCTGTGCTAGCTTCTCCCGCGCGTCCTTCTGCGCTAGCTTCTCCCGCGCATCCTTCACCTGAAACGCTGGACGACAGACAGAAACTACACTCTGTAAAAAAACGTACTCATAAATTTGTTCTTAACTTGAAATGCTTGAGTACATTAATTCAGACATTTAAAGGTGCAGTGTGTAAGTTTAGCGGCATCTAGTGGTGAGGTTGTGAATTCAGAAGTTACGGTGGCCGACAGGAAGTGATGTCGTCGTCTGAGACAGCAGCCAGTTAAACGAGGTTTCTTTACAAAGATCATTTAAGAAATTAGGTTTACTTGATTATTCAGTAAATGTATATGTTATTGAGAATGTTATTGTGCCTTGTTCATCATTGTGTCAGTGTTTTATTCGCTGACTTTAGCAGCTTCTTATCATGAAGAACAACAGTGACGAAACGCGTTTGTCCGTTCAGGGCCACCGTAGAAACATGTGGATGTAAGCGGACCCGCGGTGTGTGTCGAGAGAAACGCCTCATTCTACGCTAATAAACACATAACGGCTCATTATATAAGGGTTTTATACACCACTGAACACATAGTTATGTATATGATATTGCATTTCTGTCAACAGATCCTCCTAAATATTACACACTGCACCTTTAGCTTAAAAATCTCATGTAATCTCAATGAGAACATTAATTAGTTTAAATTTACCTAGCTAACACGCTAGTTCAATAAACGTTAACTTGCTAATTTGCTAACGGTAGCATAGCATAGCACTTGCTGTATGAGTGCAGCAATATAAAGCTTTTAACATGTACTTACTCTCAAACCAAGCTCATGCACCACTTCCTAAAACCAACATCATCGGTTCGGTTTACTTAAAATATATCAGTTCTGTGAACTTGACAGAAAAAAAAGTGCTAAATACTCATTAAAGTGAATTTGACTGAACTAATTCGTTTAAGTTTGTCCTACTCAAACCGATTGATTATTTTGAGCGTTAGGGTTTACAGTGAGGGATTAACAGCTGTCAATCTCAGGGCGTTTACCTCCTGTGGCTCCGCCCACTCCCAGCCGCTGTCTGACATCACCACTGCCGATCTTCTGACGCGCGTCGAAGGCCCTGCCCACCGACCCCGCCCCTCTGCCATATACGGGCCTGTGGGCGGGACAGACACACTCGCTCATGAATATTCATCAAGACAACATCCAAAAGGCTTTTCTTACTTTTGTGTTATTCTCATATCAGTCAGAAAGTTGGCTGTGTTGGTTCATATTATATCACTTAGAATCAAAATTAGCTTTATTATCCAGTGTTAGTTCATATTATATCATTTAGAATCAAAATTAGCTTTATTATCCAGAGTGTCCGTTCATATTATATCACTTAGAATCAAAATTAGCTTTATTATCCAGTGTTAGTTCATATTATATCAGTCAGAATCAAAATTGGCTTTATTATCCAGTGTATTAGTTCATATTATATCAGTCAGAATCAAAATTAGCTTTATTATCCAGTGTGTTAGTTCATATTATATCAGTCAGAATCAAAATTAGCTTTATTATCCAGTGTGTTAGTTCATATTATATCATTTAGAATCAAAATTAGCTTTATTATCCAGTGTTAGTTCATATTATATCAGTCAGAATCAAAATTGGCTTTATTATCCAGTGTATTAGTTCATATTATATCATTTAGAATCAAAATTAGCTTTATTATCCAGAGTGTCCGTTCATATTATATCACTTAGAATCAAAATTAGCTTTATTATCCAGTGTTAGTTCATATTATATCAGTCAGAATCAAAATTGGCTTTATTATCCAGTGTATTAGTTCATATTATATCAGTCAGAATCAAAATTAGCTTTATTATCCAGTGTGTTAGTTCATATTATATCATTTAGAATCAAATTTAGCTTTATTATCCAGTGTTAGTTCATATTATATCAGTCAGAATCAAATTTAGCTTTATTATCCAGTGTATTAGTTCATATTATATCATTTAGAATCAAAATTAGCTTTATTATCCAGTGTATTAGTTCATATTATATCAGTCAGAATCAAAATTAGCTTTATTATCCAGTGTGTAAGTTCATATTATATCATTTAGAATCAAAATTAGCTTTATTATCCAGTGTTAGTTCATATTATATCAGTCAGAATCAAAATTGGCTTTATTATCCAGTGTATTAGTTCATATTATATCAGTCAGAATCAAAATTAGCTTTATTATCCAGTGTGTTAGTTCATATTATATCATTTAGAATCAAATTTAGCTTTATTATCCAGTGTTAGTTCATATTATATCAGTCAGAATCAAATTTAGCTTTATTATCCAGTGCATTAGTTCATATTATATCAGTCAGAATCAAAATTGGCTTTATTTTCCAGTGTGCTAGATAGTTTATTTTAATTCTGACTGATACAGGAGTAAGAGATACCGTTTGTTTATGAACACACACATCATGTGTGCTTTATTCTACACACGGTCCGGATTATAGTTCGTTACTCTGAGTCAAGAGTGTTTGATTGTACGCACTTCTGTGTCGATCGACGGATATCGGCCGATACATCGATCAATCGCTGGATTAAGCGCGTTTCTGTAACACAGCCGTGTAAACACCCGCGTTCAGTGATATACAGTAACGCTTGTAGAGATAATGTAAATGAAAAATGGAAGTTAAATGAATGGAATGTACGGGGTTTGTTTGTAAAAACAGCCACATAAACGCGATGGACGCCATGAGCCACGCGCGTCAGCCAATCACAACACGAGAGCGGCCATCTTAGCCAATCAGCTGCAGGGGAAGGCGGGACATCTCGCGGGCTAAGAGCCTTACACGACTGCGTTTATAAAAAAAACACAATAACGCTAAAACACCGCAGCGGTTTATAGTATCGCTGTTAAAAGTGATGTGGAAGGTTTACCTCTTACTGACTCCTCGAGGGTTAAAGCTGCGGCGACGAATCACTTCATCCAGAGAGAGATCCGCCATATCTACCGTTGTGGATTCCGTGTAGACACGAGTGCGCATGCGCGTGACGCACATATGGGCGGGGCTAAACAATGCGTGACGGGCAGCCGACAGGGTCAAAATTCACGTATGAAATGCGAAAACGCAAGAAGATTCAATCACAGTCCATTAGTTTACATTTACATCCACAACTATAAGCCTTACATGAATCACAAATATAAACAATATCAACGCTTATTTGTACAGTTTTCAAATTACTTATGCAATGTAATAAAACTATCTTTTTACACTACCAGTCAAAAGTTTCGGATCAGTAAGATTTTTTACGTTTAAAAAAAAAAGTCTCTTCTGCTCACAAAGGCTGCATGTATTTGATTAAAAATACAAAAAAACAGTAATATTGTGTAATATTACTCCAGTGTAAATCATCTGTTTTCTATGTGAATATACAGTAAAGTGTAATTTATTCCTGTGATCAAAGCTGAATTTTCAGCATCATTACTCCAGTCTTCAGTGTCACATGATCCTTCAGAAATCACTTTAATATGAGGATCTGATGCTCAAGACACATTTATGATTATTATCAGTGTTGAAAACAGTTGTGTACATTTTTATTTCAGGATTCTTTGATGAATAGAAAGTTCAAAAGAACAGCATCTATCTGAAATATAATCTACACTGGAATAATATTTCACAATATTACTGTTTTTTGTTGTATTTTTAATCAAATAAATGCAGCCTTTGTGAGCAGAAGAGACTTTGGTTAAAAAATCTTACCGATCCAAAACTTTTGACTGGTAGTGTATATAAATACAAATGAATAAAAATAAAGAAACAATGCCTTGCTATTTTACACAATATTAAATGTATTAAATAAAAGCACAGTTTTAACAGCTTTTTTGTGTTTGTACTCCGCATAACAGAAACAGCGTGATTTTAGCACCACAAAAAGAGGATTCTGTTAGCTGAATATACAGCGATGAAATAGCCCATGAAACGCGAATTAATAATATATGTCTCGTTTCCAAATATTACATGTTAATGTAGTAAAAGATCACGAGAAAACACTTTTACAAACAACAAGGAGTCTGAAAATGCGAAACCAACCAATCAGAACAGCGAAGCGCCGTGACGCCATCGACGATCCCACAATGCACCGTCTGATGACCTCGTTCACATCATAAAGTGAGTTTCTTTACCATCTAATGCTAATAAGTGAATTGTGTGATGATAATATTGTTAAAGTGAGGTGTAATAATGAGCATCTCCAGGCTGAGTGAAACACTGAACTCTCCTCACCGTCTCTGTGCACAGCGGCGCGCGGGACCGGTACTGAGAGCGCGCGCATTAACGGGTCATGCCTTAAACTGATGAGTAAGGAAAATAACGACGCGGGGTGACGCCCGTGTCCTCGCTAATACTCGCGAGAGAAATTTTTGAACGGGTACAGGTCCGTCCGCTGAGGTGACTCGCCTACTTCGTGAGATGCCTCGCGGGACCAGGATCTGCCCCGAAACACCCCTATATGCTGTCAATTAAGAGAGAATTAACATGAGATGAAAATGGAACTCACAGTAAGGACTTATAAAGCTGTGTTTCCTCAGAGCGCCACAGGGAAATGCTAACGCTAATTTTTAGCCGGTTCATGGAGAATTATTACAGTAAAAATGTTTAATAGTTTGTTTTAGAGAGAGCAAATTAATTCTACAACAACCTTATAAAGATACTATTCTCATTTATTTATACACGTGACATTATAAATAAACACAAATTGTGTAAAAAATAATATCAACCAAACGGCAAATGTCACAACCTGGGAGTTCAGCTGGCAATAACTATGATAACTATAAAAATAAATGTAATGCTGACTGTAATGATAATTGTAACGATAACAATAACTATAATGAAAAATGTAACGTAATGTAATACTAATAATTGAATGGTATATAATAACAATTTCCTGTGAAGATTAATAATGGATGAGTGAAACACTGAACTCGCGCGCGCGCGCTCTCCTCACCGTCTCTGTGCACAGCGGCGCGCGTGACCCGTTCTGAGAGGGCGCGCACTGAGGGGTCATGCCTTAAACTGATGAGTAAGGAAAATAACTACGCGGGGTGACGCCCGTGTCCTCGCTAATTCTCGCGAGAGAAATTTTTGAACGGGTACAGGTCCGTCCGCTGAGGTGATTCGCCTACTTCGCGAGATGCCTCGCGGGACCAGGATCTGCCCCGAAACACCCCTATATACTGTCAATTAAGAAAGTGTTAATATGCGATAATGTGGAACTCGCAATTAGGAGTTTTAAAGCTGCGGTTGCTCAGAGCGCCACAAGGGAGCGCTAGAGGACCGTGGAAAACTCGATAGAGGAAAGTTAATTAAATAAATAAATAACGTTATTAAAATAAAATAATAAATAAGTACATTCATTTAAAATACAGTATTGTTTATTAAATACAAAAAAATAAATTAATGATTAAAATAATTAAATAACATTTGATTAAAATAAATTAAATAGTAAATAAATAAATAATAAAGTAAATCATATTTTACTAGATTTAAATAAATACATAAAACTTGATTTAGATCAATACAAATAAGAAAAGCAGTGTAAAAATATAAAAAATAATCTGTGGTTTCCTCATTTGAATATGCAAACGCTAAGCAAATGAACAGAAGCGCAGTTTACCTTAAACGAAAGTGTGAAGCCTGATTTATTTAGCCGGTTCATGGAGAATTATTACAGTAAAAATGTTTAATAGTTTGTTTTAGAGAGCAAATTCATTCTACAACAACCTTAAGGATACTTCTCATTTATTTTTAAATCAAATTTACACGTAGCATTATAATAAAGACAAATTGTGCAAAAAAATAATAATATCAACCCAACGGTAAATGTCCCAACCTGGGAATATTATATTCACTCGACAAAATAAATGTTTGGTTGGTTGCTCTTCTGTTTGATGTTTCCGGTATCGGAGAAGACTCAATTTCCCATGATGCATCTCTTCAGCGCGGCATCTGCAGCGGCACACGCGTCGCGTCGCTGATAACTAGTAGTGGGAAGTTCGGATCATTTTACTGACTCGGATCTTTGAGTCTCGTTCAGCAAAATGAACGAATCTTTTTTCGAGTCATTTCGTTCATTTCGTTCATTTCAGCATAATATAATTAAAATGGCATGTTAAATATCCCAACACATCTAGTACTTACGAAGATGTTGATTACATTTGTAAAAAGAATAAAAATAAATTATAGGGTAATGCAGCCAAAGCCAAATTATAAGAAACCGAAATTTTTATGAATTGATTAGTTGGGTTTTAAGTTCAAGCTATTGCAGTCTGATTCTGTTAGTTCACCTCACCTCCTGATCCGAGACGTTCTTTCCTTTGCAACTTCATATTTATCAGGTTTGTTCTCCTCCTCTCGTGTCTCGAGACGTTGGTTGTCGACTCGTCAGTGTCTGACTCTGATCTGTGCTGTCTGCTGGGCCGTACCGTGTTTGATACAGCAGGGCCGGAAAGAGTAATGATTAGTTCATCTTTCGAGTCTCGAGTTCGGGTTCGGCCGGGTCCGAGTCTTTCGTTCTTCCTGTCAGTCCCATAGAGGCTATGCTGTCAGTACCGGAAAGAGTAATGATTAGTTCATCTTCTGAGTCTTCGGGTTTGAGTCCTTCGTTCTTTTGTCACGTGACCGCTGGTATCTCGCATCAAATACAATATTAGATTCGTATTATTGATTGCGTCTGAGTGTATATTGTTTTATATTTAGGAATTAAAATACAACATATGTGAAATAAACATTATCTGAAAAATAAAAATATATTCTTATTTCATTAACTGAAAAATAAAAATAAAATCTTATTATTGTCCCAGTCCGTTTCTTTTCTAAATGTTTCTTGTGCATCTGTGGTGTGTTTTATTATATATTATACATTAATTAACTACTATTATATTATACATTAACTACGTGCTTGTTTGTAAAAAGGTTGTGAATTAGTAGGCTAACGGTTACAAGTCACGTTACAAAAGAACGAAGGACTCAAACCCGAAGACTCAGAAGATGAACTAATCATTACTCTTTCCGGTACTGACAGCATAGCCTCTATGGGACTGACAGGAAGAACGAAAGACTCGGACCCGGCCGAACCCGAACTCGAGACTCGAAAGATGAACTAATCATTACTCTTTCCGGTACTGACAGCATAGCCTCTATGGGACTGACAGGAAGAACGAAAGACTCGGACCCGGCCGAACCCGAACTCGAGACTCGAAAGATGAACTAATCATTACTCTTTCCGGTACTGACAGCATAGCCTCTATGGGACTGACAGGAAGAACGAAAGACTCGGACCCGTCCCGAACCCGAACTCGAGAGAGATGAACTAATCATTTCCAGTACAGATTCAGAAACCATATGTTGCGCAATGCGCATGCGCGATCAACACAAAATGAACGAATCACTCTCTGAGACAACTCGGTAGTCCCGAGTCATATTAAAGATTCGTTCAAAATGAACGAATCGTTCATGAACGACACATCACTACTGATAACATCTCGCGCAATGGCTGCAGCTCTGTCTCGAGCGCTGAAATTACCGGGTAAGTCGAATATTAATCTCCAATAAGCGGTCGAATGAATAACAGTAATAAGCAGCCGTTCAGATGCGGGGCGCGCGCTCGCGCTGCGTGTGCGCTTTGTTCGGTGACGTCAGTGATGTGATTATCAGACGCATCTTCACTCCCGTTATACTGTATTCAAATGCGACATGCAGCTATGGACGTTATCGGGCATTCACACAGATTTACCTGCCCTGAGAACGACGTCAGAACCAGCGCGATTATATAATATTACATTAGTAAATTCGCTGCAGATCGGCACAAAAAAAGACCAACACCAACCACCATACATGTGAATACCGTTACACGAATGCACGGTACCATGGTGAATGCCTACGTCACGAGACCAGTGGCTTTTGTAATGAAACATCGTTTGCTATTTTCTCAAAGAGAATCTGTGAATTTTCTTCAATTTTTTATTTATTTGAATTATACTCGAAAAACGCAATCCTGGATTAAAAACAACCCAATTTGGGTTGTTTTCAACCAAAGGGCTTGGTAAATATAGGACAGAATGCGTGTTGGGTTAATTTTACCCAGCAAATTGAGTTGTTTATTTAACCCAGCATATTGGGTTGATGTACAGTATAGTTGATTAATTTTTACTATAATACTAACTTTTCTTTTTTTTTTACTTTATATATATGAATGAATGTCTGCGTGTGCGTATTAACTTAAATCCTCTGAACTTTCTTAAAATACCCGATTCAACCACTGGTTTGCATGATACTTCCTTTATTTTTCGTAAAGCGCTTTGGTGGCCATTGGGTCTGTGAAAGCGCTATATAAATGCAGTCCATTAACCATTTTTGATCATATTTTACAGTATGGCATATTTTATCGTTTTGAATACATATTGAATACATTTAAGCTTGTTTAACAAAAATTAGAAGTAAAAATGAGGCGTTTATAAGTAGCTCAGGTGTAATGGCCCAGTCTCTGTTGTGTCGTGTCCACCGTAACGCCTCTGGATCTCGTGAGCTTGGGTCGTGTTCAGCGGAGGAACTTATAACTGCAGACCGCAGAAAAATGCTGTGACTCCATAACCTGTCCATAGACAATCAGTGGACAGTTCTGGCAACATATATTAACATCATACGTATTTATATTCTGTATCTTTTTGAATAAAATCATAAAATGTTATGCAAGGCATCACAGGAAAATACAGACGTGACTCTTATCGCACCCCTGTATGTTGCTTTGCATAAAATAAACAATAGACAGAACATGAACATATTTATAGATAAAAAAAAATGTACACAAACCTGTATTTTACCGAAGACACGCACCAATTTGACGGAGCTGCACTGCTCTCTCCTGAAGAGCTCGCAAAAAGCCTGCGATAAATAACTCAACCCCTGGATCTGGTCAACACAAAAACTACTCGAACACTGGGTTGTTACATCTGACCCAGGATCTGGGTAACACAAAAACTACCCAAACACTGGGTTGTTACGTCTGACCCAGGATCTGGGTTACACAAAAACTACCCAAACACTGGGTTGTTACGTCTGACCCAGGATCTGGGTAACACAAGAAAACTACCCAAACACTGGGTTGTTACGTCTGACCCAGGATCTGGGTAACACAAAAACTACCCAAACACTGGGTTTTTACATCTGACCCACGATCTGGGTTACACAAAAACTACCCAAACATTGGGTTGTTACGTCTGACCCAGGATCTGGGTAACACAAAAACTACCCAAACACTGGGTTGTTACGTCTGACCCAGGATCTGGTCAACACAAAAACTACCCAAACACTGGGTTGTTACGTCTGACCCAGGATCTGGTCAACACAAAAACTACCCAAACACTGGGTTGTTACGTCTGATCCAGGATCTGGGTAACACAAAAACTACCCAAACACTGGGTTGTTACGTCTGATCCAGGATCTGGGTAACACAAAAACTACCCAAACACTGGGTTGTTACGTCTGACCCAGGATCTGGGTAACACAAGAAAACTACCCAAACACTGGGTTGTTACGTCTGACCCAGGATCTGGGTAACACAAAAACTACCCAAACACTGGGTTGTTACGTCTGATCCAGGATCTGGGTAACACAAAAACTACCCAAACACTGGGTTGTTACGTCTGATCCAGGATCTGGGTAACACAAAAACTACCCAAACACTGGGTTGTTACGTCTGACCCAGGATCTGGGTAACACAAGAAAACTACCCAAACAGTGGGGTTGTTACGTCTGACCCAGGATCTGGGTTACACAAAAACTACCCAAACACTGGGTTGTTACGTCTGACCCAGGATCTGGGTAACACAAGAAAACTACCCAAACACTGGGTTGTTACGTCTGACCCAGGATCTGGGTAACACAAAAACTACCCAAACACTGGGTTTTTACATCTGACCCACGATCTGGGTTACACAAAAACTACCCAAACATTGGGTTGTTACGTCTGACCCAGGATCTGGGTAACACAAAAACTACCCAAACACTGGGTTGTTACGTCTGACCCAGGATCTGGTCAACACAAAAACTACCCAAACACTGGGTTGTTACGTCTGACCCAGGATCTGGTCAACACAAAAACTACCCAAACACTGGGTTGTTACGTCTGATCCAGGATCTGGGTAACACAAAAACTACCCAAACACTGGGTTGTTACGTCTGACCCAGGATCTGGGTAACACAAGAAAACTACCCAAACACTGGGTTGTTACGTCTGACCCAGGATCTGGGTAACACAAAAACTACCCAAACACTGGGTTGTTACGTCTGATCCAGGATCTGGGTAACACAAAAACTACCCAAACACTGGGTTGTTACGTCTGATCCAGGATCTGGGTAACACAAAAACTACCCAAACACTGGGTTGTTACGTCTGACCCAGGATCTGGGTAACACAAGAAAACTACCCAAACACTGGGTTGTTACGTCTGACCCAGGATCTGGGTAACACAAAAACTACCTAAACATTGGGTTGTTACGTCTGACCCAGGATCTGGGTAACACAAGAAAACTACCCAAACACTGGGTTGTTACGTCTGACCCAGGATCTGGGTAACACAAGAAAACTACCCAAACACTGGGTTTTTACATCTGACCCACGATCTGGGTTACGCAAAAACTACCCAAACATTGGGTTGTTACGTCTGACCCAGTATCTGGTCAACACAAAAAGTACCCAAACACTGGAAAAGAACCCCAAAAAATGACTCAAAAGGCTCAACCAAGGATTTGGGCAGACAAAAGGAGCCAAGATTTTTTAGAGTGTGTGTAATAATGATTTAAATGCTGACAGGTTTGTTCTGGAGACATCATCAGAGTGTTAAACTGTTTAAATCCCTGATCCTGCAGGGAAGAAGGGCTCGGACCTGGGCGAGTACGACCCGCTGACGCAGGCGGACAGCGAAGATGAGACGGAGGACGACGATCTGGTGCTGAACTACCCTCGTAACGGCCTGAGCCCGGCGGCGGCCGACCTGCGGGACGAGGAGGAGGAGTTGGAGGAGGAGTGGCCGCAGAGAGAGGGGGAGGGGCCTGTCGCAGAGGTGGGCGGGGCCAGCGAGGGGAAGGCGGGGCGTGTGCGCGGGGCGGTTCGGACCACAGCGTTCCTGCTGCCGCTGGGCTGCGCGGCGCTGCTAGTGCTGATGTGTGCGTTTCTCCTGCCCTGCCCACAGGGGGCGCCGCACCTCACGCACTGGCAGCGAGCGCTCGGAGACGCCAGCGGTGAGTGATCGCGCTACACCTCGTCAACACCTCGCCTCGTTAACCTGCAGACTCAACATGTGCTCTTCCTCTCAGGCGTGACCTCGCCTCCGCTGGCGCTGTGTGACGTGGACGGAGACGGGCTGGAGGACCTTCTGATCGGCGTCACCAGCATCTCTAATGACACTCAGCCAATCAACGCGCAGAGCAAAGGTGAGCGCACCAAATGACGGAAAAACTCCCCGTTACGGTAGAACAGAGCGCAACAGTCGGTTACGGAAGATCAATCTCTAAAAACTAGAGTGATAACGGTAACAATTACTATTACGATAACTGTAACGATAAGCAATGATAACTGTTACGATAACTGTAACGATAACTGTAATGATAACTGTTACGATAACTGTAATGATAAGCAATGATAACTGTTACGATAACTGTAACGATAAGCAATGATTACTATTACGATAACTGTAATGATAAGCAATGATAACTGTTACGATAACTGTTACGATAACTGTAATGATAACTGTTACGATAACTGTAACGATAAGCAATTATAACTGTTACGATAACTGTAACGATAAGCAATGATAACTGTTACAATAACTGTAACCATAAGCAATGATAACTGTTACGATAACTGTAACGATAAGCAATGATAACTGTAACGATAACTGTAATGATAACTGTTACGATAACTGTAACGATAAGCAATTATAACTGTTACGATAACTGTAACGATAAGCAATGATAACTGTTACGATAACTGTTACGATAACTGTAATGATAACTGTTACGATAACTGTAACGATAAGCAATTATAACTGTTACGATAACTGTAACGATAAGCAATGATAACTGTTACAATAACTGTAACCATAAGCAATTATAACTGTTACGATAACTGTAATGATAAGCAATTATAACTGTTACGATAACTGTAACGATAAGCAATGATAACTGTTACGATAACTGTAATGATAAGCAATGATAACTGTTACGATAACTGTAATGATAACTGTTACGATAACTGTAACGATAAGCAATTATAACTGTTACGATAACTGTAACGATAAGCAATGATAACTGTTACAATAACTGTAACCATAAGCAATGATAACTGTTACGATAACTGTAACGATAAGCAATGATAACTGTAACGATAACTGTAATGATAACTGTTACGATAACTGTAACGATAAGCAATTATAACTGTTACGATAACTGTAACGATAAGCAATGATAACTGTTACGATAACTGTTACGATAACTGTAATGATAACTGTTACGATAACTGTAACGATAAGCAATTATAACTGTTACGATAACTGTAACGATAAGCAATGATAACTGTTACAATAACTGTAACCATAAGAAATTATAACTGTTACGATAACTGTAATGATAACTGTTACGATAACTGTAACGATAAGCAATTATAACTGTTACGATAACTGTAACGATAAGCAATGATAACTGTTACAATAACTGTAACCATAAGCAATTATAACTGTTACGATAACTGTAACCATAACTGTTACGATAACTGTAACGATAAGCAATTATAACTGTTACGATAACTGTAACGATAAGCAATGATAACTGTTACAATAACTGTAACCATAAGCAATTATAACTGTTACGATAACTGTAATGATAAGCAATTATAACTGTTACGATAACTGTAACGATAAGCAATGATAACTGTTACAATAACTGTAACCATAAGCAATGATAACTGTTACGATAACTGTAACGATAAGCAATGATAACTGTTATGATAACTGTAACGATAAGCAATGATAACTGTTACCATAACTGTAACAATCACTATAATGTTAATTGTAATGATAACTAATGATTAGTTTCTTTAACTATAATGATAATTGTAACGATAACGATAATGAAAACGATAACAGTAACTATTACTATAATGTTAACTGTAACAACTAATAATAACTGTGATAACTATAACAAGTAATAACATTATAACGTAACGATAACTATTATGAAAACTAACAGTAACAATAGCTAATGTTAACTGTTACGATGTCTATAACGATAATTTAAACGATAACTACAATGAAAATTGTAACGATAACTTTAATAATAACTATGATAAATATAATGATACATGTAACGCTAATTGTAGTGAAATCTGTAACGGTAACAATAACTGTGATGAAAATGTTAATAACGGTAACCGCTACTGTAACGATGATGAGCAGGAGAACGCTAGCATAACTAGCGCAGCTGTCGAAGTGGGCGGGCACTAATGCGCTCTCTTCCAGGGGAGTGGTTAATGCGGCAGTGGCTGGTCCAATCAGAGTGCTCTGTGTGTGTGTGTGTGTGTGTAGAGTTCAGCGTGTGCGCGGTCAGCGGGGTCAGTGGGCAGCTGCTGTGGACGAGACCCCTCAGGGAGCCGCTGTTCTCCGTTCAGTGTGGACTGCAGACAGGAAGTGCTGATCCGCAGACAGGAAGTGCTTGCGTCCTGATCAGCTCGGGTCACATCATCGCTGTTAACGCCTCCACAGGTCTCTCTCACACACACTCGCTCATGACAGCTGAACACGTGTGTGTGTGTGTGTTGATTATCAGTGTGTGTTTCAGGCCGGACGCAGTGGACGGCAGCCGTCAGTGACGTCGAGTCTCACGCCGTTCTGCTGCCGGATCTGGACGAAGACGCGTTTCCAGACCTACTGATCGCAACACTGCCGGCAGACCAGGTGACCTCACACACACACACACACACACACACGCACACACACACACACACACACACACTCACTCTTCATCATGTGTCCTGTCCTCAGGTGTCTGATCTGGCCCTGGTCTTGCTCTCCGGCCGGTCTGGAGCTCTGATTGGCCGGCCGGTGAACTTTAACCTCACGGCTCAGGGGAAGCTGATTGGTCCGCTGCTGCATGAGACGCAGATGAGAGCCTATTACGTGCTGTTTGGACTGGGTGAGTCTCACTCCCGCGGGCGGATCTCGTGAACACCTGGCGTTCTGAGAAGAGGGAAAAAACATGAAAAACCATGAAAAGTTAAAATGGACAAAAAGTCCAAATTATCAGACTTAAAAAGTGAAATTGTGACTGAAAAAGTAAAAAAAATTACATAAAAAGTTACTTGCACAACTACTTCTGTGGGCTAGTTAGTGCACACCGGGAGTTTCCGGTGAGAGCGCTCAGCGCACGCACACACACACACACATGAGAACGCAGATTATCCCAACGTTTGTGGCTGCCAAATGATTAAAACCATGAATAATGATGGTCCCTGTGCTGGACTAATGTCGTGTGTTTGGGTTGGGTTGGGTTAAGACTTCATGTTGCGATGAGTTTGGGAAATCCTGCACACAGTGAACATCAGAACATCTTCTCCTGTCAGTAAATATGTCCACGTTTTTCAATCTTATTGCGGACACTCATTGTAGTGGCGTTTGTTCAACTCACTGAAGTACTGTACATTGAAAGTAAACACAACCGGAAATAAGTGCGTCATGAAGCTCAGTGCCCATTGACAAAGAAGTCATAAAAAGTCAAAATAATGATTTAAATCCAAAATGTGATGTCAAACTTGACATACTAAGATGAAATTATGATAAGAAAGTCTTAATTTCATCTATATCTCAACATGACTTAGAATGTCATAATTACATTTTTTTAATTTCATACCTATGAGCTCTTATTGATGTAATAACTGCATGATGTGTTTTTCTTGTGTTCATACGTGTGTGTGTGTGTGTGTGTGTGTGTGTGTGTGTTCAGGCACGGTGGAGGGCGTCTCTCTCAGCCTGGTTTACCATCAGGCCACAGGCAGGACGGCCGTGTCTCGGGTCCTTCAGAAGGAGCCCAGCTGGGAGCGTCTGAGGAAGAGCAACTCGTCACGGCTCATTCACATCAGCAGGTGGAGTTCACACACACACACACACACACAACATTACAGGTCAGAGGTCAGATTGGATCAGAACACTCACAATATTACCCAGTTCCCTCTGGTTGCAGGTCGGAGTCATCACGATGGTCTGGAGACGAGTGTGTTTAGTGTTAGTCTCTGTATGCGGTCGAGCTATCCTTCCATGAAATGCCAAATACCTCTAGTTTAGTTTCGTTCCAGTTGCGCTCCATCTTTCTGGCTGCTCTCTTAAAGGGTTAGTTCTCCTCAAAATGAAAATGTCCCGATAATGTACTCACCCCAGTGCCATCCAGGATGCTCATGTCTTTCTTTCTTCAGTGGGAAAGAAATTAAGTGTTTTGAGGAAAACACTCCAGGGTTTCTCTCAGCGGTAACCGGGGCGGTGCTTCTGCCTACGTCCAGCGTGACCTTTCCAACGTGATTATGTAATGCCTGGCGCGTCGTAGACCAGCACAAGACCAACAATTGTGGTTAAAAAGTATATACATTTTAGTTTTTTTTTAGAAAATGGCCAATGGTTTCGCTAGATAAGACCATATTCCTCAGCTGGGATCGTGCAGTGCCCTTTAAGAACTGCATTGATCGTCCAAAGTCCAAACGGAGCAACTGTGTCTAAAATAATGTGTGTGTGTGTGTGTCAGTGAGCAGGTGGAGTTCCTGCTCCCTCTAGTGGCGGGTCACAGCGCTCAGCACAGTAATCTGAACACACACACACACACTCACTGACCCCTGACCTCATGTGTGTGTGTGTGTGTCAGTGAGCAGGTGGAGTTCCTGCTCCCTCTAGTGGCGGGTCACAGCGCTCAGCACAGTAATCTGAACACACACACACACACTCACTGACCCCTGACCTCATGTGTGTGTGTGTGTGTGTGTGTGTGTGTGTGTGTGTGTGTGTGTGTGTCAGTGAGCAGGTGGAGTTCCTGCTCCCTCTAGTGGCGGGTCACAGCGCTCAGCACAGTAATCTGGACACACACACTCACTGACCCCTGACCTCACGTGTGTGTGTGTGTGTGTGTGTGTGTGTGTGTGTGTGTGTGTGTGTGTGTGTGTGTGTGTGTGTGTGTGTGTGTGTGTGTGTGTGTGTGTGTGTGTCAGTGAGCAGGTGGAGTTCCTGCTCCCTCTAGTGGCGGGTCACAGCGCTCAGCACAGTAATCTGGACACACACACACACTCATTGACCTCTGACCTCATGTGTGTGTGTGTGTGTGTGTGTGTGTGTGTGTGTGTGTGTGTGTGTGTGTCAGTGAGCAGGTGGAGTTCCTGCTCCCTCTAGTGGCGGGTCACAGCGCTCAGCACAGTAATCTGAACACACACACACACACTCACTGACCCCTGACCTCATGTGTGTGTGTGTGTGTGTGTGTGTGTGTCAGTGAGCAGGTGGAGTTCCTGCTCCCTCTAGTGGCGGGTCACAGCGCTCAGCACAGTAATCTGAACACACACACACACACTCACTGACCCCTGACCTCACGTGTGTGTGTGTGTGTGTGTGTGTGTGTGTGTGTGTGTGTGTGTCAGTGAGCAGGTGGAGTTCCTGCTCCCTCTAGTGGCGGGTCACAGCGCTCAGCACAGTAATCTGGACACACACACACACTCATTGACCTCTGACCTCATGTGTGTGTGTGTGTGTGTGTGTGTGTGTGTGTCAGTGAGCAGGTGGAGTTCCTGCTCCCTCTAGTGGCGGGTCACAGCGCTCAGCACAGTAATCTGGACACACACACACACTCATTGACCCCTGACCTCATGTGTGTGTGTGTGTGTGTGTGTCAGTGAGCAGGTGGAGTTCCTGCTCCCTCTAGTGGCGGGTCACAGCGCTCAGCACAGTAATCTGGACACACACACACACTCATTGACCTCTGACCTCATGTGTGTGTGTGTGTGTGTGTGTGTGTGTGTGTCAGTGAGCAGGTGGAGTTCCTGCTCCCTCTAGTGGCGGGTCACAGCGCTCAGCACAGTAATCTGGACACACACACACACTCATTGACCTCTGACCTCATGTGTGTGTGTGTGTGTGTGTGTGTGTGTGTGTGTGTCAGTGAGCAGGTGGAGTTCCTGCTCCCTCTAGTGGCGGGTCACAGCGCTCAGCACAGTAATCTGGACACACACACACACTCATTGACCCCTGACCTCATGTGTGTGTGTGTGTGTGTGTGTGTCAGTGAGCAGGTGGAGTTCCTGCTCCCTCTAGTGGCGGGTCACAGCGCTCAGCACAGTAATCTGGACACACACACACACTCATTGACCTCTGACCTCATGTGTGTGTGTGTGTGTGTGTGTGTGTGTGTGTCAGTGAGCAGGTGGAGTTCCTGCTCCCTCTAGTGGCGGGTCACAGCGCTCAGCACAGTAATCTGGACACACACACACACTCATTGACCCCTGACCTCATGTGTGTGTGTGTGTGTGTGTGTGTGTGTGTGTGTCAGTGAGCAGGTGGAGTTCCTGCTCCCTCTAGTGGCGGGTCACAGCGCTCAGCACAGTAATCTGGACACACACACACACTCATTGACCCCTGACCTCATGTGTGTGTGTGTGTGTGTGTGTCAGTGAGCAGGTGGAGTTCCTGCTCCCTCTAGTGGCGGGTCACAGCGCTCAGCACAGTAATCTGGACACACACACACACTCATTGACCCCTGACCTCATGTGTGTGTGTGTGTGTGTGTGTGTGTCAGTGAGCAGGTGGAGTTCCTGCTCCCTCTAGTGGCGGGTCACAGCGCTCAGCACAGTAATCTGGACAGCGTGTCGGTGTTGAACTCGAGCCGCAGTGAGAGGATGCTGGTGTGTGGAGCCGACGGCCGTCTCTCTGTGCTGACAGCGAACGACACACACACCGCCTGGAGCCTCGGCCCCGCCGTCATACACACGTCTGTACACGCTCACGCTGTTATTAATGCTTCAGTTTTAAGTTTAAAGTTGTAGTGTTTTTGTTTGTTTTTTTATAGGTAGTTTTTATGTAGCTATTTTAGTAAGTTAATCTAAACAAGACTGGCTGAAATAAACATAAGTTTAAGTCTTTAATTTCAGTCAAGGTTTATTGTTTTAATGAGTTGAATGTGTGTGTGTGTGTGTGCAGTCGTCCGGCGTTGGGTCAGTTCAGTGACGACGATGTTCCTGATCTACTCATTCATCAGTCGGCCAATGGCGTCAGGAAGGTGCGCATCTCATTAGCATCTCATTAGTACACACACACACACACACGCTCAGAGTGAGCTGACTGTGCTCCGCAGGTGCAGATCCTCGACGGCGCTCGGGGGCGGAGCTTGTGGGAGGCGGGGTTTGTGTGTCCTCGTCTGGCGGTGGAGGATTCGTCGGTTCGCACCTCCTCCGGCCAATCCGTGTTCCTCTTCTGGGCGGGAGACCCGCTGTCGCCGGCGCTGAACGTCACCAAGGCAACCAGCCAGGCGGCCGAGCCGGTCCTCCGCAAGCTCTTCCTGCTCCACCCGTCCTATCCCACAATCCTCCTGCAGCTGAGCAGCACCACGGACACCATCCTCACCGCGGCAGGTGCGGCAGGCACACCAATCAGACATGGGTTTAGTATAGTATCATGTCGTTTGGTATTTCTAAGTATCGCCATCAGCTGATTCATTTCTCTGTTTGTAATCGGGACTTTTATTTTGACACAGGTGCACTTGAGCCATAGACTAAAAAAATATGCGCGCAGTGTGTCAAAATAAAAGTCCCTGTTCAGGGAGTGTTTTTAGTGTGACGTCACGTGGCTGTGTGACGGTGTGTGTGGCGGTGTGTGTGTCTCCGCAGTGAGCTACCAGCCGCAGCAGAAGGACGCCTCCTACATCAGCGTCTCGTCTCGGCCCACGTCCGGCCGGCGTCCGGCTGCGCAGCGGCTGAAGAGCCTCAGTCTGAGGGCCGCCATCGCAGACGCTCAGATCCTGCAGCTGCCCGACGCCAGCAGAGACGCCACACTCGACACGGCCTTCCACGTCAGCACGTTCTTCAGACGCCTGTCCTTCAAACAGGTCAGGGGTCACTGCGCGGGTCAGGGGTCACTCGACGGGTCAGGGGTCACTGCGCGGGTCAGGGGTCACTCGACGGGTCAGGGGTCACTCGACGGGTCAGGGGTCACTGCACGGGTCAGGGGTCACTCGACTGGTCAGGGGTCACTGGTCAGGGGTCACTGCACGGGTCAGGGGTCACTCGACGGGTCAGGGGTCACTGCGCGGGTCAGGGGTCACTCGACGGGTCAGGGGTCACTGCGCGGGTCAGGGGTCACTCGACGGGTCAGGGGTCACTCGACGGGTCAGGGGTCACTGCACGGGTCAGGGGTCACTCGACTGGTCAGGGGTCACTGGTCAGGGGTCACTGCACGGGTCAGGGGTCACTCGACAGGTCAGGGGTTACTCGACGAGTCAGAGATCTTAGAACAGGTCAGGGGTCACTGCACGGGTCAGGGGTCACTGCATGGGTCAGGGGTCACTCGACAGGTAAGGGGTCACTGCATGGGTCAGGGGTCACTCGACAGGTCAGGGGTCACTTAACAGGTCAGGGGTCACTGCACGGGTCAGGGGTCACTCGACAGGTCAGGGGTCACTTAACAGGTCAGGGGTCACTGCACGGGTCAGGGGTCACTCGACAGGTCAGGGGTTACTCGACGAGTCAGAGATCTTAGAACAGGTCAGGGGTCACGTCACGGGTTACTCAAAGGGGTCAGGGGTCACTCGACAGGTCAGGGGCAAAGAGTATAGAAGAACAAGAGGCGAAACTCTGATGGTTTTTTGGTAACAGCCACTAGGTGGCGCTTCGGTAGCGCGGCCGCTATTTTGGGGTGAAAATTCCAACTGGAGTTACGGGACAACAGCACAGACAACAGTTTGAGGAGGTAGTTTTTTCTTGCATTAGTGAGTATTTCCATTGTATGCAACTTTACACATTTACTACTATTATTAGTTACCAACTCCACTAGGCCTGAAATATATTTTGTACATTTTAATCCCCTGGATCATGCTACAAACATGATGATATTATAGAACATGATGCATTGCTGTGTCCGTTATCCTATAACCTTAATTGGCACTTTGGACAGTGGCTGTGTTTTTTTGTTTAGTCTTGCTTTAACGGTCATATAAGATAGTACTCCAAAAAGAAACAACAGTTTACTGTAAAGCTATTCTATTGCTGTTATATATTTATTGTCCAACATTTACATTTTAGTACAATTAAATTTATTTGCTGAATTCCTTTATTTCATTGATAACTTATTTTTGTATGTAACGTTATGTGTACCTCCTGGAAACGGTCTAACGTTATTATAACTTTATGAACTGATATCACTTTATTCTTACCTGTCACACTTAATGTGGAGAGTAATATAATTAATTAAATCCTTGAACTTCCCTGTCTCAAGTTATGTGGGGGAAAAAGCCTGGTTAAATAGCAACTTCTTTTTAACTGCTATAACGTTAACTGTTGTTAGTTAAAATAATCACCTAATTATTTCAACCTAAAAATGACCTCTGCACTGGACTAAATATATGTACAATATATGACTGCCGAGTCGCTTTCACCCCAAAATGGCGGAAGTATCTTTCTGTTTTCATAAAGGGCTGATTTCTATGATGATCTGCTGTTTCCTCAGGATATGAACATGTGAAGTTATTGGTGATGATGAAGATGAAGAAGACGTGTGTGAACACTTGAGCTCTTTACACTGGAACCCTGTCGGAGAAGCGGTCTCGTGCCACAGCTGGTTCATTCCTCCTCTATAATAATAATGATGATAATGATGATGATAAAGCCTCTGGTGTTGTGTTTGTACGGCTGCTCCTCGCTCTCGAGGGGAAGTGGGTGTTCATGGCTTTGCACGTTGAGTTGTAGATATTTCTGACTGTACAGTATTTATAGCAGCGAGATGGACTGATATGATGATGTAAATAATGCTGGAATAATAAAGACGTTCATTCTGTGTGTGTGTGTGTCAGTGAACACACGCGGGTCTTTCATAAGTAGCAACTATATGCTGAACTGATGACTAGACCGTCGAGTGCGTGTCTCGTTTAAATAATGTGTCAAGTTTTAAGGTCTGTTAGAGGACAAACTTAGATTACAAGAGAAATTGTTAATATTTAACATTTTTTTTCTGACCTGCAATGAACAAATGTCATTTCCACCACATCTCATATAACGTTACAGCTGTTATTTAACAATAGAAAAACTTATGACACTCAAGAATTGTCTAAGATCATTTTTGTAACTAGTTTTACCAGTTTTTCCACAATGTATAATAATTACTCATTTGTCAATGAGATGAATGAGCTGCCATTAGGACCAATGCTGACCTGTACACACTCTGAAAGATTAGAATTAGAAAATACATAACTTGAAGTTTTATATTAAGTAAAGCATGATCTCATAAGCTGTGGATACATTTTTAATGTGTGATAAGAACTTTTTAAATATTTTTAAAAAATGTGTGTGATGGAAATGACAATGAATTAACATGAATTACCAATCTTGTTTTGAACTATTGTTTAATTTAATAATCCGAGTACATAACTCGTCATATAGGATTTGATCCACTGATTACGTTTCGCGCACAATAACAATGAGTTCAACCAAATACGGATTTTTTTTTTTTTTAAATGTGAAATTTATTCACAGACATTAATTAATTACAACGTGATATAGGATAACAATACATTAATTTCTTACCACTGACTGAATTAAGCGGGACGCGCGCTTCTGTTTTGGTCAGTAAACAAAGACTTCTCGATTAACTTCATGTTCTTCAGGCATGTCGATTCTCTCTGAAATCACACTTGCTCTCGTATTTAAATACGAGAGTAAGTGTATATAGATAAAGTATAAATTATATGTAATTATTCAATAAAGTGCGCGCTTTCTGTGGAAGATAGTAAGCGCGTGCTGGAGAAGCGCGTGCAGGTCGGGGGCGCGCAGCGAATGATCTGTATGCTTCTCATACTACGCTTAACCTTGGCTTAATATTTTTAGCTATAAAATTGGACTTACCTGAAAAATATAATTTATGAACAATGACACATTTCAGCATAACTTATGGTTATACAAATAAAAACCTAAAAATAACCTATAAACGATCTTATTTGGTTCCCAAAAGATAATCAAATGAGAACGCTGTAATAATCACTGATCTGCTGATGGGGCGTGGCCGAGTGATGACGTCACCTGCGCATGCTCAGTAGAGTCGGCCCTGTTCGACTCGGATCGAGTTCAGTTATTATATTCTGTAGAATTAAAGCAGAATCCTATACACAAGTTTACGCGGCAAATCGTGGGCGGCGCCATAACTCTACACATATGCACTTAATTTCCGCCGGAAGTGGTTTGCACAGCGTCTGCCGGTGTAAACACAGCTATTAAGATGCTAGCTTGGGAACACGGTTCCACTACTTTAACTGGAGATGGCGTTACTATCCCCCACCCGAATTCAGTACAGAACTGGGAGGATAACATGATGACGTGGCCCAGGATAACGTACAGTAATATTTGCTCCTACTTTGCACAATCCATGGCAATAGACGGAAAAGCCATGGACAATCTGAAAGCCTCCGAGGCGTACCAATATCTGCACAGCAACAAAGTCGGTTGTGTTATGTCATACAAACATGATCACTTTATTTATCTTAAAGCAAATGTAGAGCCTAGCCAGTGTTTGAACAATGCGTGGCATAATGCTTGGGTGCTGGTAACTGAAGCTGGAGAAGTTAAAACTACGGGATGTACGTGTGTTGCTGGACCAGGTAGATCTTGTTCCCACTCAGCTGCGATTCTGTGGAAGGTAACTAGATTATTTGACCATTGTAGCCTAGGCCTTTTTTATTGTTGGTATCCGAACTACATCATAGGCGACTTGGCTAGAGTGCAAAGTGTGTGTGCCATGATGATAATAATTAGGCGCGTGAGATGTGCGGGCGCGAACGTAACTGTGTGTGTGTGTGTGTGTGTGTGTGTGTGTGAGAGAGAGAGAGAGAGAGAGAGAGAGAGAGAGAGAGAGAGAGAGAGAGAGAGAGAGAGAGAGAGAGAGAGAGAGAGAGAGAGAGAGAGAGAGAGAGAGAGAGAGAGAGAGAGAGAGAAAGAGAGAAAAAAAGAGAGAGAGAAAAAGAGAGAGAGAGAGAGAAAGAGAGAGAGAGAAAACTTTACAGGCATGTTATTTTTTATTGTAACAAATACTTTTTATTAATGTGAATACATTTTTATTCATGTGATGCAATAAATGTGTTTTTAATTGATTTTAATTGTATGTATTTTCATTGTAAATGTATTTTAATTAATTGTGTATAGTGTTTAGTGTATATCTGAAGTTAATTCAATAAATACGTGTTTCATACACCTCAATGTAGTCCATTGTTGATTATTATGATTATTATCCTATGCCCCGATTCTGTAAACCCTACAATATAGGCCTGTCTTTTTAGCGCAGGGGATTAGCTACTGTGAATGCGCAGCTAAAATAACAGGAAAAAAATTGTGATAGAGGTTCCTTTGAGATAATTGGCCCCGGGGCCTTGCAAGTCAAAATCCGTCCCTGACTATATCTCTCTAGGTGGAAAATGCTGTGAGACAGGGGAAAACCGGGAGTGCCTGTACAGACGGACAGAACCAGTGGAATGCTGGGTCTAAAAGGAATGCTGGTCAGAGGAAGATGAAGTATGTGCACTTCAAACGGCACAACAGGAAGGATCTCTATCAAATGTTCAAACGGACCTTTCTCTCATCAAGCAAGTCTCGAATGGTGAACCCACGGTCCGCCATGACCTCATCACCAGCCCTCAGATAGTCTAGGAACCCACTGTCCATGGTGATAAACTTATCGCTGCTTCTGCCAGCATAGGCATCAGATATAAACATGATTAGCCCATTAGGGGCCACAGCGACGAGATATTTCACAGTGTTGCGTGATTTGTACTGGCTGAAAGAGTGTCACTCCTTGAGTCGTAGTTTGTGGCTCTCTGCATGGCACTTTCGGCACAGTCAATGATGCAGGTGGTTCGAGGGTAGTTCCTTTGAAACGACAAGGGCATGGTGGCACGAATGGTCTCTCTTGGAAGCCAGGGGATCAGGACTTTGAACTGTTCACCCATCACGTCAATCCAGTGACTAATCACAATGCTTGCCATGGATGTAGACACATTGAAGCGATGAGCAATATCTCCTAATATTAGGTTTAGTTTTAGCTTCATCAAGGTCATCAGGATTTGGTCAACAACAGGAAGGGTAATTGATAGCTTACTGAAAGGCAACAACACTGTCACCAGGGTGAAAAATTGAACCATACGCACTCCTGTATACAGCCGGGAACTAGCATCATCAATGACCGTGGTGCTAGTCACAGTAGGACCCATTTCTGCCTCGCACTGTGTGGCCTTGTCTACTTTAACAGACTGTGTTGTTGAACAGTACATGTGGTCAATATGTGACGGATCCTCCCATTGGGTCTGGGCATCTCGAAATTTTGGTGTAGCAGGCTCGGCCTCACAGGCAGGCTGACAGGTTTCAGGAGCATCTAAAAAGGGGAAGAGAAAACATGGATGGAGCAAAATTAATTAAGGCATAGACCATTTCTTTTACTGTGCGTCTTTGTTCCTGCCAGGTAAAAAATACATTCCAGGAGAGAAACACATGATTGAATTGAAAGAAAAAGCACAATGTCTAAGAAAGTAAATAATAAGAAAAGTAAAATATAAATTTTTCCACAACACTACAAACATCACAATGGCAAAATTTGTATTACAACATTGCACTCACACTCACACACACACACACACAAACACACCATCACAACAGCCTGCCACCTTGCATTGCATTTATGATGTAGACTGCGTTCACATGCTATGGGAAATATGATATTTCCCACTTGTGAACTGGTATTTACCAGTGTGTTGCGTTCAAGTGCTTTTGTTGTTGTAATGTGGTAAAAAGATGGCGATCCAGACCTGTTATTTAGCTAAAACTATTTTAGATTGCTTAAGTCATCTGCAACAGCAAGAAAATGATGCATCAAAACTCAAAAGGTAATAATAATAAAATAATATGCTATATATTTTTTAGATCATGAATAGTATATATTTTTACCATTCACGACTCTTGGGGTGCTCTCAGCCTTTTTGAAAAGTTCAAAGGTTATTTCATCTCGGCAACTCGTCCATCAAAATATTCTATGAGTTGCCCAGTGGAAAATACCACATGAGGGGTGTTCATGTGCATTTTCCACGTCGGCTTTTGGTATTTACCATAATTACCATCGCACATGAACGCAGCATAAGGCACACGCAGGCATGCACACACACACACACACACACAAAATTAATGATGTAGCTATCGTGGGCATTGTTTGTCCCATATCCAAAACAATCAACTGCCTCAGCAAAATACCGGTAGCAATGTTAGTGTATGACAACTTGTTCATAATTAACAGTATTGTCAAATTCATAGCTAAATTTGCTTTACTTACCCTCAGATGCAAGTCTGCGTTTCTTTCTCTGGGTGGAGACAGTGGTCCGCTGGGTGAGTTGACGCCTCTTTGGCTGGGGAGGGCGATTGTATCCCAACCACAACTCTGGGAAAGGATTATCCTTGGTTGGTTTTTGGTCAACAAAGTGATAGGAACAAACAAAAACGATGCGGGGTGGTTTCTTTAGATTCAATGCCTTCAGCCAGGTCCTTGATTCCGAGTCGGTATCAGGCTTGCGAAAAAATGTAAACAATGGAGCGCATGGACATTGCCTCTTCGTAGCTGGTTTGTGGTCGTAACACTCTCTATCTAACCACTCGTTCAGGTGCTTTCGCGAGTTTTTGCACCCAACTACCGCACACGTCGTTCCCGAACCACTTTTATTCATGTTGTAAGTTAATTGTTATCCTCTTTGTCACTGCGATATCAGTGCTTTGTCGGCACAACGGAGCTAGGTAGCATTACCAGCCCGCCAGAACGGAAGTGGATTGCATAAACGGGAGGAGTTTAGGATGTAGAGCGGAAACGGCTCAAAAACTTGTGTATAGACTGCGGATGTAAATTAGCAATGTTGCTATAATCCGGCTTGTTTACATTTTTCTATTTTATACTAATGTTCATTAACATGCTTTGTCCCTATCAGATAAATAAACAAACATAAAGGCTGACTCCGTGTTTCAGCATTGCCTCGTTTGAATAGTTAGCTGTGTGTGAGAACTTCACCTGTGTGTGTGTGTGTGTGTGTGTGTGTGTGTGTGTGTGTGTGTGTGTGTGTGAGAACTTCACCTGTGTGTGTGTGTGTGTGTGTGTGTGTGTGTGTGTGTGTGTGTGTGTGTGTGTGTGTGTGTGTGTGTGTGTGAGAACTTCACCTGTGTGTGTGTGTGTGTGTGTGTGCAGACGGCGTTCGGGCTGGTCCGCATCATGATGGTGGTGGCCCCGCTCCGGTACGCCGGGACACAGATCAGCAAGAGCTTCGCTTACGATATATAACGATATATTCGGGCTGGGTAGACCAATCACAACTCAGCGTGCAAATGAAGGAATAGGCCAATCACAACTCAGCGTGCAAATGAAGGAATAGGCCAATCACAACTCAGCGTGCAAATGAAGGAATAGACCAATCACAACTCACTATCTAAATGAAGGAATAGACCAATCACAACCCACTATCTAAATGAAGGAATAGACCAATCACAACTCACTATCTAAATGAAGGAATAGACCAATCACAACTCACTATCTAAATGAAGGAATAGTCGTTAGCAGTCATGAAACACTGCAATAGTTTATAGTTTAAGACCAAATATAAGAGTAGATATCGACACAATCCACTGACGGATGTCATCCGATATATAACACACACACACACAGCTGGAGTGTATTAGCATGAGTGTATTTACAGTACAGAAGCAGAAAATGACAGCACACGTTAGGGGTCAAAGGTCAAGGGTCGTGTCCGTGGTAGAACTTGGAGAGGAAGTCTGTGGGACGCGGCGCCTCGGTCTCGTGGAAGAAGCGCATGATGTGAGTCTTCTGCTTCCACACGTTGATGGTTTCCTCCAGCTCCATCTTGCCCTGAAACACACACACACACACGTCATCACACACACACACACACACACACACGCTGTGAACAGCAGGCGTGCTCCTCACCTTGATGACCAGCATGTCGATGACCCGAGGGTCCGTCACGTGACTGTTCCTGTCGAACATCTCTCGCACCTTATCTCTGCCCTGACGCGCAGTGATGTCCAGCTGGAACGTGTGAACTGAAACACACACACACACACACACACACACACACACACACACAGGTTAGAGAGCGAATCCTTCCAGCTCACAAACATGACTCAATCGATTCACTTCAGTACATCACTCACACACACACACACACACACACACACACACAGGTTAGCGAACGAATCCTTCTGACTCAATCGATTCACTTCAGTGACTGACTGAAACATCTCACACACACACACACACACAGGTTAGCGAACGAATCCTTCTGACTCAATCGATTCACTTCAGTACATCACTAACACACACACACACACACACACAGGTTAGCGAACGAATCCTTCTGACTCAATCGATTCACTTCAGTGACTGACTGAAACATCACTCACACACACACACACACACAAGTTAGCGAACGAATCCTTCTGACTCAATCGATTCACTTCAGTGACTGACTGAAACATCACTCACTCACACACACACACAGGTTAGCGAACGAATCCTTCTGACTCAATCGATTCACTTCAGTGACTGACTGAAACATCACTCACACACACACACACACACAAGTTAGCGAACGAATCCTTCTGACTCAATCGATTCACTTCAGTGACTGACTGAAACATCTCACACACACACACACACACAGGTTAGCGAACGAATCCTTCTGACTCAATCGATTCACTTCAGTACATCACTAACACACACACACACACACACACAGGTTAGCGAACGAATCCTTCTGACTCAATCGATTCACTTCAGTGACTGACTGAAACATCACTCACACACACACACACACAAGTTAGCGAACGAATCCTTCTGACTCAATCGATTCACTTCAGTGACTGACTGAAACATCACTCACACACACACAAGTTAGCGAACGAATCCTTCTGACTCAATCGATTCACTTCAGTGACTGACTGAAACATCTCACACACACACACACACACAGGTTAGCGAACGAATCCTTCTGACTCAATCGATTCACTTCAGTACATCACTAACACACACACACACACACACACAGGTTAGCGAACGAATCCTTCTGACTCAATCGATTCACTTCAGTGACTGACTGAAACATCACTCACACACACACACACACACACAAGTTAGCGAACGAATCCTTCTGACTCAATCGATTCACTTCAGTGACTGACTGAAACATCACTCACACACACACACACACACAAGTTAGCGAACGAATCCTTCTGACTCAATCGATTCACTTCAGTGACTGACTGAAACATCTCACACACACACACACACACAGGTTAGCGAACGAATCCTTCTGACTCAATCGATTCACTTCAGTACATCACTAACACACACACACACACACACACAAGTTAGCGAACGAATCCTTCTGACTCAATCGATTCACTTCAGTGACTGACTGAAACATCACTCACTCACACACACACACAGGTTAGCGAACGAATCCTTCTGACTCAATCGATTCACTTCAGTACATCACTAACACACACACACAAGTTAGCGAGCGAATCCTTCTGACTCAATCGATTCACTTCAGTGACTGACTGAAACATCACTCACTCACACACACACACACACAGGTTAGCGAACGAATCCTTCTGACTCAATCGATTCACTTCAGAGACTGACTGAAACATCACACACACACACACACACACAGGTTAGCGAACGAATCCTTCTGACTCAATCGATTCACTTCAGTGACTGACTGAAACATCACTCACTCACACACACAGGTTAGCGAGCGAATCCTTCCAGCTCACAAACATGACTCAATCGATTCACTTCAGTACATCACTCACACACACAGGTTAGCGAACGAATCCTTCTGACTCAATCGATTCACTTCAGTGACTGACTGAAACATCACTCACACACACACACACACACACACACACACAGGTTAGCGAACGAATCCTTCTGACTCAATCGATTCACTTCAGTACATCTCACACACACACACACACACACACACACACAGGTTAGCGAACGAAGCCTTCTGACTCAATCAATTCACTTCAGTACATCACTCACACACACACACACACACACACACACACGTTAGCGAACGAATCCTTCTGACTCAATCGATTCACTTCAGTACATCACTCACACACACACACACACAGGTTAGCGAACGATATTGAAATGAAGGACCCCAGAGGGTTAAGGAACCATTGACAGATATCCAAAGCATTGAATATCCCAAACTACAAAGTAAATTAGATGACCTGTATAGGTCCAAAGCTAAAGGAGCCTATGTTAGATCCAGGAAAAAATGGCTGGAAGAAGGAGAGCAAAATTCAGCCTATTTTTTTAGGTTGGAAAGATCCAATGATGATCCAAAGATCCTACTGGCTATTAAGAGTTAAAAAAATAATAAAAGTCCCGGCTCTGATGGTTTAACTTCGGAGTTATATAAGATGTTTGCAGAGAACTTATCCCCTTTCTTACTGAAAGTGTTTGAGGAAAGTCTGGAATCGGAAGCACTCAAGGGGTCATCACTTTAATACCCAAACCCAATAAAGACAAAGAATGTTTAGAAAATTGGAGACCGATTACCCTCTTGAATAATGATTATAAAATTCTAGCTCTAATTTTAGCAAAAAGAATTAAAGATGTGCTTAATTGTATCATCGATGAATCACAATCAGGTTTTATGGGAAAACGTCACATAACAAATAATATAAGATTAGTCGTAGATATTTTAGATTACGAGGATCTCATCCCTAATGAAAGTTATTTGCTTTTCCTAGACTTCTACAAAGCCTTTGACTCGCTCGAGCATAATTTCATATTTCAAGCCCTTACCAAATTTGGGTTTGGAGATTCGTTTTGTAGAGCAATCAGGACTTTGTACAGAAATAATAATAGTGTTATTAAATTAAAATTCGGAACCTCACCAAGATTCGATTTGTCCCGTGGAGTAAGACAAGGCTGTCCTATATCTCCATATTTATTCTTGCTTGCCTCACAATTTTTAGCTCTGCATATTTCCAATAGTAATTTAGAAGGTATAACAATTGACGATACACTCTAAACAATGCTGGGTTGTTTTAACCCAAATTTGGGTCAAATATGGACAAACCTAAATGTTGGGTTAAAAATGTAATTTCAAATTTTCAACTGTAAATTTTTTTAATTGCATTTTTAACCCAACATTTGGGTTTGTCCATATTTGACCCAAATTTGGGTTGAAACAACCCAGCATTTTTTAGAGTGTAGACAAATTATCATTAGCCAGCTGGCTGATGACACCACTTTGTTTTTGAATGATGCCTCTCAAATCCCTTTAGCTTTAAGATTGATCGATTCCTTTTCCAGAGCTTCGGGTCTGTGTCTAAATATTAACAAATGCGAGTTAATGTCAATAAAAAGCTGTAATGTTCCCTCTATATGCAATATCCCTGTGAAAGATCAAGTTACATACTTAGGAATTGTAATTAATAAAGACCAAAAAACAAGATGTAAACTAAATTTCGATCCTCTAATAATGAAAACCCAAAGGAAACTGAACTCTTGGCAATAATTTTGTTTGGAAAAATAAAACCCACTTCATTAGAAAATCAGTACTGATGAATTCGTTAAAAAAGGGGGGATTGGATTTTTTAGATTTTACTTAACCGCCGGCGGGCCCATTTGCCATTGCATGTTTAAAACAATAATATCTTAGTAAAAACCTAAAGTAATATTGCCAAACTATATATCATTTGAAAGCTTAAAATCTCTAGTTTTCATATTTGGTGGCTGTTATCTAAAATATATTACAGAGGAGCAGAAATTTATCAATTTGCAACAAGAATATTTCATATTCATAAGGAGTATTTAGGCCTTTATTTTGAAATAACAATAAACACGAAAAATCATGAAAGATTGGTAGAAACCTCAGTTTGTTTTCATGCCATGAGTTCAAAAGATAACACCAATTCCATTTTATGAGAAAAAAAGGTCTGAAAATGTTTTAAATATAAAGAAAAATGTATGGATTCTCGATTTGTAATGCGGCTGCGAGGTATAACGCTATAACGTAGTCTTTATGCATTTATTAGAGGTTTAATTCAAATCAAATACTGCCAAACCACCCCTACTACTTCTGAATAGGATGTCTACTTCATAAATTGTATGAAAATTATGGAAATACATGGTTCAGATCACTCAAAACATATAAAAATGGAGGCGCCCTTATATGGGCAGTAATGGAGTCTGGTGTTCACCTAGTGAAAAAGTTGGGTACTGCGCCCGAATAAAATCTTACTGAAAGCTCATTTTTTGAGATATCAACCTAAAATTTGGAATACAACTTGTTCAGATATTTGACTTTATTTTTCTTGCAGTTTTAGAGTAAAATATATTTTGTAATATATATATTTTATATAAAATATTAATCATTATATTTTTACATTACACAATTTCATAAACTCAAACTTATATAACTTTTTTTCTGTTTCATTTTTTACAATTTCTGGACTTCTACAATAATCTGGAAAATGTCTTCTTTAAAACAAGACCAGCCATAGGTCTATATTCCAAAGCATTCCTGAATTACAACCATTTAAGTTTGGATAGTGATTTTTATGTCTATGCAAAAAAAAGGGGGGTCCCAGTTAACAGGTTAAACACTTTTAAAATGAATTGGCTTAAAAATTTCCTCAATAATCCCTCTTCACTTTGGAATATTATCCCCAATTATATTTTTTCAAAAGTAGGTGGCCTGAATTTTCTCTTACTTTGTAAGTATAATGTCACAAAGATCCCTGTCAAACTCTCTAACTTTCATAAGCAGATGCTCTTGGCATGGGCCCTAATATACAAACACAACTTTTCCCCACACAGATATTACTTATGGAACAATAAGGATATTCTCTACAAGAATAAATCACTTTTTTTTTGACAACTGGTTCAAAAACGACTTTCTTTTAGTTGGACAGATTTTTAATTCACAGGGCAGACTTTACAACTATTTAGATTTTTTACAGAAATATAACATCCCTATAACTGCTAATGAATATGCTATTGTTTTCAATGCAATTCCCTCTGGAGTGTCCTCTCTGTTGCAAGCTTCTACATTTCCATGGCCATGTCCCCACACAGAGAAATGTTGGTCAGATTTGTTCATTTTTATCCAGACCTATTTTGTAAGTGACTTTTCTTTCTGTTTTAAAGATGTTTTCTTTGGTTTGTTTGACTAGGACAATATTATATAATTAATTTGTGTTTCCTTCTAGCTAAATTTCACATACATAAGCAAAAATTTACTGGATCTAAACCTCTCTCTTTTCTCTATTCAAAGATGATCTTGACAGATACATGGGAACTATCCAAAGCTCTGTTAATCCTAAAGCAATGAAAACTGTATCTCTATATTCATCCTTTATGTCCTCTTAAGGTGAATGCACTGCATTCTTGTTTTTATGTTACCCTGGCAACTTATTTGTGTCTGTGTATATTGTTGTCATTTTTGTTTTATTTTTTCCATGTTTGTATGTATTGCTGTAATGGTTTGTAATGTTTAATAAAAAAAATAAAAAGGTTAGCGAACGAATCCTTCTGACTCAATCAATTCACTTCAGAGACTGACTGAAACATCACACACACACACACACACACACAGGTTAGCGAACGAATCCTTCTGACTCAATTGATTCACTTCAGTGACTGACTGAAACATCACTCACACACACACACAGGTTAGCGAGCGAATCCTTCCAGCTCACAAACATGACTCAATCGATTCACTTCAGTACATCACTAATACACACACACACACACACACACACACACACACACAAACACACACACACACACAAGTTAGCGAGCGAATCCTTCCAGCTCACAAACATGACTCAATCGATTCACTTCAGTACATCACTAACACACACACACACACACACACACACACACACACACACACACACACACACACACACACACACACACAAGTTAGCGAACGAATCCTTCTGACTAAATCGATTCACTTCAGTGACTGACCGAAACATCACACACACACACACAGGTTAGCGAGCGAATCCTACTGGCTAAACTGCGAGAGAAAGTAAGACAAGAGTTTGTGAGATGTAAACTTAAGGGGTAAAGTTTAATTTCTGACTGTCTTCTCAGAATTGCGAGATATTTTTTTAATTCCACGGTGAATCTTCTTCAGCAAACAGAGAAAGAGGATCGGTAAAATTACTAATAACCAAACAACAACATTTACTGAAACTCGCGTTTATTTAAGATGATGTTGTTTGTAAGAGCTTATTAATAAATCAATTTATTAGGAAAGCTGTAATGGCACATAAGCACTATTTTTTATTATTTATTAAAATGAGATAATTATCTTACAAATAACTGGTTCCGTGGCAGAAATGAATCACTGAACGTATGTTTTTGTGAACAGATTAAGCTCTTTGGATCAACACCATGGAGAAAGTGAATGTTTAACACTCGAACCGAGTGTTTCTGCAGCTGTGTGTGTAGTTTGAAGTGTAACTATGAGCATTTCTCTGTATATTCGTGTGTTTGTGACCTTGACGCGCGTCCGCGTGTGTGTCTCGCGGTGTGAGCGCGACCAGTACCTGCGTTGGGCACCTCCCGGTACCAGGCCCGGTACAGCTCCCGAACCCTGCGCTTGGCCTCGTCCAGGTCCCGGCTGAAGATCGGCCTCACGACTTTAGCGGCCGCGGAGCCGGTGCGGGTCGCGGTACTCGCCGCCATCTTGCGCCTCTGCTGCTCTGCTCTGCGCATGCGCTGCAGCCGCCAATCACACACCCGCCGCGGGACTTACTGTGGTCACACACACACACACAGACAGAGAACACGCGTTACACACACGCATATCTGAATAAGTTCAGATCATAAGTTCAGATATGCGCACAACGCTTATCTGAACACAAAACACATCTCTATGCGCACGTCTGTAATTTTTGTAATCTTACTTCTGTCATCTTTTACCAATTCATGTCATAAAATCGACATATGCTTTAAATCGACTTTTTACGTCATAATGTCGACTTCTCTTCTCATAAATATGACTGTCATAATTTCGATTTTGTCATAAGGGCCTCAAGATGACTTGAAATGAATTTAAGGCACATTTTTACATAAGCAAAAACTCGGATTTTAATTCACCCATCTCAGCAACTGTCCTGGAAAACCTGCACAGCCTACATGAGGAACTTTATTTGAAATATATTTATTAGAAATTGAGTAAAAATATTTGATCACTTTTTATGGAAAACTCATGTTAACTGAGCTGATCTAGACTCACTCACTCAGTATTATTACAGTATTGACTCATGTCATCTTGAAAACTCCACTTTAAATGAACACACACTCATCTCTGCTGGTTAGTAAACGCTCAGTTGTGATTATTCACATTATTTCAGTGTTGTGAAGGCAATGAATAAACAACAATCATTATAATAAGACTGAAATAACAAGCACTCAGAGTCCAGAAACCAAATAACCCATATTTATTAGCTATAGTTCGATATGTTAACATATGCGTTAAACTCTAAACTTAAATATGACAACACAAACATCTTTAAAAAAACATTGGCTCATTCAAGCAAAGCTCTTTTGATTTTGTGGCACGAAGACAGTTGAACACTATGGAAGCTCGTGTCTGCCACAGAACAACACTACCGTATCTCGCGATTGCGAGTCTAGGTATAAACTCAGAATTATGAGATATAGACAGCAAATGCAAGAACTAAAATCAAAACTGCGAGAGAAAAAGCCAGAGTTTGTGAGATGTAAACTTAAGAGGGAAGTTTAATTCCTGACTTTCTTCTCAGAATTGCGAGATATTTTTTAATTCCGTGGTGGAAACGAGCTTCCATAGAACACACACGCATGATATTCGATTGGCAAATATGATATCTATCAGATATGAGTTTGTTGATTGTTCACATGTGTGTGTTCAGTTCTTCCACACCAGCGACAGTGAGACGTTCCAGTTTGGTCCCATAAACACACATGAGAAAGTGCAGAAGCATTGTTCCAGTGTCCCGCAGCTGATTGGCTGATGGCCTGAGCAGAGGGTCACGTGATTGGCTGATGGCCTGAGCTGGGGGTCACGTGATTGGCTGATGGCCTGAGCTGGGGGTCACGTGATTGGCTGATGGCCTGAGCTGGGGGTCACGTGATTGGCTGATGGCCTGAGCAGAGGGTCACGTGATTGGCTGATGGCCTGAGCTGGGGGTCACGTGATTGGCTGATGGCCTGAGCTGGGGGTCACGTGACGGCGGTCAGTGCTGCAGGCTGTTGTCGTTCTCGTGCAGAGCGCTCAGTGCCAGTCTCAGGTGTTCTCGGAGAGCCTCGGCCTCTCGCTCGCTGCGACTCTTCATCACACTCAGCTCCTCACACACCTCCCGGTAGCGCTCGCACACACTGCTCTTCTCCTGACACAAACACAGACGAGGAACACGTGTTACACACACACACAGAGAGAGAACACGAGTTACACACGGACCACACACACAGACAAGGAACACGCGTTACACACGGACCACACACACAGACGAGGAACACGCGTTACACACGGATCACACACACAGACGAGGAACACGCGGCACACACGGATCACACACACAGACGAGGAACACGCGTTACACACGGATCACACACACAGACGAGGAACACGCGTTACACACGGATCACACACACAGACGAGGAACACGTGTTACACACGGATCACACACACAGACAAGGAACACGTGTTACACACGGACCACACACACAGACGAGGAACACGCGTTACACACGGATCACACACACAGACGAGGAACACGCGTTACACACGGATCACACACACAGACAAGGAACACGTGTTACACACGGACCACACACACAGACGAGGAACACGCGTTACACACGGACCACACACACAGACGAGGAACACGTGTTACACACGGATCACACACACAGACGAGGAACACGCGTTACACACGGATCACACACACAGACGAGGAACACGCGTTACACACGGATCACACACACAGACAAGGAACACGTGTTACACACGGACCACACACACAGACGAGGAACACGCGTTACACACGGATCACACACACAGACGAGGAACACGCGTTACACACGGATCACACACACAGACGAGGAACACGTGTTACACACGGATCACACACACAGACGAGGAACACGTGTTACACACGGATCACACACACAGACGAGGAACACGCGTTACACACGGATCACACACACAGACGAGGAACACGCGTTACACACGGATCACACACACAGACAAGGAACACGTGTTACACACGGACCACACACACAGACGAGGAACACGCGTTACACACGGATCACACACACAGACGAGGAACACGCGTTACACACGGATCACACACACAGACGAGGAACACGTGTTACACACGGATCACACACACAGACGAGACGAGGAACACGCGTTACACACGGATCACACACACAGACGAGGAACACGTGTTACACACGGATCACACACACAGACGAGGAACACGCGTTACACACGGATCACACACACAGACGAGGAACACGCGTTACACACGGACCACGCACACAGACGAGGAACACGCGTTACACACGGATCACACACACAGACGAGGAACACGCGTTACACACGGATCACACACACAGACGAGGAACACGCGTTACACACGGATCACACACACAGACGAGGAACACGCGTTACACACGGATCACACACACAGACGAGGAACACGCGTTACACACGGATCACACACACAGACGAGGAACACGCGTTACACACGGATCACACACACAGACGAGGAACACGCGTTACACACGGATCACACACAGACGAGGAACACGCGTTACACACGGATCACACACACAGACGAGGAACACGCGTTACACACGGATCACACACACAGACGAGGAACACGCGTTACACACGGATCACACACACAGACGAGGAACACGCGTTACACACGGATCACACACACAGACAAGGAACACGCGTTACACACGGATCACACACACAGACGAGGAACACGCGTTACACACGGATCACACACACAGACGAGGAACACGCGTTACACACGGATCACACACACAGACGAGGAACACGCGTTACACACGGATCACACACACAGACAAGGAACACGCGTTACACACGGATCACACACACAGACGAGGAACACGCGTTACACACGGACCACACACACAGACAAGGAACACGCGTTACACACGGATCACACACACAGACGAGGAACACGCGTTACACACGGATCACACACACAGACGAGGAACACGCGTTACACACGGATCACACACACAGACGAGGAACACGCGTTACACACGGATCACACACACAGACGAGGAACACGCGTTACACACGGACCACACACACAGACGAGGAACACGCGTTACACACGGACCACACACACAGACGAGGAACACGCGTTACACACGGATCACACACACAGACGAGGAACACGCGTTACACACGGATCACACACACACAGACGAGAAACACGCGTTACACACGGATCACACACACAGACGAGGAACACGCGTTACACACGGATCACACACACAGACGAGGAACACGCGTTACACACGGATCACACACACAGACGAGGAACACGCGTTACACACGGATCACACACACAGACGAGGAACACGCGTTACACACGGATCACACACACAGACGAGGAACACGCGTTACACACGGATCACACACACAGACGAGGAACACGCGTTACACACGGATCACACACACAGACGAGGAACACGCGTTACACACGGATCACACACACAGACGAGGAACACGCGTTACACACGGATCACACACACAGACGAGGAACACGCGTTACACACGGATCACACACACAGACGAGGAACACGCGTTACACACGGATCACACACACAGACGAGGAACACGCGTTACACACGGATCACACACACAGACGAGGAACACGCGTTACACACGGATCACACACACAGACGAGGAACACGCGTTACACACGGATCACACACACAGACGAGGAACACGCGTTACACACGGATCACACACACAGACGAGGAACACACGTTACACACGGATCACACACACAGACGAGGAACACGCGTTACACACGGATCACACACACAGACGAGGAACACGCGTTACACACGGATCACACACACAGACGAGGAACACGCGTTACACACGGATCACACACACAGACGAGGAACACGCGTTACACACGGACCACACACACAGACGAGGAACACGCGTTACACACGGATCACACACACAGACGAGGAACACGCGTTACACACGGATCACACACACAGACGAGGAACACGCGTTACACACGGATCACACACACAGAAGAGGAACACGCGTTACACACGGATCACACACACAGACGAGGAACACGCGTTACACACGGATCACACACACAGACGAGGAACACGCGTTACACACGGATCACACACACAGACGAGGAACACGCGTTACACACGGATCACACACACAGACGAGGAACACGCGTTACACACGGACCACACACACAGACGAGGAACACGCGTTACACACGGATCACACACACATACGAGGAACACGCGTTACACACGGATCACACACACAGACGAGGAACACGCGTTACACACGGATCACACACACAGAAGAGGAACACGCGTTACACACGGATCACACACACAGACGAGGAACACGCGTTACACACGGATCACACACACAGACGAGGAACACGCGTTACACACGGATCACACACACAGACGAGGAACACGCGTTACACACGGATCACACACACAGACGAGGAACACGCGTTACACACGGATCACACACACAGACAAGGAACACGCGTTACACACGGACCACACACACAGACGAGGAACACGCGTTACACACGGATCACACACACAGACGAGGAACACGCGTTACACACGGATCACACACACAGACGAGGAACACGCGTTACACACGGATCACACACACACAGACGAGGAACACGCGTTACACACGGATCACACACACAGAAGAGGAACACGCGTTACACACGGATCACACACACAGACGAGGAACACGCGTTACACACGGATCACACACACAGACGAGGAACACGCGTTACACACGGATCACACACACAGACGAGGAACACGCGTTACACACGGATCACACACACAGAAGAGGAACACGCGTTACACACGGACCACACACACAGACGAGGAACACGCGTTACACACGGATCACACACACAGACGAGGAACACGCGTTACACACGGACCACACACACAGACGAGGAACACGCGTTACACACGGATCACACACACAGACGAGGAACACGCGTTACACACGGATCACACACACAGACGAGGAACACGCGTTACACACGGATCACACACACAGACGAGGAACACGCGTTACACACGGATCACACACACAGAAGAGGAACACGCGTTACACACGGATCACACACACAGACGAGGAACACGCGTTACACACGGATCACACACACATACACATACGAGGAACACGCGTTACACACGGATCACACACACAGAAGAGGAACACGCGTTACACACGGATCACACACAGACGAGGAACACGCGTTACACACGGATCACACACACAGACGAGGAACACGCGTTACACACGGATCACACACACAGACGAGGAACACACGTTACACACGGATCACACACACAGACGAGGAACACGCGTTACACACGGATCACACACACAGACGAGGAACACGCGTTACACACGGATCACACACACAGACGAGGAACACGCGTTACACACGGATCACACACACAGACGAGGAACACGCGTTACACACGGACCACACACACAGACGAGGAACACGCGTTACACACGGATCACACACACAGACGAGGAACACGCGTTACACACGGATCACACACACAGACGAGGAACACGCGTTACACACGGATCACACACACACAGACGAGGAACACGCGTTACACACGGATCACACACACAGACAAGGAACACGCGTTACACACGGATCACACACACAGACAAGGAACACGCGTTACACACGGATCACACACACAGACGAGGAACACGCGTTACACACGGATCACACACACACAGACGAGGAACACGCGTTACACACGGATCACACACACAGACGAGGAACACGCGTTACACACGGATCACACACACAGACGAGGAACACGCGTTACACACGGATCACACACACAGACGAGGAACACGCGTTACACACGGATCACACACACAGACGAGGAACACGCGTTACACACGGATCACACACACAGACGAGGAACACGCGTTACACACGGATCACACACACAGACGAGGAACACGCGTTACACACGGATCACACACACAGACGAGGAACACGCGTTACACACGGATCACACACACAGACGAGGAACACGCGTTACACACGGATCACACACACAGACGAGGAACACGCGTTACACACGGATCACACACACAGACGAGGAACACGCGTTACACACGGACCACACACACAGACAAGGAACACGTGTTACACACGGATCACACACACAGACGAGGAACACGCGTTACACACGGATCACACACACAGACGAGGAACACGCGTTACACACGGATCACACACACAGACGAGGAACACGCGTTACACACGGATCACACACACAGACGAGGAACACGCGTTACACACGGATCACACACACAGACGAGGAACACGTGTTACACACGGATCACACACACAGACGAGGAACACGCGTTACACACGGATCACACACACAGACAAGGAACACGCGTTACACACGGATCACACACACAGACGAGGAACACGCGTTACACATGGATCACACACACAGACAAGGAACACGCGTTACACACGGATCACACACACAGAAGAGGAACACGCGTTACACACGGATCACACACACAGACGAGGAACACGCGTTACACACGGATCACACACACAGACGAGGAACACGCGTTACACACGGATCACACACACAGACGAGGAACACGCGTTACACACGGATCACACACACAGACGAGGAACACGCGTTACACACGGATCACACACACAGACGAGGAACACGCGTTACACACGGATCACACACACAGACGAGGAACACGCGTTACACACGGATCACACACACAGACGAGGAACACGCGTTACACACGGACCACATACACACACAACATACACACACACGGACCACATACACACACACACACACACACACGCTCACACACTCTGTCACACACACACAGGCGCAGGAGTGTTACCGTTGTGAGGAAGTGCATCTGGTTGCGGAGGCTGTTGAGCTCTTGGTGTAGATACTGCAGTTCGTTCTCTCGCACCCGCAGCAGCACCTGCGACACACACACACACACACACACACACAGTCAAAGACAGCGCAGACACAGCTCTTAAAAAAACAACTCTGCTGATTTGCAAAAAAGGCCTAAAATTGAATAACTAATTTGATTATGGAGAGTTTCAAATATCAATAAAAACTACTGATTTTTTTTTTTCAAATATGAATGAAATTGTTTTGAAAAAAGTTCATTAATTAAACGGCATGACTCCTGGATGATGAACCCCTGTCCTGTCTGGGCAGACATGCGAAGCTATGCTTGAGTCAGAGCATTGAGCAAGACACATCATGATTGGCTGGATTAAAAGAGCTCACATCTGATTGGCCAAAGAGAATGACTGTTTAAATCAGTGCCTGGTAAGAAAGACTCAATTTCCATAAAAGAGTTGTGTTATTAGATATGTTATCTTCTCTATGGAGGTGGGATGAAAGAAAATACCATTAAAGTTCACTAAACTCATACATTTATGCAATCCCCCCCCCCCAAAAAAAACGAGTTTGCAGGTGTGAAATATGCCTGTGTGTGTGAATCAGAACAGACAGAAACACATTACAGTGATGAAGCATGAGTGAACGCTCACCTGCATCTCACACCACGACCTCTCGCTGCCATCTGCGTCTGACCCTTGACCTGTGACCAGCGAGCGAACGACCTTCACTTCCTGCGACAGGCGGGCCTGCAAGTCCTGCACACACACACACACACACGTCATGTTCTGCACACTGAAACTTAACTGAAGGTTGTGCCAGCGTACGGAGTGTGTGTGTGTGTGTGTGTGTGTGTATCACCTGGTTGTCTCTCTTCAGCTGCTCCAGCTGTCGGTCTCTCAGGCTCATCTGTGTGTGAGTGTGTGTGTGTGTGTGTGTGTGTATCACCTGGTTGTCTCTCTTCAGCTGCTCCAGCTGTCGGTCTCTCAGGCTCATCTGTGTGTGAGTGTGTGTGTGTGTGTGTGTGTGTGTGTGTGTATCACCTGGTTGTCTCTCTTCAGCTGCTCCAGCTGTCGGTCTCTCAGGCTCATCTGTGTGTGAGTGTGTGTGTGTGTGTGTGTGTGTGTGTGTGTATCACCTGGTTGTCTCTCTTCAGCTGCTCCAGCTGTCGGTCTCTCAGGCTCATCTGTGTGTGAGTGTGTTCGTGCTGCTGCTGCGCTCGCTTCAGATCCAGACACTTCTGAGAGAACCGCTCCGACAGAGCCTGCAGCTCACGCCGCAGAGACGCCACTTCTACCCTAAACACACACACACACTCGTTCAGACAAGATAACTGAATGTGTGTGTATCTGTTTCATATGGAAGCACCTTTCTGCCACATAATTGTTACTGTTGAGTGTGTGCGAGTGCTCACTGTTGAGTGTGTGCGAGTGCTCACTGTCGAGTGCTCACTGTTGAGTGTGTGCGAGTGCTCACTGTTGAGTGTGTGCGAGTAGTGCTCACTGGTGAGTGTGTGCGTGTACTCACTGTTGAGTGTGTGCGAGTAGTGCTCACTGGTGAGTGTGTGCGTGTACTCACTGTTGAGTGTGTGCGAGTAGTGCTCACTGTTGAGTGTGTGCGAGTGCTCACTGTTGAGTGTGTGCGTGTACTCACTGTTGAGTGTGTGCGAGTAGTGCTCACTGTTGAGTGTGTGCGTGTACTCACTGTTGAGTGTGTGCGTGTACTCACTGTTGAGTGTGTGCGTGTACTCACTGTTGAGTGTGTGCGAGTGCTCACTGTTGAGTGTGTGCAAGTAGTGCTCACTGTTGAGTGTGTGCGTGTACTCACTGTTGAGTGTGTGCGAGTAGTGCTCACTGTTGAGTGTGTGCGAGTAGTGCTCACTGTTGAGTGTGTGCGTGTACTCACTGTTGAGTGTGTGCGTGTACTCACTGTTGAGTGTGTGCGTGTACTCACTGTTGAGTGTGTGCGTGTACTCACTGTTGAGTGTGTGCGAGTGCTCACTGTTGAGTGTGTGCAAGTAGTGCTCACTGTTGAGTGTGTGCGTGTACTCACTGTTGAGTGTGTGCGAGTGCTCACTGTTGAGTGTGTGCAAGTAGTGCTCACTGTTGAGTGTGTGCGTGTACTCACTGTTGAGTGTGTGCGTGTACTCACTGTTGAGTGTGTGCAAGTAGTGCTCACTGTTGAGTGTGTGCGTGTACTCACTGTTGAGTGTGTGCGTGTACTCACTGTTGAGTGTGTGCAAGTAGTGCTCACTGTTGAGTGTGTGCGTGTACTCACTGTTGAGTGTGTGCGAGTGCTCACTGTTGAGTGTGTGCGAGTGCTCACTGTTGAGTGCCTGCTCTCTCCTCCTGCTGCTCCTCTCTCCTCCTGCTCCTCCTGCTCTCTCCTCCTGCTCCTCCTGCTGCTGCTCTCTCCTCCTACTCCTCCTCTCTCCTCCTGCTCCTCCTCCTCTCTCCTCCTCCTCTCTCATCCTGCTCCTCCTCTCTCCTCCTGCTCTCTCCTCCTGTTCTCTCCTCCTGCTCCTCTCTCCTCCTGCTCCTCCTACTCTCTCCTCCTCTCTCCTCCTGCTCTCTCCTCTCTCCTGCTCTCTCCTCCTGCTCTCTCCTCCTGCTGCTCCTACTCTCTCCTCCTGCTCTCTCCTCCTACTCTCTCCTCCTGCTCTCTCCTCCTACTCTCTCCTCCTGCTGCTCCTACTCTCTCCTCCTGCTGCTCCTACTCTCTCCTCCTGCTGCTCCTACTCTCTCCTCCTGCTGCTCCTACTCTCTCCTCCTGCTCTCTCCTCCTGCTGCTCCTACTCCCTCCTCCTACTCATCCTGCTCCCTCCTCCTGCTCTCTCCTCCTGCTCTCTCCTCCTGCTGCTCCTACTCTCTCCTCCTGCTCTCTCCTCCTGCTGCTCCTACTCTCTCCTCATACTCCTCCTGCTCCCTCCTCCTACTCATCCTGCTCCTCCTGCTCCCTCCTCCTACTCATCCCCCTGCTCCTGCTCTCTCCTCCTACTCATCCTCCTACTCTCTCCTCCTACTCATCCTCCTGCTCTCTCCTCCTGCTCCTCCTCTCTCCTCCTGCTCTCTCCTCCTGCTGCTCCTCCTCTCTCCTCCTGTTCTCTCCTCCTGCTCTCTCCTCCTGCTGCTCCTCTCTCCTCCTGCTCCTCCTGCTCTCTCCTCCTGCTCCTCCTCTCTCCTCCTGCTGCTGCTCTCTCCTCCTGCTCCTCCTACTCTCTCCTCCTGCTCCTCCTCTCTCCTCCTGCTCCTCTCTCCTCCTGCTCTCTGCTCCTGCTGCTCCTCTCTCCTCCTGCTCCTCCTACTCTCTCCTCCTGCTCTCTCCTCTCTCCTCCTCTCTCCTCCTCTCTCCTCCTCTCTCCTCCTCTCTCCTCCTGCTCCTCCTGCTCCTCCTGCTCTCTCCTCCTACTCTCTCCTCCTGCTCTCTCCTCCTGCTGCTCCTACTCTCTCCTCCTGCTCTCTCCTCCTACTCTCTCCTCCTGCTGCTCCTACTCTCTCCTCATCCTCCTCCTGCTCCCTCCTCCTACTCATCCTGCTCCTCCTGCTCCCTCCTCCTACTCATCCTGCTCCCTCCTCCTGCTCCCTCCTCCTGCTCCTACTGTCTCCTCCTGCTCTCTCCTCCTACTCTCTCCTCCTGCTGCTCCTACTCTCTCATACTCCTCCTGCTCCCTCCTCCTACTCATCCTGCTCCTCCTGCTCCCTCCTCCTACTCATCCCCCTGCTCCTGCTCTCTCCTCCTACTCTCTCCTCCTGCTCCTCCTCTCTCCTCCTGCTCTCTCCTCCTGCTCTCTCCTCCTCTCTCCTCCTACTCTCTCCTCCTGCTCTCTCCTCCTACTCTCTCCTCCTGCTCCTCCTCTCTCCTCCTGCTCTCTCCTCCTGCTCTCTCCTCCTGCTCTCTCCTCCTGCTGCTCCTACTCTCTCCTCCTGCTCTCTCCTCCTACTCTCTCCTCCTGCTGCTCCTACTCTCTCCTCATACTCCTCCTGCTCCCTCCTCCTACTCATCCTGCTCCTCCTGCTCCCTCCCTCCTACTCATCCTGCTCCTCCTGCTCCCTCCTCCTGCTGCTCCTACTCTCTCCTCCTGCTCTCTCCTCCTGCTGCTCCTACTCTCTCCTCATACTCCTCCTGCTCCCTCCTCCTACTCATCCTGCTCCCTCCTCCTACTCATCCCCCTGCTCCTGCTCTCTCCTCCTCCTCTCTCCTCCTGCTCTCTCCTCCTGCTCTCTCCTCCTACTCTCTCCTCCTGCTCTCTCCTCCTACTCTCTCCTCCTGCTCCTCCTCTCTCCTCCTGCTCTCTCCTCCTGCTGCTCCTACTCTCTCCTCCTGCTCTCTCCTCCTACTCTCTCCTCCTGCTGCTCCTACTCTCTCCTCATACTCCTCCTGCTCCCTCCTCCTACTCATCCTGCTCCTCCTGCTCCCTCCCTCCTACTCATCCTGCTCCTCCTGCTCCCTCCTCCTGCTGCTCCTACTTTCTCCTCCTGCTCTCTCCTCCTGCTGCTCCTACTCTCTCCTCATACTCCTCCTGCTCCCTCCTCCTACTCATCCTGCTCCCTCCTCCTACTCATCCCCCTGCTCCTGCTCTCTCCTCCTACTCATCCTCCTACTCTCTCCTCCTGCTCCCTCCTCCTACTCATCCTCCTACTCTCTCCTCCTGCTCCCTCCTCCTACTCATCCTCCTACTCTCTCCTCCTGCTCCTCCTGCTCTCTCCTCCTACTCATCCTCCTGCTCTCTCCTCCTACTCATCCTCCTGCTCTCTCCTCCTGCTCCTCCTGCTCTCTCCTCCTACTCATCCTCCTGCTCTCTCCTCCTGCTCCTCCTGCTCTCTCCTCCTACTCATCCTCCTGCTCTCTCCTCCTACTCATCCTCCTGCTCTCTCCTCCTGCTCCTCCTCACCTACGGCTACGAGATGATTAGCATCCTGTGAACCTTGCTCCGTATTTACGACACGTTCAGGCTCGAACTGAAAAGGGTGAACGGCAGACATTTCGCTCGCTAATTGAGGTAATAGTTTAACTTGATAACGTTAGTGTTTACACACCTTGTGTTTGTAGTGGCGCTGGGACCAGTCTACGTCACGGCCCAGAATGCAATGGGTAAAAACAACAATGGCGACTTACAGGTAAAAACTTTATTTTAAAATATCTCGCTACAACGAAAACATCGGGTGTGTTATTATATCACGTTTGTGGCGCAAATGGTATCGCTAACCCAATAAGACTAAGTTGTCAAACTAGCCGGAGATCCTTTTAAGTGTGTGTGTGTGTGTGTGTGTGTACTCACTGTTGTTGTTTGTTAATCATTTGTGTGTGTGTGTGTACTCGCTGTTGTTGTTTGTTTTAAGTGTGTAGGTGTGTGTGTACTCACTGTTGTTGTTTGTTAATCATTTGTGTGTGTGTGTACTCGCTGTTGTTGTTTGTTTTAAGTGTGTAGGTGTGTGTGTACTCACTGTTGTTGTTTGTTAATCATTTCTGTGTGTGTGTACTCGCTGTTGTTGTTTGTTAAGCGTGTGTGTGTGTCCTCGATGTTGTTGTTTGTTTTAAGTGTGTAGGTGTGTGTGTACTCACTGTTGTTGTTTGTTAATCATTTGTGTGTGTGTACTCGCTGTTGTTGTTAGTTAAGCGTGTAGGTGTGTGTACTCACTGTTGTTGTTTGTTAATCATTTGTGTGTGTGTGTACTCGCTGTTGTTGTTTGTTAAGCGTGTGTGCGTGTGTGTGTGTACTCACTGTTGTTGTTTGTTCAGCGTGTGTGCGTACTCACTGTTGTTGTTTGTTAAGCGTGTGTGCGTACTCACTGTTGTTGTTTGTTAAGCGTGTGTGTGTGTGTGTGTGTACTCACTGTTGTTGTTTGTTAAGCGTGTGTGTGTGTGAGTGTGTACTCACTGTTGTTGTTTGTTCAGCGTGTGTGCGTACTCACTGTTGTTGTTTGTTAAGCGTGTGTGCACTCGCTGTTGTTGTTTGTTAAGCGTGTGTGTGTGTGAGTGTGTACTCACTGTTGTTGTTTGTTCAGCGTGTGTGCGTACTCACTGTTGTTGTTTGTTAAGCGTGTGTGTGTGTGTGTGTGTACTCACTGTTGTTGTTTGTTAAGCGTGTGTGTGTGTGAGTGTGTACTCACTGTTGTTGTTTGTTCAGCGTGTGTGCGTACTCACTGTTGTTGTTTGTTAAGCGTGTGTGCACTCGCTGTTGTTGTTTGTTAAGCGTGTGTGTGTGTGAGTGTGTACTCACTGTTGTTGTTTGTTCAGCGTGTGTGCGTACTCACTGTTGTTGTTTGTTAAGCGTGTGTGTGTGTGTGTGTGTACTCACTGTTGTTGTTTGTTAAGCGTGTGTGTGTGTGAGTGTGTACTCACTGTTGTTGTTTGTTCAGCGTGTGTGCGTACTCACTGTTGTTGTTTGTTAAGCGTGTGTGCACTCGCTGTTGTTGTTTGTTAAGCGTGTGTGTGTGTGAGTGTGTACTCACTGTTGTTGTTTGTTCAGCGTGTGTGCGTACTCACTGTTGTTGTTTGTTAAGCGTGTGTGTGTGTGTGTGTGTACTCACTGTTGTTGTTTGTTAAGCGTGTGTGTGTGTGTGTGTGTACTCACTGTTGTTGTTTGTTAAGCGTGTGTGTGTGTGAGTGTGTACTCACTGTTGTTGTTTGTTCAGCGTGTGTGCGTACTCACTGTTGTTGTTTGCTAAGCGTGTGTGTGTCCACCCCACGTGTCTCTGAGAGTTGTGTGGTTTTCTCCAGCTCTTCTCTGTGTGCTTTCTGTAACGCCTCCATCACTGTCAACACACACACACACACACACACACACACACACACACACACGTGTGAACATCATTCACAGCACTGCCAATAGCCGCGTTTCCACTGTCACTTCCGGGGCTTGATCGGGGCTTACTCGGGGCCAACGGCCAGGATTTCTGGCCCGTCGAATACCTTGGGCCAAAGCGGGCCAGCTCGGGCTAGAGGAGTGGTTACGAACAGAGGCGGGGATTACCTGAGTCGAGAGACAGGAGCGCCGAATGATTCTGTCAGCATTAAAGACTTTTAAAATAATTTAACTCACTTTCATGTTTTAATGCCTTCTGTTTGTGATCCGATGTGGATTCTGATCACCGTATAAGGTAGAAATATTTATACGCGATGCAAAAGACTATGCGCGCTAACCATTACCATAGTAAACATAGTAAACGCTTGAAGATACGCATAGTAAAAAAACATGGTGAACGCTTGAAGAAGTCAGACCAATCATAAAGGCTATCACAATCATGTTTTTATTTTATCTGTCAGTAGCCTACATATACTAGCCTACATAGTAGTCTCTCTCTTTATACCGGACTATCTACTTTTTTTCGGGAGCTTCCTGTTTCTCTGACTGAAAATATATCTGTAGCTACTGGGAGTCGAGACTGTGCTAACGCTCCTCAGGTCGTATTTTTGGTGGCATATAACATTATTTGTAGAAATTATCATTCTTTCTAAATGTGATATATGTCCTGTAACTACCAATAAACAGAAACAGCCTCGACTGAATAATGTAAGCGTGTCCTCTTTCTTTTGTGAAATAGACCTAACGGTAATTATTATTTCTGTGTGACTAATGTGCAATTTTGACATAACTTAATTCATTATGATCAATGTATCACTTTTTATTGTAAACCTGTGGTAAAACATTGATGCTTGGGTTTTAAATTTTCAAGTAAACAACAAAAATGCCAGCAAACGGCCGCTTTTATCATGTTTGTTTTGCGATGCATGCTGTTTCCAGTGATTTCTTTCTGATTAGTTTTCTGATAAAACTTCCATTTGTTGGTGAAATGATGGGTTAGTGTGACGTTGTTCCAGAGAGGCGTGTTACGGGCGTGTTTTAGTGACGCGCTGTGGAGCTTCTGGCCCGACAGTGGAAACGCAGGCCCGGTGCTACTGGCCCGAGGCTATTAGCCCGGCACGGCCCGTTTAAAGCCCTGGCCTAGCACTGGCCGACCGTGGAAACGCGGCTAATGATGTCATCAAACAGAAAACAATGGAGAAATATAGAACTATTATTAACTTAAAATATGTTATCTATAAAAACAATATAGTTTAGGTTTATTGCAAAATATGCATATATTTACAAATATTTAAGCATTTAGGGAGGTAAGGAGACTGAAGTTATTCGCACAGCTTCATGGGAGTGGGCGGAGCTGTAAAAAAGCTATGTTTGTAGTTGCAGAGCCGCGGTTGGTCTCTATAGGGTCACATGTTAGTGGGAGTGGCCAGTACCTCTCACAGTGGTTGGTCTCTATAGGGTCACATGTTAGTGGGAGTGGCCAGTACCTCTCACAGCGGTTGGTCTCTATAGGGTCACATGTTAGTGGGAGTGGCCAGTACCTTTCGCAGTGGTTGGTCTCTATAGGGTCACATGTTAGTGGGAGTGGCCAGTCCCTCTCACAGCGGTTGGTCCCTATAGGGTCACATGTTAGTGGGAGTGGCCAGTACCTCTCGCAGCGGTTGGTCTCTATAGGGTCACATGTTAGTGGGAGTGGCCAGTCCCTCTCACAGCGGTTGGTCTCTATAGGGTCACATGTTAGTGGGAGTGGCCAGTACCTCTCGCAGCGGTTGGTCTCTATAGGGTCACATGTTAGTGGGAGTGGCCAGTACCTCTCACAGCGGTTGGTCTCTATAGGGTCACATGTTAGTGGGAGTGGCCAGTACCTCTCGCAGCGGTTGGTCTCTATAGGGTCACATGTTAGTGGGAGTGGCCAGTACCTCTCACAGTGGTTGGTCTCTATAGGGTCACATGTTAGTGGGAGTGGCCAGTACCTCTCGCAGCGGTTGGTCTCTATAGGGTCACATGTTAGTGGGAGTGGCCAGTACCTCTCGCAGCGGTTGGTCTCTATAGGGTCACATGTTAGTGGGAGTGGCCAGTACCTCTCGCAGCGGTTGGTCTCTATAGGGTCACATGTTAGTGGGAGTGGCCAGTACCTCTCACAGTGGTTGGTCTCTATAGGGTCACATGTTAGTGGGAGTGGCCAGTACCTCTCGCAGCGGTTGGTCTCTATAGGGTCACATGTTAGTGGGAGTGGCCAGTACCTCTCGCAGCGGTTGGTCTCTATAGGGTCACATGTTAGTGGGAGTGGCCAGTACCTCTCACAGTGGTTGGTCTCTATAGGGTCACATGTTAGTGGGAGTGGCCAGTACCTCTCGCAGCGGTTGGTCTCTATAGGGTCACATGTTAGTGGGAGTGGCCAGTACCTCTCGCAGTGGCGTCCATCTCCTCCTTCAGCAGCGAGTCTCTCTCTCTCTCCAGAGCGCTGATCTGCAGTGTGTGCTGTCGCTCCAGCTGCTCTAGAGCCTCCCTGTGCACACGCTCCATCTGCTGCAGACTGTCCCCGCAGCGAGACTCCGCCCCACAGCACGCTGACCCCGCCCGCCCCGACCCAAGCCCCGCCCCCAGCAGCCTCAGTGACGCCACCTGCAGGACAGAGAGAGACACGCGGAGGTAAAGCCTTCTGCAGGGGCGCAGCTGTACTGGACAGGTAACACGCTCATGCACACACACACACACACACACACACACACACAGAGAGAGCAGAACAAATGACTGCCAATAAAGCTCCATAAGGTCTTTATGGAGCTCATTTGTCCATTTGATCGCTAAATTAACCCTCATAACGCATAAAAAAAACATGAAGATGTTTTAGGGGTCAATTTTGACCCGGTATCATGTGTTTGATATCATGTGTATATCTGGGCCAAAATTGAATTGAAAATTGAAAACCTTCAATTAGACTTTTTTTTTATACAGTTAAATCTCTTAAAAAACGTCTAATAAATGATATGTTCTTTGATAGTTTTGACACATTTTCAAAGCTTGGCCCCCATACTAAAAAAACTATTTAAAAAAAAACAAAAATGTTTTTTTCAAGAAATCAAAAGCTGAATGCGTTATAAGGGCTCATGAGTCTCTCTGTGTTCTATTCAGTTCTCATAAAGTCATTCATGAGAGCAGATAGACAGTATCCACGCACTACCTCCCTCTCCAGAGCCTGATTGGCTGATGAGCCCATCGGTGGGAGTGACCTCATCTCCTTGAGTGGCAGCCGCTCAAACTCCGCCCACTTCTTCTCGATCTCCTCCTCTATTCGCCTCTGTTCCGACAGGCCCGCCCCCTTCCTCGACAGCACCGCCTCCCACTGGTTGTGGGCGTCGTCACGCCGACGCTCCTCCTGCCATTGGCTGTGCTCCTTCACCTGCCCCTCCCCAGACTCTCTCTGATTGGCGGAGGCAGGAGTTGGAGGCGTGGCTACGGGCGATAGCTCCACATAGTCGAACTTGCTGTGGGCGGGGTTTGGGGTGATGGAGGAGGCCTCTGATTGGCTGCGCAGTCGGTGACGAGCGTTCTCTTTATCACTGCTGAGGATCGGCAGCCTGAGGGAGGAAACACACATCAGTGCGTCAGTGTGTGTGTGTGTGTGTGTGTGTGTGTGTGTGAGAGAGAGAGAATGAGTGAGTGAGTGAGTGTGTGAGAGTGAGTGAGTTTGTGTGTGTGTGTAATAGGGGTGTAACGATTCATTCGTTTTCTCGATGCATCGATTACAAATCCTGACGATGCATATGCATCGATCTTGAAACATGTATTTCGAATCGTGAATCGTTTATTTCGGTCAATATTCGATTTAAAATGCTAAGAATCGAATAATTTGCGATTCTATATCGATTCAGTGCTTTAAAACATATAAACATTAATTAAATGACTACATGCGCGAATTAATGAGGCGTTGTGCGGCGTCATTTCGCGTCCTCACAGCTCTCACATACTCGCTGCACTCTTACCATCTTTCACTGGATTTCGCTCGCGCTCGGTCCCATATAGCTCTCATCTACAGATTTTTGAGCAGTCCGTGTTTGAGCTCTCCTCAGGACAGCCATTGGTGTTCACATGAGCAGATGACAGCTCTCTATCGAGAAAGCAAGCCATTGATAAAGCTGCCATATCATTGCGCGGTCACTGCTATGAAACAACGCGTTCGTTGCGTCGAAACGTCACCGTTATTTTCTTTAAGTTAAGATACTGAAGTTTTACGGAAATGGGTCATGCCCGTCCTGAGCAGTTAAAGTAAAACCCCACTTATTCAAGGGTGCGCATTTATTACATGGAAAGAGAAAACGTATAATAGGTGTCTAAAATGCACACGCTTCCGATTAATCATGAATGATGAATGAAATGTAACTTAATGTCGTTAAACTGAACTGATGAAATAACTATAACATTAATTACACTGAAATAAGAGCGCGTGGTTTATCCATCAATCAGATGCGCATTAAAGTTCCATTCGTAATCGTTAATATAGCACAAGTAGCCTAGACAGCCGGCGCGTTTTCTTTCAGAATCACAAGGAAAATGTTCAATCGGATAAAGAGAACAGTAGCTATTCCATGAGGAAACGTTAGTTAAGGTTTAGTTGGGAAAGTTCATGGTATTTTTGTCTCACAATGGAGGATGTTTAATGTACCAGGAACACTTTAAGGTTGTGTATCCATTCCTACAAAATACTTAAAGTAACTATACTTTTAAAGCCTTTTTAAATCTTGGTTTACATTTTTACAAATGCTAATTTATAGGCTTTGGAAATATTTTTTTATAATAATAGATTCATTAAAAATTAACATGAACTAACATTAACAATAGACAAAATGTGTTTTTTTTTTTTGTTTTTTTTGTTCCCACTCTCTGACCCCCGAAGGCAGCTGTATAATTCACGGTCAACGTGATTTTGCCAAGTTAGACATGGTCCTGGATCAACATATTTTGTTTATCCTGGATCAACATTCCTGTCCCAAAATGTAGTCCTTACCCAATCCCTACCCCTAAACCTAACCCTACCCATAACTTTTCCCTAAAATCAGAGGGTAATGAAAGGTGAATGACACTGATGTGTAAGTACTTCACCCTGGTTCTAAACCTAAACTTGACATAAACTGTAAACTTGTCCCTCAAATCTGATTGGTTGATTGGAAAGTTGATCCAGGATCAACAACGATGTTGATCCAGGAACATGTGGTACTTGGTGAAATCACGTTCACCATAATTCACACCCTGACTAAGACCCATTGGGGGAAGCATTTAAATAATCCTACGCATATACAAAATTAAGAATCGAATCGAATTAATCGAATCGCATCGAATTTTAATGTGAATCGCATTGAATCGAATCTTTCTGAATTTGCAAAAATCGTTCTTGAATCGAAAACCTATGAATCGTGAATCGAATCGATTCGCTGCCTACCCAAGATTCACAGCCCTAGTGTGTAAGTGTGAGTGAGTGAGTGTGTTTGTATGGCTGACTGTGTATGTATGTATGTGCGTGTGTAGCACTGACTGTGTGTGTGTGTGTGTAGCACTGACTGTGTGAGGTCTGGAGAGCTGCTGGGTTGAACGTTCTTCCTCAGAACCTCGATCCAGTTCCTCCGTATCCCAGCAGTCATAGCTGAGAGTGTGAAGGCGGCGTCTCTGGTCTGAGCAGCAGCAGAGAGAGTCACAGATCGTGAGGATCAGAGGAACAGGAATGCAGCAGGTCCCGACAGGATCACACACACACACACACACACACTCAACTGACCTGGATCTGGAAGCCGTAGTTCTTCTCGACGTCGAACTCCGACACCTTCACGCACGACTTCAGGTCGATCTCTCCATCCACCTCGTCTCTCTGAGCAGACACCACACATCCTTCAGGACACCGGCTACACTATCATTACAAATCTGACATTCACTGCGTTAAAGTGCCGGAAATACACAGCAGAAGATTCTGTTTCAAATCAATGCTGTTCTCTTTCTGCTCAAAGAATCCTGAAAAATTAAATGTATGACAGTTCAAACATGCGAGTGTGTGTCGTGTTCATACGTGTTAGCGTGTGTCGTGTTCATATGTGTTAGCGTGTGTTGTGTTCAAACATGCGAGTGTGTGTCGTGTTCATACGTGTTAGCGTGTGTCGTGTTCATACGTGTTTGCGTGTTCATACATGTTTGCGTGTGTTGTGTTCATACGTGTTTGCGTGTTCATACATGTTTGCGTGTGTTGTGTTCATATGTGTTAGCGTGTGTCGTGTTCATACGTGTTAGCGTGTGTCGTGTTCATACGTGTTAGCGTGTCGTGTTCATAAGTGTTAGCGTGTCGAGCTCATATGCGTGTCGTGTTCATACGTGTGTCGTGTTCATACATGTTAGCGTGTGACGTGTTCATTCTTGTTCGAGTGTGTCGTGTTCGCGTGTGTCGTGTTCATTCTTGTTCGTAGTTATCGAGTAGTCGAGTAGTAATCAGTCAAATTAATTTTTACTTGGTTAATGTCACGTTTCCCATTCCATGATTAGTAAAATAATCGCAATGTATTCTCTGTAAAATTGCGTAATCCGCAGGGTGATGGACACGGAGATGGGTAAAAAGGTTGGTGGCTACACATTCTGCAGCGCCACGTCGCGTGTAGGACAACTCGAGGTATCGCACATCGGACGCGCACTTTCTCAGTTTATGGCCAGCAGTATTCTTATGTTTAAGGAGATTATGAAATTAAGATAATGTCTGTACTATGTTATGATTGCACTGTACAATTAAATACAATAGTTGCCGAGTCTGTGATCTGAACACTTTACCTCAGAGCATCCATTAACTGAATGAATTGAGAATATCACCTGAAAATCCGATATCATCAGCAATTTTCTCCTCAGAGTAGCTGAGCGGCCCGGGCTCCGTCTTCTTGTTTGATAGGTGTCAGCGGGTGCAATACAGCACCTGAGAGCTCAACCAGGTACTCTCGCGCTGGAGTATTTACGTGTTATCATAACAGTCCTATTCATTTTAAACATTGTGGTTATTGCCAATACCGGTATATTGCCACACTCTAAATTAACACGATGTCGATATTTCATGCTTTGAATATCACGATTATCGTCAACACCGGTATATTGCGACACCCCTAGTTCACATGTGTCCTGTTCACACGTGTTCGTGTGTGTCTTGTTCACACGTGTTAGTGTGTGTCTTGTTCATACGTGTTAGTGTGTGTCTTGTTCACACGTGTTCGCGTGTGTCTTGTTCATACGTGTTAGTTTGTGTCTTGTTCATACGTGTTCGCGTGTGTCTTGTTCACACGTGTTAGTGTGTGTCTTGTTCATACGTGTTCGCGTGTGTCTTGTTCACACGTGTTAGTGTGTGTCTTGTTCATACGTGTTAGTGTGTGTCTTGTTCATACGTGTTCGCGTGTGTCTTGTTCATACGTGTTCGCGTGTGTCTTGTTCACACGTGTTAGTGTGTGTCTTGTTCATACGTGTTAGTGTGTGTCTTGTTCATACGTGTTAGTGTGTGTCTTGTTCATACGTGTTCGCGTGTGTCTTGTTCATACGTGTTCGCGTGTGTCTTGTTCACACGTGTTCGCGTGTGTCTTGTTCATACGTGTTCGCGTGTGTCTTGTTCATACGTGTTAGTGTGTGTCTTGTTCATACGTGTTAGTGTGTGTCTTGTTCATACGTGTTCGCGTGTGTCTTGTTCATACGTGTTCGCGTGTGTCTTGTTCACACGTGTTAGTGTGTGTCTTGTTCATACGTGTTCGCGTGTGTCTTGTTCATACGTGTTCGCGTGTGTCTTGTTCATACGTGTTCGCGTGTGTCTTGTTCATACGTGTTAGTGTGTGTCTTGTTCATACGTGTTCGCGTGTGTCTTGTTCATACGTGTTCGCGTGTGTCTTGTTCACACGTGTTAGTGTGTGTCTTGTTCATACGTGTTAGTGTGTGTCTTGTTCATACGTGTTCGCGTGTGTCTTGTTCATACGTGTTCGCGTGTGTCTTGTTCATACGTGTTCGCGTGTGTCTTGTTCACACGTGTTAGTGTGTGTCTTGTTCATACGTGTTAGTGTGTGTCTTGTTCATACGTGTTCGCGTGTGTCTTGTTCATACGTGTTCGCGTATGTCTTGTTCATACGTGTTCGCGTGTGTCTTGTTCACACGTGTTAGTGTGTGTCTTGTTCATACGTGTTAGTGTGTGTCTTGTTCATACGTGTTAGTGTGTGTCTTGTTCATACGTGTTCGCGTGTGTCTTGTTCATACGTGTTCGCGTGTGTCTTGTTCACACGTGTTCGCGTGTGTCTTGTTCATACGTGTTCGCGTGTGTCTTGTTCACACGTGTTAGTGTGTGTCTTGTTCATACGTGTTAGTGTGTGTCTTGTTCATACGTGTTCGCGTGTGTCTTGTTCATACGTGTTCGCGTGTGTCTTGTTCATACGTGTTCGCGTGTGTCTTGTTCACACGTGTTAGTGTGTGTCTTGTTCATACGTGTTAGTGTGTGTCTTGTTCATACGTGTTCGCGTGTGTCTTGTTCATACGTGTTCGCGTGTGTCTTGTTCATACGTGTTCGCGTGTGTCTTGTTCACACGTGTTAGTGTGTGTCTTGTTCATACGTGTTAGTGTGTGTCTTGTTCATACGTGTTAGTGTGTTTCTTGTTCACACGTGTTCGCGTGTGTCTTGTTCATACGTGTTCGCGTGTGTCTTGTTCACACATGTTCGCGTGTGTCTTGTTCATACGTGTTAGTGTGTGTCTTGTTCATACGTGTTAGTGTGTGTCTTGTTCATACGTGTTCGCGTGTGTCTTGTTCATACGTGTTCGCGTGTGTCTTGTTCACACGTGTTAGTGTGTGTCTTGTTCATACGTGTTCGCGTGTGTCTTGTTCATACGTGTTCGCGTGTGTCTTGTTCATACGTGTTCGCGTGTGTCTTGTTCATACGTGTTAGTGTGTGTCTTGTTCATACGTGTTCGCGTGTGTCTTGTTCATACGTGTTCGCGTGTGTCTTGTTCACACGTGTTAGTGTGTGTCTTGTTCATACGTGTTAGTGTGTGTCTTGTTCATACGTGTTCGCGTGTGTCTTGTTCATACGTGTTCGCGTGTGTCTTGTTCATACGTGTTCGCGTGTGTCTTGTTCACACGTGTTAGTGTGTGTCTTGTTCATACGTGTTAGTGTGTGTCTTGTTCATACGTGTTCGCGTGTGTCTTGTTCATACGTGTTCGCGTATGTCTTGTTCATACGTGTTCGCGTGTGTCTTGTTCACACGTGTTAGTGTGTGTCTTGTTCATACGTGTTAGTGTGTGTCTTGTTCATACGTGTTAGTGTGTTTCTTGTTCACACGTGTTCGCGTGTGTCTTGTTCATACGTGTTCGCGTGTGTCTTGTTCATACGTGTTCGCGTGTGTCTTGTTCATACGTGTTCGCGTGTGTCTTGTTCACACGTGTTCGCGTGTGTCTTGTTCATACGTGTTCGCATGTGTCGTGTTCATACGTGTTCGCTTGTGTCTTGTTCATACGTGTTCGCGTGTGTCTTGTTCATACGTGTTCGCGTGTGTCGTGTTCATACGTGTTCGCGTGTGTCTTGTTCACACGTGTTCGCGTGTGATTCTCACCTCCTCCGCCGCAGAGTCTCTGTAATACTTCAGTCCAGCGTCCGTCAGCACAAACCAGTGTTTCCTCCACTGAACACATACACACACACACGGTCAGTCATGATGAACACACTTCAAACACATCACGATAACAGACACAGACAGACGTGTCTCACCTCTCCACTCTCGTCCAGTTTAGACATCCATCCCTTCTTAAAGTTCAGCAGGTCAGGCTACAGACAGACAGAGGTTTATCAGGAGTGTCAATGCATCATCCTTAGCGCACACACACACACACACTCATCTGCGTGTAAGTGTGTGAGGAACAAACACAACAGCCCAGGAAACAACAGACACTGATGGTGAAACTGATGTTCAATTATCACTAAATTTAGTTTCCAAAGAATTAAAAAAAAAGCCTAATGCAACAAGCAAAATCCATCACTTATTTCCACCAAAATATGAATGAATAGGCTATATGTCACTAACTCTTATCAGTTCTTCTGTAGTTTAGTAATAATGACGAACAAACTTTAATAAACGCTCTTACACTCAATGAGTGTCTGTGATTCATACAATGATGATTCAGTAACTTCTAGAACGATTCACGAAAACTCGGACAGAATCCAGTCATTATGATGAGATTTACTGTGTGACAGAAATATACTATTGGAAAGTACACTGTACCTTTCAAAGTATTAATATAATAATAACAAACGTATTAAAACTTAATTTTTATTTACATTTAGTTGTAGTATTTTGTTTGCCAAAACAATAAAAGGAATTGTTTGATTTTCATTTGATTACATTTTAAAATGTTTAATATTTAGCCTAGTTGTTAATGCTTCATGCCTTATTTTGATTACCACCGTTTTTGACACAGAAAGACAAATGAACACATAAATGAACATTAGAAAAACTAATCTGATCAAATATTCTGGAGGTTACACAATGACCACATGCCTTATAAAGCACACACACACACACACACACACACACACTGGTGATGGTGACAGCTGAACTAAACTCTGATCAGGATTATCAAAGCAGTTCGTGTTTATTTACATGAACTATAAACCAGCAGAAACCAGCTTCAGTAATGCGCATGCGCTGTGTGCGCGGGTGTGTCGCGCGCGCACAAACACACACACATAAAAAAAAACAAGTTGTGTTTGCTCACGTACCGTGCAAACACAACACACACTGCACGCCAACACACACTAACTGGAGTTTGAATGGACTTGTACGACACAGAATTAAACTGCCGTCGTGTTTACACTGAGAGCGACGGATATTAAAGTGAAACTCACCGTCATGATGTTCAAATCCAGCCGCAGCACAAACACAAACGCAGATTAAACACGCCGCATCTGAGAAGCTTTCCCGCTGTCAAGTTTTACTAAAGCTGAAGATGATCATATTTAAAAATACTTTTACTGATTGAATCGATAGATCGCAGCGTAAGTTTGACGGAACTCGCGCTGCTGTTGGTGTTGCCGGGGCGGATCCCGATTACAGTTCAGCGGAAGCGAGCGGCCAATCAGAACCGCCCAGCGAAGCACAACATCCAATCAGAACCGCCCGACGCAAGTGAGCGGCCAATCATAACAGCCCAGCGCAGTACAACAACCAATCAGCAGCGCACAAACAATACTCTTACAGTTAAACCTGCTATGGTGGTTTGTTTAACACATTATGGGGAGAACTCAATAATCGAGCCTCCACTCCAACATAACTAAAATTGTATAAAGTTAAAAATAAGACAAATAAGCAAAAACAAAAAAGATCAAGATTAAAAGATGACATATTAAAGTGAAGTACATCCAAAAATGACTCACTAATCACTTACTCGCCCTCATGTTGTTCCAAACCCGAATGACACACAGTAGATGTTGATTTAATCAGTTCTGTTCAAAGATGCAATGAAAGTGAATGGTGACTGAGACTGTCATTCAGCCTAACATCTCCTTATGTGTTACAGAGAAGAAGAAAGTAAAACGGGTTTGGAACAACAATGGTGTGTAAATGATGACAGGGTTTTTATTTATATGTGTGAATGGTCCCTGTTAGTGTAGTGTGGTGGTAGTGAGTGACGTGCCTGTTGCTGCATTGGTTCTTCATCAGTCTGATCCACGCTGCAGGAGAAATACACTGAGGGTCTGTGTGCTTTCTGCAGAACAAACACACACTGGTGTAAGCGTTGAAGGACCTCGGGTGTTTCTACAGAGATGTGACTGTACCTGCTTCTGTCCGGATGATCTGGACGGCTGCTCCTCGACCGGACTGCTCGCTCTCTGTCAAACACACACAAAATACATGAGACACACAGGTTCATGATCATGGACCTGGGCAGACGTGTGTGCAAACAGTGTTTGTGTGTGTGTGTGTGTGTGTGTGTGTGTGTTTGGTTTCTGATGTCTTTCAGGATAAGATACTCATGCTGGCTGGGTTTAACCGTTGGAAAGTACAAGGTTGAGTGGTGTGTGGTTTTCTCATACACTGCAGACAGGATCGCTGTAATATTTTTAACGCCATTGAGGACTGCGGCATATACGTATGACTTCTAACTGATCTTAGGGTTAGGGTTAAGCCTGTAACATCAAGAACGATAACAACAATGCCAACTTTTATAATAAAAATAGCGAAAACTATAATGATATACTAACTGTAATAATAACTATAACACTAACTATAATGATAAATATAAACACTGAACAAAAACTTTTGTTTTTTACCCCATTTTTCATGAGCTGAACTCAAAGATCTAAGACTTTTTCTATGTACACAAAAGGCCTATTTCTCTCAAATATTGTTCACAAATCTGTCTAAATCTGTGTTAGCGAGCACTTCTCCTTTGCCGAGATCATCCATCACCTCACAGGTGTGGCACATCAAGATGCTGATTAGACAGCAGGATTATTGCACAGGTGTGCCTTAGGGCTGCCCACAATAAAAGGCCACTCTAAAATGTGCAGTTTTACTCTATTGGGATAATTAACTATAACTGTAATGATAACTATAAAGATAACTGTAACAATAACTATACAGATAAGTAACGATAACTGTAATAATTATAACAATAACTGTAATTATAACGATAACAATAAATATAATGATGACATTTCCAATAACTATAATGATAACTATGACAATAACTACAATGATAACAATAATACTAACTATAACGATAATGATAACTAACTAACGATATCTGTAACAATAATTATAATCAAAACCATTACAATAACTATATTAGCGTACACACCAGCGGACGGTAACATTCTGTTCATGATAAGAGCTGCAGTTTTGTCGTCTGGCGCTTTAAAAGCTCAAGCTCTTTAAAGCAGGATGGATTCTGATTGGCTGTTAGTGTTTTTATTGTTCATCACGAAAGCGATTCCAATGAAATTGTTCCACTGTGACATTAACATTATAGCTGTGGTTTAGACTTCACTGTTTTCGTAGAGATAGAACAATTATTAAAACTTTATGGTTATGGTTCCAGGTGTGAACGGGCATTTAGAAACAGGTATCACAGGCCTGTGATACTCAGTATTGTTCTGTGAATGTAAGAGGGTGTGTTTTACCTGTGTGTGCAGGGAGCTGGAGGAGTGAGCCCTTGATAGTGTACCACTGTCTCTTTCATCCTCTAGCTCGTCCCAATCCCAGTGAGGAGATTTGCTCTGGGAGTGACTGGAAACACACAAACACAGATTCAGCTAACCCGGGTCACTAGCTCATCACTACCATGATTCTGAAGATATGACTAAAGTCTTGTGAAATCAGATTCACAATATTCTACACATACGCTAGCGTTTATACTAGTGGTCGACTGATATATCGGACGATATTTGGCATTTTTTAAATATCAGCATCAGCCGGTAAGTTTTTCTGTTTGCCCAATGTGTTGGAAGCGGGACTTATATTTTGGCCTTTCATTTTTAAATGATTTATTTCTAATTTATTAAATATTAATTAATTATATACTATATATATATATATATATATATATATATATATATATATATACATACTTTATATTTATTTGAATGAATATTTTAATAAATTCTAAATAAATCATTTAAAAATAAAAGAGGCCATATATATAAACAGTATGTATTGTGAAAAGCGCTATACAAATAAATTTGAATTGAATTGAATATATATATATATATCAGCTTGATATCGGCGACCTTGCTTTCTAAGATATTAGCATCGGCCATCAAAAAAACTACATCGGTCAACCATTACCTTACTCATAAGTTTATTTCATATTTGGTCCAATTTGATAACTGCCCTTAAGCTCTCACTGCTGCGTTATGAATTACTTACAGTGTAATCCTGAATTTCTGATAACATTTCTAAACACGCCCTGGCTTTGCTACTCTTTTTTTTACATTGTGTTACTTTGAGAAGAAAATTTTCTGTGCACCTGGCCGGTTTGTAGCGGGAAAGTTCTCGTTTCTGACGGCTCTCGACCCCCCCCAGCTGGTTCGGACCCTCCCTCTGGAAGACCGTTTTGACCGTGGGAATGTCAGCCATCATGGTATATTCTTCCCGGTTGAGACCCGATGACCCGGCGGATAGATGGCTTGACTCCGAGTCCATGGAGCTCTGGGAAGAGGTGTGTCTTTGGACCGGAGGGGAGGGGCTTCTGTGGCGGCTCGGCGCTCGGCGGTTGTTAGGCGTGGAGCTTTGCACCTCTTGGCTTTTCCTCATGCTACTCTTCCTGCTTGCGTCTTGTGGTGGTTCCCAAGCAGCAGGGACAGCTTTTGGAAAGGAGCTGATATGTTTCTTCTCAGTGCTGTGTCGTGATGGGGAGGAGTTACGCGAGACTGATTGGCTGTTGAGGGAGTGGGTGGAGCCTCTCCAGCGGCCTGATGAAGGGGTTGAATCATGCTGTGATTGGTTACTTGAGGAGTTTCTTACATGAGAGGTGGAGCCAGTTCTGTCACTCACAGTGTTCCTGAGAGGGATGTGGTCTGCAATGTCACGCCTCAGTGTAGACATACATGTAGACATCTCTGACTTACGGGGAAGAGATTGGCTTGGGGTGTCATTGGCCCGCCTTAAGGGGGAGGGACTGCGGCTCTTGGGGACACGGTTTAATGAGGACTGGCTCGTTTCGGACTTACGAAGCGGTGATGAGCCAAGGTTTCGGTGTGGACCTCTACTTGGGGAAGAGTGTCGGCTGTCTCGGTTGTAGCTGTGAAGGGAGCTATTTACTTCTGGTGTCTTCATTGTGGTTTGGCTTTGCGTTTCATAACTTTTCCTGGATGGGGAGGGGCTGTTTCTGTCATGACTCCGCCCATTAGACACAGATCTTCTGTCTGATTGGCTGGGTGTTCCGTAGCCATTCCTGACCGGAGACGCACTGCGTCGACCCTCTCGAATCTGACTTGATGAGCCATTTGTCTTCGGCCTCCCCATCGGGGACTGGCTTCTTGAATCATAGCGGCCCTTTGAGGAAGGGGAGGAACTCCGTCTGTCATGACCACGCTCGTACGAGGTGTTTTTCGTCTCAGTTTTCTTGAGAGCAGGACCTTCATAACTCCGTCTGGAGGGGGACTGGCTTCTTGAATCATATCGACCTATTGAGATGGAGGAACTCTGTCTGTCATGGCCACGCTCGTACAAAGGGCTTTTCGTTTCAGTTTTCTTGACAGCAGGACTTTCATAACTCCGTCTGGAGGGGGACTGGCTTCTTGAATCATAGCGGCTCACTGAGGGGGAGGAACTCTGTCTTTCATGACCACGTTCGTATGAAGGGTTTTTCTTTTCGGTTTGCCTAAGAGCAGGACTTTCATAACTCCGTTTGGAGGGGGACTGGCTTCTTGAATCATAGCGGTTCACTGAGGGGGAGGAACTCTGTCTATCATTACTGCGTTCATATGTAAGGCTTTTCGTCTCAGTTTTCCTAAGAGCAGGACCTTCATAACTCCGTCTGGAAGGGGACTGGCTTCTTGAATCAAATCGGTTCACTGAGGGGGAGGAACTCTGTCTGTCATGACCACGTTCATATGTAGGGCTTTTTGTTTCAGTTTTCCTAAGAGCAGGACCTTCATAACTCCGTCTGGAAGGGGACAAGCTTCCAAGGTTTTCTCTAGACCCAACGAAGGAGCTGTTGGTATTGGGTTTCTGTAAAGAGCCTTTCAGATCCACATAAGACTTACTGACAGTACTGACGGTGCCTACGGTGCTCGCAAATGATCTGAGGTTTTTCTGCACACCTCCAGAATAACTATTCCGTGCCGGACTGACCGATGCCCGATTTTGTCCGAGTGAAACACCGCAAGGCCGAAAGCCGACCGTGTTGAGAGAGGAGCTGGACTCGGCCCGTCTGAATGGGGAGGTACTACGGGAGGGAGAGGAGGAACGTGAGAGGCCGGAACCTCCATGGGAAGAGTTGAGCGTTCCCGGCTGCCGCAAGGGAGAGGTGTGGGGATTTCGTCCACCTCTTCGGCCGGAGGAACCGATCGATTCAGCTTGTTTGAACGGGGTGGGACTCAGCGCTCGGGGACCGGCGAGGGCCTCGACCTCCACGCTGAGATCCAGTGGGTCTGGAGGATACTGCGCAGGATAGTCTTCTGCGAGCTGCTCGGGATTCTGAAACTCTGAGGTTCTCCTTTCCGAGGGGACGCCTAGATCCGGGTTACGAAAAGGAATGACGGCTTTGGGTTCTGGGCTTTTGTTGCTAGGCAAGGGATGCCCTCTCTCATAATGCCGATAAGGAGCAGGGGGACTCTGATCACGGAGAGCTCTGCTCCCGGCAGCCCTTCCCAGAGAGAAATATCCACTCTCCCGATCCCTTCCTTCCTTCACGCTGCCTGCAGACAGAGAGACAAGATCGTGACCTGTGTTAATATGTGAACTGATACCCTGCAATCATGCACCATGACGCAGCACTCAGGAAAAGCCCGTGCAACTCGACTCCATCTGACACCTCAAACTGCCACTCTGACTATCCCAACAACACCACAAGCTGCTCGGATGGTAACTGGATATTGGTGTTTTCCTCACCGTGAGAAAAACCGATCTGGCCAAAGCCATCCCGGCGACTCGGAGAAACCTCTGTCCAGGAACGGGGGCTCGTCCGGTGCGGCGGCGGATCCAAGCGGGTCATTCTACGGTAAGATGAAGGATGATGAAGGAGGCTGGAGTATTCCTCAGGACCGGCAGAGATGCTGTACACAGAATCGTCACCCTGACTGGGATTAAAGTTGCATACGGAAAGAATGATGCCAGAACTCAACACACTCACAACCTTTTTATCCCCAAAACACATTCTTGGAGCAAAGTATGCAATGCAAAGTTTTAAAAAACTTCTTATAATACAAGATAAATATCATAACAACAGCGTAGACTCAATTTCCAGACTGAGTAACATGCAAGGGCTCCTTAGCAGGCTTACCTGTCCGAGCTTTGGTCGTCGTCTCCGTCACACAGATACAGGTCACAGTCGGGACTCAAGATGCAGAGGGAGCTCTCCTCAAAGCCCCGCCCCCCTCTGCTGACATCACAGTAGCTGCTGACCACTGACAGCACATCTGAGTCCTCCTGATTGGTGGACGGAACACACACAACCAATCAGAGAGCATTACGGATTAAACCATCTGTGTAACCCATGATGTTCTGAAGGAACTGTAAGGCATCAGAAGATAATGATGCTGTGAATCCAGCTTATTCTAAACCAAGGTTTCAGCATTAGTAATGTTAGCGGTAATAGACATGTTTTGCTTCAAATAATATAAGACTAGATCTTGTTAACTGGAGATTTCTGAGGAAATTAAGCAACTAAAATAGCACTTCACATGCAGTATCACACACACACACACACACACTGTACGGGTTTAGGGTTTCACGGCTGTAACTCTGTCTGGTTTGTGGCTTTTCTTCTCATCATTATTTCAGATGAGTGAATAATCAGCAGCTGAAATATCAGTATTCGTCAAATACGGATGAACACTTCTGAGATGATAAACATGATTACGTGATAACTCTTTTCTGTCAGGTAATATAACAGCTCAAGTGGATCAAAGAGTGAATCACGTGTTCACTGGTAATGTTAGATCAGTCATCATCACTGTTAGAGATAGTCCTAACTCTTAAATAACTCCAGACATGGATGATTCCTCAAATCAGGTGTGTTGTTGAGGACAGTGATGTTACTTTACTGAGGGATCAGACAGACCATTTTACCTGCTGGACCGCAAAACAGGTGAAAATATCCAACAGACGCACATTGAAGGAAGAACCTGAGCCACATCTACAGACCAGAAGAGGACATTCTCATGCCATGCAGGAAGAAAACACCTAGTAACCACACTGAACACTGGTAAAAATTATCTGTTGGATTTACTATACTAAATATATATGCACCATTTTTGCATCACACGTTTTAAGTAAACCCAAATTGGAATAATTTTTCTTAAAATTAACAAGAAAACCTATGTGTACTTATATTTGAGTTTATTCAACATTCTTTACTTAAAAATACATGTAACGCGATAGACGTGTTACCTTAACATTACTTAGTAGATTATATTGCATTACATATATTTTTAATTAAAGAATGTTGAGTGAATTCAAATATTTAAGTACACATAGGTTTTCTTGTTAATTTAAAGTGCAATTATTCCAATTTAATTTACTTAATTTAAGTGTGATGCAAAAATGGTGCATAACCACCCAATAATATATTTCTGTCAGTGTGTTACGGCAGTGTTCAGCTGTCGAAGTCTCTCTGTGAATGTATTGTGTTACTCTGATGCCGCAAAGAGGCGAAAGCGATCCGCCTTCATTCATTAATAATGAGAAGGTGCGCGTGCACGTCATCCACTCTCCTGTATTACTTGAATGAATTACTCTAATTTATTACTGCATCTGACATTATTATAGAATCCGAAACACACACTGCAGAGTTCCGCTTTTGTGCAGTAAACTTGACTAATTCGCTACTACTTACTGATGCAGTCTGTGTGTGTGTGTCACTGTCTGTGTGTGTCGCTATCTCTGTGTGTGTGTCGCTATCTGTGCGCCTCACCTTGGCGCTGGTGTCTTTCTCGTCAGAAGCGCGTGGCCCGGGCGCGTGCTCGCCGCCGCTGCAGGTGTTGTGCAGGTGTTCCTGTCGCAAGCACTCTTGGCAGCGGGTGGAGTCGAAGATGTTGGGCTGGAACTTCGGGCACACGGGCTCATCAGCGGCAGCCAGGGGCATCATGGGTAATCTTTAATCGCCTTCACACACATGCAGGTTCAAACATGCACAAAACAGCAGAAAACAAGCGCACGAAGAGACAGACCGTGAGAGGGAACGTGTGTTACCTGAGCAGCAGATGAGGGTCGATTGAGTTTGAGATGAACACTAAACTCACTCTCTCTCTCACTCACACACACACACTCGTGCCATTGGCTCGCTCAACAATAGCAGACAGTGATGCTGCACGTGTGTGTCCATCTGTTGTGTGTATTAAATATCAGAGACGTGCAGCACCTGCTCCACAACATTAACATCACACACACACACACACACACACACACACACTCTCTCTCTAACCCTACCCCTAAACCTACACATCACAAAAAACTTTTTGCAGTTTTACATAAAATAAAATAAAACTCATTCTGTATGATTTATAAGCTTGTTTCCTCACTTTAGGTCCACAGTGACATGAGTCACCCACCAGGATAGAAAAACATGTACACACACACACTCCTTCACCTGAACACACACTGCTCATTTCACAAGAGAAAGACTTGAGGAATATTTGGCATAAGACAAATGCATTCAAATGTTTGCATTGAACAACAATCTTTTTATCAACTTGTTTTCTTTCAGTACTGTGCCAATAATGTGAGCATATTATTACTGTGAACTTAATTAATTTGAGTCCACTTACAAATATTTAAATTACAGAGATTTTCACTTGATCAGCAACTACACTGTTACCGCCGGTTAAATAAAGCAACATGCAGCGTATCATCAATGTTTGTAGATCTTCTCCTGGACTGAAGCACAGCCTCTACTCGTCAGCACAATGGGGTCATACAACACTGTCACAGCAGCAGCCAGAGAAAAACTACTGTTAAAGAGTCAAGGGTGAAGGGATTATTAACTTCCTCTCATCTGATCAACTGAGTGTTGAAATTCTGCTAGAGTTGCTAGTGACACTATACCACAGTGAAGTGTTGCTTTACATGCGTATTTTGAACCGCACTGGCTCAACACACATCTGCTCTGAACACAGTTTGTAGGATATTCTTTTGCACACGAGTGCATTACTGTCAGTCTCACTTCCTTATTTTAGCCGTTTCGTGCATGCCGTTAAATTCTAGAAATAAAATCATGAAATTATTAGTGATAAAATTGGTTTGTTACTGAAAAGTTATCCACCATCCATGACCTCTGAATTATAAAACAGTTTTTAAAGTAATCTAAAGATTACTTTAAAAACACATGGATTATAACGTTCTGCTTTACTCTCTCCAGCCTTGAGAAAATATATCATATCCAGGCTCCTTTATCAACACTACAAATGCTCTGACTGTGGCGGGGATGTATTTCTCAAGCACCACTGACTTAACTTCCGCCTCCCTGAACTTCTGGACCACTTTGCTAAAACACTTGAATGAGTCGTTTTCGACCAACCATATACCTTTCTTACACAGAACAACCTCCTGGACAACAACCAGTCTGGTTTCAGAAGCGTCACTAAACTGAGACGGCCCTGCTCTCGGTTACTGAAGCTCAGAGACTGGCAAGAGCAGCTTCCAAATCCTCAGTTCTCATAGTGTTATCACTCTCCCATCTCTCAACCTTTTCCACCCAGACAGTCCTATTAAAATAATAAAATCTAATAAAAAAACCTTGTTTGTTGATTAGCCAGGGATGCCACCAAAGAATAATTGTCTGCACATCCTCCACCATTACTGTATCTTTGACAGTTTTCTTCAGTAATAAAGTAATCATTAAAAAATTCTTATTAGATTTGTATTTTGTTTAATTCTTGTTATTTTGTTTATCCAGATTTGTTAGCTGTTGTTTATAATCACCATTAATTTACTTCATACTTAACGTTGAGCATTATTCATATTATAAGCTCTAAGTTCTGGCCTTGGCCGCCCTGGGTGTGATTTACAGTTAGTCATCTCTAGGATCTGTCATTCAGAAACATGGTTTATCCCATCACTGTTATCATCTAGCTACTTGAATGCCTCAGGGCTCAGTGCTGGGACTGCTTCTCTTCTCCATCTACATGGCATCACTAGTGTCTGTCATTCAGACACATGGTTTCTCCCATCACTGTTATCATCTAGCTACTGGAGTGCCTCAGGGCTCAGTGCTGGGACCGCTTCTCTTCTCCATCTACATGGCATCACTAGTGTCTGTCATTCAGAAACATGGTTTATCCCATCACTGTTATCATCTAGCTACTGGAGTGCCTCAGGGCTCAGTGCTGGGACCGCTTCTCTTCTCCATCTACATGGCATCATTAGGATCTGTCATTCAGAAACATGGTTTATCCCATCACTGTTATCATCTAGCTACTGGAGTGCCTCAGGGCTCAGTGCTGGGACCGCTTCTCTTCTCCATCTACATGTCATCACTAGGATCTGTCATTCAGAAACATGGTTTATCCCATCACTGTTATCATCTAGCTACTGGAGTGCCTCAGGGCTCAGTGCTGGGACTGCTTCTCTTCTCCATCTACATGTCATCACTAGTGTCTGTCATTCAGAAACATGGTTTATCCCATCACTGTTATCATCTAGCTACTGGAGTGCCTCAGGGCTCAGTGCTGGGACCGCTTCTCTTCTCCATCTACATGTCATCACTAGAATCTGTCATTCAGAAACATGGTTTATCCCATCACTGTTATCATCTAGCTACTGGAGTGCCTCAGGGCTCAGTGCTGGGACCATTTCTCTTCTCCATGTACATGACATCACTGGGATCTGTCATTCAGAAACATGGTTTATCCCATCACTGTTATCATCTAGCTACTGGAGTGCCTCAGGGCTCAGTGCTGGGACCGCCCCCTTCTCCGTCTACATGTCATCACTAGGATCTGTCATTCAGAAACATGGTTTATCCCATCACTGTTATCATCTAGCTACTTGAATGCCTCAGGGCTCAGTGCTGGGACCGCTTCTCTTCTCCATCTACATGGCATCACTAGGATCTGTCATTCAGAAACATGGTTTAGCCCATCACTGTTATCATCTAGCTACTGGAGTGACTCAGGGCTCAGTGCTGGGACCATTTCTCTTCTCCATCTACATGTCATCACTAAGATCTGTCATTCAGAAACATGGTTTATCCCATCACTGTTATCATCTAGCTACTGGAGTGCCTCAGGGCTCAGTGCTGGGACCGCTTCTCTTCTCCATCTACATGTCATCACTAGGATCTGTCATTCAGAAACATGTTTATCCCATCACTGTTATCATCTAGCTACTGGAGTGCCTCAGGGCTCAGTACTGGGACCGCTTCTGTTCTCCATCTACATGTCATCACTAGGATCTGTCATTCAGAAACATGGTTTATCCCATCACTGTTATCATCTAGCTACTGGAGTGCCTCAGGCTCAGTGATGGGACCACTTCTCTTCTCCATCTACATGTCATCACTAGGATCTGTCATTCAGAAACATGGTTTATCCCATCACTGTTATCATCTAGCTACTGGAGTGCCTCAGGCTCAGTGATGGGACCACTTCTCTTCTCCATCTACATGTCATCACTGGGATCTGTCATTCAGAAACATGGTTTATCCCATCACTGTTATCATCTAGCTACTGGAGTGCCTCAGGGCTCAGTGCTGGGACCGCTTCTCTTCTCCATCTACATGTTATCACTAGGATCTGTCATTCAGAAACATGTTTATCCCATCACTGTTATCATCTAGCTACTGGAGTGCCTCAGGGCTCAGTGCTGGGACTGCTTCTCTTCTCCATCTACATGTCATCACTAGGATCTGTCATTCAGAAACACGGTTTCTCCCATCAATGTTATCATCTAGCTACTGGAGTGCCTCAGGGCTCAGTGGTGGGACCGCTTCTCTTCTCCATCTACATGTCACCTCTAGGATCTGTCATTCAGAAACATGGTTTATCCCATCACTGTTATCATCTAGCTACTGGAGTGCCTCAGGGTTCAGTGGTGGGACCGCTTCTCTTCTCCATCTACATGTCACCTCTAGGATCTGTCATTCAGAAACATGGTTTATCCCATCACTGTTATCATCTAGCTACTGGAGTGCCTCAGGGCTCAGTGCTGGGACCGCTTCTCTTCTCCATCTACATGTCCTCACTGGGATCTGTCATTCAGAAACACGGCTTCTCCCATCACTGTTATCATCTAGCTACTGGAGTGCCTCAGGGCTCAGTGCTGGGACCACTTCTCTTCTCCATCTACATGGCATCACTAGGATCTGTCATTCAGAAACATGTTTATCCCATCACTGTTATCATCTAGCTACTGGAGTGCCTCAGGGCTCAGTGCTGGGACCGCTTCTCTTCTCCATCTACATGTCATCACTAGGATCTGTCATTCAGAAACATGGTTTATCCTATCACTGTTATCATCTAGCTACTGGAGTGCCTCAGGGTTCAGTGCTGGGACCGCTTCTCTTCTCCATCTACATGTCATCACTAGGATCTGTCATTCAGAAACATGTTTATCCCATCACTGTTATCATCTAGCTACTGGAGTGCCTCAGGGTTCAGTGCTGGGGCCGCTTCTCTTCTCCATCTACATGTCATCACTAGGATCTGTCATTCAGAAACATGGTTTATCCCATCATTGTTATCATCTAGCTAGAGAGAGACGCACGTCACTCCTCTCCCTTATAAACTTGCACTGTAATTTTATTTTATTTTATTTTATCACTTTGGTAGGTACGCAAAGCTAAATTTCACAACGCTTTATCCGTAGAGTGGTAAAGGGACCCTGCATAGGGAGAGGCTAGTTGGCACTTCTGATTCAATGACATGACTGACAGAACGGTCAGAAGAGAACCCAGACAGAGAGAAGTGAAGAGAGAACGATCAGTCCCAGCAGACACAGATCACACTTATCACACATTTTCTGTTTCTGTCATCATCTCATCAACTAAGTGTTGAAATTCTGTTAGAGTTGCTATTGGTGACTGTCCCACAGTGAAGTGTTGCTTTACATGTGTGAAACGTGTGTGCATATACTGTTAATCACACTGGCTCAACACATCTGCTCTGAACAGTTTATAGGCTATTCTTTGCATTACTCTTAGTTTCTCTTCTTTATTTTAGCAGTTTCCTGCATGCCATTAAACTCTAGAAATAAAATCTTGAAATTATTAGTGATAAAATTGGTTCGTTACTGAAAAGTTATCCACTGTCCATGACTCCTGAATTATAAAACAGTTTTTAAAGTATTGCAAAGTAATTATTAACATCAGTTCCAGTTTGGTCAAACAGAAAGTATTTGCACACACTACATGACAATCTGTTTTCAGGGAGTGTTTCTACACATGGATTATAATGTGCTGTTTACTCTGAGGAAAACAGATCAGATCCAGCCTCCTTTATCAACACTACAAATGTTCTGGAAGTGGATCTGGGATGTATTTCTCAAGCACCACTGATTTAACTTCCGCCTCCCAGAACTTCTGACCACTGTCTCAATGGTGTTATTTCTGGAGACGCACGTCACTCCTCTCCTCACAAACTTGCACTGGTTTCCAACAGCCGCTCGCATCAGATTCAAGACCCTGATGTTTTCCTACAGAACAACCACTGGCTCTTCTCCTCTACACCTAAACTCACTACTCCAGACCGATGTGTCTCCAGAAGCTTGTGTTCTGCAGGGGAACGGTGTCTTGTGGAGCATCATCTCACAGAGACACAGAATCACTTTCACAGACCTTCACCTGGACTGTTCCTGCTGGAGGAATGACCTGCCCAACTCAACCTGAGCTGACGAGGCTTTAGCCATCTTCAAGAAACGGCTGAAAACACATATATTTCACCAACACTTGACCCTTTAATACTCACACTTACTATTATGTCTTGTCATGTGATTCCCTGATCATGTGTCTTGTTTTTATTGGTTTATTGTGTTCAGGTGTCCCTTGTTTAGTTATTAGTCTCTGTGTATACATGCCCTCATGTTACCATTGTCTTTTGTCTAGCTTTGTTACTTGTAGCCTCTGTTGGTGAGTTTGTTATGGTCATATTCAAGTTTGTTTCTAGTCAAGTCGGGTCTTTGTTTATCTTGTATTTGTCCATATGTTGGATCTAAATAAGGCCACGTTTACACATGGCTGGGTATTTAGAGAAACGAATATTTCCCCCTCCTCCGTTTTCAATAATAACTTTGTGCACACACCCGCATAAATACGCCGCGAGCGCCATCATATCTATGCCAAACCTATGGGGGGCAGTGTAGGGAGAAGGATAAAGCCATGCAAGCCAATCAGAATCGACAAGAGAGAACCTAAAACCCCGTTTCTCCCAGTTGACACGACAACAGATAACCGGCGTTTTCAGAAATCTCCACTTTGGCCGGAGTTTTTAGAAATAATCGTGTAAATGAGAGGCCAAACCGCGGGGAAATATCTGCGTTTTCCCTTTGTGTAAACGGGGCCTAAAACTGCACACGGGTTCTCAACTACAACTCGCTTCAGTGGACTTCGTTACAGAGACATTACAAGCTCATGAAGGGATATTATCATATTTGTAACAAACATCTCAGGAAAGGAGACATATTAAACACAACTGCAGAGGTTTATTAAGAATATTAGCAAACATACAAAATGAAAATGATGCTAAAACCAGAAATGAACAGACAAGATACAATAATCCTCAAATCATCTCCATCACACAGAACAGAGAGACGAATATACAGTCTGAGTCTGTCCATTACTGTATTTAATATTATATTTACAGCAGTTTACATATGAAGCACAAGAAAATGACTTTCAACTCTGTAAGCAAATATATATAAAACCCATATAAATGAAAATAAATCTGGTCTTTTATTTGTAAAAAATATTTTAATCTAAATAAGTGATTTTTAAGTGACTTTTTTTCCCCTGTTTTCCAAGAAAAATAAACCAATGAACAATCCTCTGAGTTTCTGCTATTGTAAATATTGCTGCAGATTCTGAACTCATCCGTGTTTTATTGTAATATTGTGGGCATCTCTATTTCCTCCGGGCGCTTCGAGTCCTTCCTCCCTGCAAAATAAAAGCATTGCCTGACCTCTCGTATGTGTTTCTCATGATTGCAGATGTTCAGATCAGATGAGTGTGAATCTTCAGATTGTGTGCGGCTCAAACTCACCAGCTCTTCTTGCACAGATGATCTGAAGAAGAATCACAGTAGGAGCAGCAAACACTGCGATCTCAACAATACTCACAATCACTGCAGGAAACATGAGAGGAAGAAGAGAAACTGGACATGACTGAAGTCAAGGGTCTTCATCTATCAACAGTTCTTGATGAAGCATTTACAGACTGACTGATAGTGTAATGTTATAAAGCTGTCAGTATAAATGAACGTGTCGTACCTCTGTATAATAATCCAGCAGTTTCTGATGCTGGATCAGCTGGATCTGTGGATCACGTCTGTTAGTTCAGTTCAACACATAATGCCACATATACACAACATCATCATCACATAATACTGGAGCTTCTCACCTGTAGGACATTAATATCATATTTTTTTTATGTTAAGTCTATCACACTTGCATTTCTAAGTTTGCATAAATTGAAATGTGGAATATCTATATATTGACGGCATCTAAAACATACAATGTTTCCTGTATGAAAACATTCAAATGCACAAATATTGACGAATCGTTTGAGGTTTTAACCCTGAGTTGATGGAATGATGAGGCTGATGTTATTGTGGTGTGATCAAACCGCTGAAGCGAGAGACTGATGATGTGTGACTGTAGGACATTAACATCATATTTTACAGTGTTGTTTCTCACCTGAATACTTGACAGTGTATGTGACTGAGGTCTTGAGTTGATCTCTGCGAGTAAGCTGACATCTCCACTCTCTGTTGGCATCTTCATTCAGGAGTGTTGTAGTCAGAGTGATCATACAGTGATATGATGATGATAATATCTGATATCTGGAGTCTGTCTTCAGATCAACACCAGTCTGATTCACCCACAAAAGCTCAAGTCCCTCGGAACTAAACAAATAATCACAGGGGGACATGCAATCACAGGGAATATATGAATACAACTGACAGGAGAGAGTCACAGAGCGGCCTGGACTGATCTCAGTCTGTGAGGATGATGATGATGATGATGATGATGAAGATGATGATGATGAAGATGAAGACACTGAAACTGAACACAAGACACAAATCACAGATAAGCCTTTATTGTCTCCTATAGCTTGGTTTCAGTCACGTGATTATGATGACGCGCGAAATTCAGGTGGAGGGCAGGGAGTGAAGAGCGCAATGGACGAGATGGAGGAAAGTCCGTACTGTACTACTTTACACGCTATTACAAGAGAAAGATATAAACAAAAAAATCAAACATATGTTGGACGTGATCCTTACGTTATGAAGAGGAGCGATTTTCAACTGAATTGAAAGATTTTCCTGACATCGAGGCGGTAGATATCAGCAACTACCTCGTCTTACAGACATACTTTGACTTTAACGTTACACGTTACACAAACATAGCCACTTAAGTTGTATTAACTCACCTTTGACGAAGTGATCACTGCACACACGGGCATTTTCCCATTCGGCTCCTCCCGACCGCAGACGTGGGTTTGCAAGCCGTTTTTCCGGAGTTTTTCGGTCAATTTCTTGCATTTTCCCCCCTTATGAACAACAACTTTTGGTACACGATAAAAACTCCTCGTGGTTTGATCGATTTAAGTAACCATAAACGATGCAAAACATAGGCATTTTGAGTTTGTTAAAGTGCTTTCTAAATACAGCAAATCACTCCCTGCCCTCCATTTACATTTCGCGCCATGGCAACGCAGTGGCGTGACGTCATATGAAAACAAGCTATTGGCGAAATTCGTCTTGGACATTCGAAAGAACAATGGCGGCATATTGCGCATAACACACAACAAACAGACAATTATCCCACACAGGACATGCTCATAAATGATCCCATTCAGTACTTCAATTAACATCGAACAACCACACACAATACTACCCCCCCCCCCCCCCCCCCCCCACAACTTTCCTCATATTTACAGAAAAAACAGAAGAAAACCCACATCACCCACAAAAAACCTGTGGTGACAGCATTAGGGTTAATTATTGTTCTGTCCTGTATTGGGTCACATGGTATTGACATAGACAGCAGCGTTAGCAGCACTTCAACACCCTTGACATAGACTTTGACAGACTTTGACTCGTTCTCTCGTGCCCGTGTCGCAAGCAGTGCGACCACACTTTTAAATTGACCACATAATCATAAACTCACCATGAAGAACATGCAGATAAACATAAGCACCAGGTCCTTGTTGTGCTCCATTCACATATTGACTGCAGCTGTAATATCCATAATCTTCTTCTGTGACGTTCTTGATGTTCAGAGAGCAGTCAGACTCCAGACTCAGTCTCTCATGTCTCTCTGTGTCTTTATTCTTTATTCCTCGATCAATCAGTTTAACTGATGAATATCTGCTGTAGGTCCATGATGTTGATTTGCAGTCAGAAAGATCATTATTACAGGACAGAGAGACATTTACACCAGAACTGATGAACACATGAGCATCATCCACTCCACTGGTTCCTGAAACAAAGTATATCTCAGTGATCATTATTATATATATTAATAAACGAAAACATAAAACACACCAGCATAAAAATAAGAGGTTTTAAATCATAGTATTTTTCCTCATTTAAAGCAAAAAAAGACACTATCCAAAATAAACTATTAGTGTTTATCAGAGAGCTGTTCAAATCACTGACACACTCTTAATATGAAGATCATTCTTCATCATCAGATGTTTGAGTGACACTATGTCCAGTATCAGGAATAATACAGTATGATCTGTGTGTATCAATACACAACTCTGAGATCACAGCGTGAATGTGTGCAAGAATAAACTGAGCATGTTCAAATGAACTCTTTCCAGACTAATTCCACTAAATGTGTTTAGAGAAAATACAGATTTCTTTACCTGTGAGAAGTGAAGAGAGAACGATCAGTCCCAGCAGACACAGATCACACTTATCAGCCATTTCTGTTTCTGTCCGTCTTCCTCTTCATTATATATAGTTACAGCTCCTCCTTTAAACATCATCAGCTCCTCCTCTTCATTATATATAGTTACAGCTCCTCCTCTAAACAGCATCAGCTCTTCCTCTTCATTATATATAGTTACAGCTCCTCCTTTAAACATCATCAGCTCCTCCTCTTCATTATATATAGTTACAGCTCCTCCTTTAAACATCATCAGCTCATCCTCTTCATTATATATAGTTACAGCTCCTCCTCTAAACATCATCAGCTCCTCCTCTTCATTATATATAGTTACAGCTCCTCCTTTAAACATCATCAGCCCTTCCTCTTCATTATATATAGTTACAGCTCCTCCTTTAAACATCATCAGCTCCTCCTCTTCATTATATATAGTTCTACCAGAAAGACTCGGGAGAATAAATACTGTAACAATAAATACATTTATTGATAGCCCAGCAAGCAATAAAGTTCTTTGGCGTAGGCCCCGTCCATAGCTCGCAATCCGAGGGTCCGGACTCTGCATTTCCTGCCTGAAGACGAAGGCAGGGGCGCAGCCGACCCCCTGTGAGGTATAGGAAGGGACCATCCTGGTGGTGGTGGGGAGGATGGAGGGGAAGGGACCATCCTGGTGGTGGTGGGGAGGATGGAGGTGAATGAAAGCGTCAGCATCTGCGAACTCAAACATGTGTAAGTACTGGTCTTTTATACCGCAAGTATTAGACACGATTGGATAGATGAGAAGGTAATAAGTGACGTAGCAATTGAGTCTTCCTGGCAGAACTTAACGCTAAAGCTTCCATTTCTACCAGAAAGACTCGGGAGAATAAATACTGTAACAATAAATACATTTATTGATAGCCCAGCAAGCAATAAAGTTCTTTGGCGTAGGCCCCGTCCATAGCTCGCAATCCGAGGGTCCGGACTCTGCATTTCCTGCCTGAAGACGAAGGCAGGGGCGCAGCCGACCCCCAAAAATAGGTGGAAGATAATTCCACCAGGACGGAGCCCACCCCCAAAGAACGGTAAAGAAAAGTATACCCACCAGTCGTGTATCCTGTAGAGCCTAAAATAGAAAGAAAAGGGAGTTAATAATGGCATGAACATGAAATGTGGAAAGCCTCGTAGCCAATAACTAATTAGTGAGAGACGACTTCATAGTGAGCCTGAAGGTACTATGCGAAGACGTGAATAAAGCATTTATGCATTTATGTTCTGCTGCTGAATGTACATTAGCATTTATCCATGCTGACGCTTTCATCCAGGCGACTTATGTTTTGAGACGCACTTACGTCTGATCGAACCAGTTTCCCTGAGAATGAGTTGGAGGGAAGCAAGTGTTGTGGAATAGTGACTTAGCTGAGAACGAGGCTAACTTAGGACATAGGGACAGGTCATGGAACAAAGCTGTTATAGGACCACAGAGAAAAGCCACCTTGGGCATACAGAACCGGCCATATGGGACAAGGCCGTAACAGACCGCACAGAGACAAGGCCTCGATGGACCACACAAAACAGAGCCACATTGGCCAGGCCTCATTGGACCACACAGAGACAAGGCCTCGATGGACCACACAAAACAGAGCCACATTGGCCAGGCCTCATTGGACCACACAGAGACAAGGCCGCGATGGACCACACAGACAATGCCACATTGGGCCAGGCCTCATTGGACCACACAGAGCAGGCCGCCTAGGGCCGTACACAGAGCAGGCCTCCTTAGACCGCAAACTGGCCACATTGGACCACACGGCCATGATAGACCACAGACACAAGGCCGCCCGGCCACATGGCCTTGCTAGACCACAGAGACAAGGCCGCAATGAGCCACGACGGCCTCTAATGCCGCACATAGAACGAGATAGACTGGACAAGGCCGCAAGGCCACACAAAACCAGGCCGCAAGGACCACAAGACCACATGGCCATTTTTTAGCGAGGCAACAATGCCTCAAGGCCGCTTGGCCACACAGACAACGGCCGCTTGGCCACATTGAACCGCGCCACTAAAGGCCACAGACCACTGGCCATTTTTTACATACAGGACAAGGCAACTTTGTGCCACAAGGCCACTATAGACCACACAGAGCAAGCCACACAGACAACGGCCACTAGGCCACATTGAACCGCGCCACTAAGGGCCACAGACCACTGGCCATTTTTTACATACAGGACAAGGCAACTTTGTGCCACAAGGCCTCTAGACCCACACAGAGACAAGGCCCGCTGGGCCACAAGGCTGCTAAAGCCATACAGAGACAGAACCACTCATAGACAAGGCCTTAGGCCACATAGAACCAATGCCATAACTGGCCACAAGACCACGGGACAAGGCCACATTAGGCTACACGGTCACAGTAGACCACACTGAACATAGAATGAGGCCGCAAGGGCCGCGATATCGTAAGCCCACACTGAGACGAGGTCACACAGGGACAACGGCCACTAGGCCACACAGAACCGAGGCCATAAAGGCCACAAGACCATGTAGGCCACACATAGGACAAGGCAACATTATGCCACAAGGCCTTGAGACCCGCACAGAGACAAGGCCCGCTGGGCCACAAGGCTGCTAATGCCACACGGATACAAGGCCAACGAGACACAGCCACTAGGCCACACAGAACCATGCCATAACTGGCCACAAGACCACGGGACAAGGCCACATTAGGCTACACGGTCACAGTAGACCACACTGAAAATGTATATCATACACTTGCATGATTTTTTTTTTTTTTTTTTTTTTTTTAAAGACCATAAAGACCACATGGAACAAGACCACAACGGCTACTACTGCCACATAGAGACAAGGCCACATTAAGACAAGGCCACTTGGCCACATATAGACAATGACTCATTGACCATTTGTAAATGCAAGCAGAATTTAAGACCAATTGTGAGAATGGAATATCATGGCACCACCACCAGTAGTTGCAAAGGTTATTTACCTGAACAGTTTTAGTGAAGAGCTTGCTGAGCTTCGAGGATGATTTTGAATCGGGTCTTATATAGACTAATGCAGAGGAAGACCATCTGCCCAGGATCTTAATAGCTGAAGTAGAAATGCCATGATCAGCTGCTGTAGTGGCTGCCCCGATCCTGAAGGAATAACCAGTATACTGGGAGGGAGATAGACTGCAGCTTTTGAGGACAGAACTGATGAGTCCTGAACTAGCTTAGAAAGAAGTGCTCCGTTAGTTAGGATAATTGGAGGGGAATTTAAGAAATTAATCATAGATGAGAAGGGACAGAATTTATTACTAATTAATAAATTGATAATGTGAAACAGAGCCTTGAGAGTCATTCTTAGAGTTCTTAAGAAAGAGAGTAAAGAAATTAGGTGAGAAACGCAAATCAGAAAAAGACCATGGGGAAATCGGAGTATTTAGCTCCTGGAGTGAATCCCCTGGATGCATGAGCCATGACGCTGTAACAGACAGCTCCAATCTGAATACCAATAGAAAAGAGACCATGCGGACAGGAAGTAATAAAAAGGGGGTTGGATGGATTTTGCTTTTCTAACTTACTTAGTGTGAAATGTTGCCGTATAAGCATAACCAACATCTTCAAGGTTACAACAGTCAAGTTCAAACAATGGGAGAAATTAATTTAAGAATAGCTTTTTAAAGACTACAACAGCGCTGAGAGGAGCTAATGAAATTCCTCCTGGTTAGTGCATCACAACCTAAATTTACATGAATCCTCCCCACAGAACATGATTTAAAGAATATCGAGACAGAATAAACTAATTAGTGACTAGAGATAGCTACGATGAGCTACATAATTTATCAACGACCATTCGGAATGTTGTCTATATGTTGACACTTCTTGAGTCGCTCCATCTTGAATGATTCTGGTGGAACAAAGTGAAAAGTTAAATTGTTGGTGAGAGGTAATTGAAGCTGCAAACGAGCTGTTGAAACTCCGACCCCTGTGCCGGGAGTAGCAGCCCTGCCACATCCAAAGGGATAGACAAAATGATATGCTTAATCACCTCGAAATGACCATTCCAACATGCTATTCAAAATTATCTGTGGGGCATTCCGAGCCAAACCCGCATACACACCGGAGACCCACCACATATCCTGCGAAAAGGGGCACAATTATACACTTTTTTTTTTTTCTTTTTTTTTTATACAATGTGATTGGCAGGCGTTTATCGGAGGTTTACTACAGGTCTTGGCTATGCCTTAAGTAGCAAACAAAGAGAAGGAACGGTGAACAGACTTGGATAATTAGTATTAATACTTGCGTGAATTTGAATGCCTGCGAGCAAACTATGGATGGAAGAAATATTAAATTACGATTCGTTATTGTAGATGAGGAAGGAACAATCGGCCGTGATCAGGATGTGAAAACAGGAATCTGAAAGAAAAGCAAACATTACTAATTTAACAAACTCTGTTAGAGGAGGGCAGGGTGATGGATCCGGGTTGCTGAAGGCCAAAAGCCGTCTGAAAGCCTGTAACGAAGAGTGAAAGCGCGTAGCTATGGCTTTGCATTGGAAGGAATAAGCGCAACCTTAATTATGAAATTGAAGACGATTGATAGCCAAATTAACGTCTCAGAAATGGCATGATCGCCTAACAATAAGATCTGCCTTGATGACAACTATGCTTTGTAGCACAACGATATAATATATTTTGCGACTTAATCCCTAAGGACGCTAACGATCGCTATAGGATGATTTTGTGAAGAGCGGACGAACCTTGAGTGAGCTTAGAAGATTCATCTAGCCTTTACTGACCTAGATATCCGAATCTGAGATTGGACATGCACCCTTTGTCTAGTGTGTTTTTTTTTTTTTTTTTTTTTTTTTTAAACCGGCTAAATCTGACTTCTTAATACGGTACTTACCTGAAGTAAGGTGACGGCGTCCTGTCAAGAAGCTACTATCATTACCTAAATGATACTTGATCTGTTTTTTTTTTGTTTTTTTAAAGCGTAGAATCCTTTTCTCAGATGCGCAGCATATGCCTGACATGGCTCCCAAGTTGCTCTTGCAGACATAGCCCCATTCATGGCTGGGAGATCGCTGGCCACAACACAGTTGAGACTCTTGAATAGAAGATACATGAGCAAG